TCTTCTCCAGTTCTCCAGTAATGTTTGGATAAATCAGGGAATTACAGTAATGGGACATGGCAGCATCAACAGTGAAGGGTAAAGAGGAGTTTGATTCAGAAGAATGGGAGCTCTTTAACCAGCGTTCATTCTTTCAGTCGTTTTTAATTAGCGACTTAAGAGATGTGTTGAGCATTTCCAATTAATAATTTAGGAAAAAGTTCATGCATTCAAATACAACAATTGGCTTGTTGCCATGTAATTTGTACTAGTGATTTGTAATCTGTAAAGGCCTTGGGAGAACTCGGCTTTACAAGAGCTTCTCTCACTCAGTTTCTCCCCTCAGGAGAAACTCCCCGTCATTCTCATGGAAAGTAGAATAAGACCATTACTTGGAAATTGAAAATTGGTACATGAGCCTCTTATACCTTTTATTCTCCCTTTGAGATTCAAGTGATTGAACTCTAATTGGTTCTTCAGATCTAGTGTAAAGAGAGAGGGCTGTCTGTTTGGTGTGTGTGTGTGTGGAGATTGGGTTAAGACTCTGAAAACCGTCTATATAGTATATGAGTGAAATATTGTGCCCAGATTGAACGTGTGTTGGTTTGGTTGTTCCCTGTAGGGTTCCCCTCTGACGTGGTGCTCTGTACCTCTTGGCTGACTGTCACCTGGGAAGTGTTTGTTCAGTTAATAAAATGCTTATACAGGAGACTGGTCGTCAGGAAGGGCCGAAGGAAACTGTGGTGTGAGGGACTGGAGGACACTGGGGTGGGCTGGAGGAGACTGGGGAACAGGGGTGGTGTGAGCGACTGGAGCAGACTGGTAGGTCGCGACTGGGTGGGCTTCACTCTCAAACAGCAGGTCCTGGGCCTGTAACAGACCAGCCTCTGTGGATTAAATGCACTGCTACACACGCGCACACACTCCCAGCTACATTAAATGCTATATATTCATATACATATTCTGTACTACAGCAGCCATAGCACAGAGATTAGCTCTGTAATCTCTCACTGAGACCCTCCTCTGTGTAGCCAGCCATTGCATGTTTCCTCTGCTCCTCGTCTCCACCTCCTCTTTTCACCCACATCTCCTCTCTCTCTGTGTGTGTGTGTGTGCATGCATGTGGTAGCTTGCAGTACCTGGCCTTGCTGTACCTGTTATTGAAAAGTCCAGCAGACCTGGTCATTAAGAGGCCTGGCAAATCTGAAAAGGAGAGCGAGAGAACAAGATGGACAGATGGAGGAGAGCGGGAGAGAAGTAGACAGACGTTGTGTCAACAACAGGCCTGTGTTCACTAGAGTGGTTTGGTGGGTTTCATTAGTTCTCATGCAGGAAATAAAAGCAGGCTCTCCCTCCCTTAATGAGCAGCCGGCTCACAGAGCGCTTGGCAATAGCTCAGGCCTTTTGGTGTGGGGAGTGTGTATTGTGTGTGTGTGTAGAGGGAGAGTGTGTGCGGAGGACGACTTCTTGGCCCTGGCATCTGCAGCCCACGCCAGTCTATAACAGGGTGGCTGATTGAGGAGGTGCCAGGACCTTTCACACCTGGCAATGCAAGAGCAAGAGAGGGGAGGAGGGGGAGGTGCAGGTGCATGGTTTTGGCTGCAGCGTCCTGGGGAGCAGGGGAGGGTCCCTGTGTGTCTGAGGGGAGGTGGGTCCAGGGAGGCGTTTGGGATCTGGGTGATGTTTGTCTTCGCAGGACACAGAGATGGGAGATCAGGCACCAGGACCTCCCCTCCCTGCCAAGTACTGGAGAGGTCCTTCCACTTCCCTCCTGTTCCCAGCCACACTACCCAGGATGAAGTAGGACACACAGGGTTCAGCCATGGTGACCATAGTTGGAAAGCTCCACATCTTATGGTGATTTTATTGAGGCCAGTTTTCCTCAGTAGCAGAAGCCAAGTAGAGCTCATTGAGCTGCTTGTTGTTTGTTTTAATGAATGCTAAGTTAGTAACACACTGCCTTTCTGTCAATCCAGGTCTTGCACACCTGGATTGTACAATATTTCCACATTTATTATTTTGAAAAATTCTTCAAGCTCTGCCAAATTGGTTGTTGATCATTGCTAGACTGCTATTTTTATGTGTTGCCATAGATTTTCAAGCCGATTTAAGTCAGAACTGTAACTAGGCCACTCAAGAACATTCAATGTAATCTTGGTAAGTTCCAGTGTATATTTGGCCTTGTGTTTTAGGTTACTGTCCTGCTGAAAGGTGAACTTGTCCCAGTGTCTGTTGGAAAGCAGACTGAACCAGGTTTTCCTCTAGGATTTTGCCTGTGGATTTTGCCTCTATTCCATGTATTTTTATCCTAAACAACTCGCTAGTCCTTTCTGATGAAAAGCATACTCATAACATGATGCAGCCACCACCATGCTTGAAAAGATGAAGAATGGTACTCCATGGCGTGTTGTGTTGGATAACCGACAAACCAGTCGGTATCTGGTGTAACCAGACATTGATTAGTTGTAAATCCACATGTAAAGTGTTTAGCTATATAGAACATCTCTTGACGAATCGTGTCCTGCCTACTATAGTGTTGTAATGACTCAGGGCAATTTAAACTGTCAGTATTTCCAATGGATCTGACAGGCAGGTGAGACATCCAACCCTTTGTTGCTAGCTATTGTAGCATGAGACAGCCGGGCACAAAAAAAAACGGATCAGACTGAGTCACAGTGGATGGGTTGAACCAGCTTCAGTTACCCTGCACTGTTGTTACTGCTCTTACTGTTGTTACCCACAGTGCACTGTTCTTACTGTTACCAACAGTGCATGTGTGTTAGTGTTTTTGTCTTTCTCTCTCCCATTAAGCTATTATTCACATTTTGGGTTAGAAGTCAACAACCTCTTGTCACTGAGACTCATTCTATAATTCCCTTTAATGCCTCTCTCTCTCTCGGCCCTGCTCTCTAAACTGCTTTACAAAGCCTCTATAAAGATGGCAGCCTTAGGGATATTAATAACCAACTACATACTGTCACACAACAGTCTGAATAAACTCGATCACAATACTGTCTGCAGAGCAGAGGAGTGTGTTATCACACATTGTGATATTGTATACCCTGCCACCCCGCAGTGAACACAGTAGGGGAGATCTGAGATGGAGCAAGGCATTGCCATGCACATGATTTGTTCCAGTTTCTCTATTCTCTACAAGCAGAATGTATTCACTGGAGACAATGGTGCTTATCAAAGGAATAAAACTGCATCATTGCAACAGAAACTAGACAGCAGTGCTGAAGAGAAGTAGTTTGTTCTATCATGATCAGATTTGGACTGGGTGGCATTGCCCATGTTCCAGAACCAATCAGAGAGCCTGTGATGTCATGGATGATGTCTGTGATAACAACAACAGCAACATAGCGTTTCTCTGAGCCTGAATATTGACCTGGCTTAGCATGATTTAAGATGGCCGCCAAGATCAGGGGTTAGAGGTCAGAGGCCAGGGTCAGTCCGGTAAAGCGGTCGACCCACTGAGCTGAAGAGACAAGGTGATGTTGTCCAGCTCCGACTTAATACACAATTCATCAGCTCACTGCTCTAAGCACAGAGAATGGTCCCAGTACTCTGGTAGTATACTAAAGCGAAGTAGTGGACAACGTAACGTGGTAGTATACTAATGAACAATAGAGGACACAGTAACATGGTAGTACACTAATGAACAATAGAGGACACAGTAACATGGTAGTATACTAATGAACAACAGAGGACACAGTAACATGGTAGTATACTAATGAACAATAGAGGACACAGTAACATGGTAGTATACTAATGAACAACAGAGGACACAGTAACATGGTAGTATACTAATGAACAATAGAGGACACAGTAACATGGTAGTATACTAATGAACAACAGAGGACACAGTAACATGGTAGTATACTAATGAACAACAGAGGACACAGTAACATGGTAGTATACTAATGAACAATAGAGGACACAGTAACATGGTAGTATACTAATGAACAACAGAGGACACAGTAACATGGTAGTATACTAATGAACAACAGAGGACACAGTAACATGGTAGTATACTAATGAACAATAGTGGACACAGGACTCCTCTTCCCACAGTTCATGCATTATGCAACACGTAGGCTTAGGTTGCTTTAAGGAAATAATTTGCAAAGTGGATTAGGTGTGAAGATCATCGTGTAGGAGTCACTTAAACCTTGTGTACACATCACACAACCGCGTGTACACATCACACAACGCTGGGCCAATACATTTGTTAGACTGTGATGACTCTCATTGGAATGTTCGCCAACACTCCCTGTTTCACATCATAAAAAGAGAAACATGTTCACTGGTGTGTTTTAGTCTTGTTTAAAATGTCGGTCAATGTTTACCCTGTTTCAGTGTTTTTTTTATGAAGGTATTTGTTTATAGGTCTAGTATTATGAATGTACTGTATGTGGCCTGTAGCTATATATCACCTTTATTTAGGCCAATGTAGGTTGATCTATTGTGAAGATGACTTTTAACTGCCACATCCATCTCTCTTTAGTTCATGTATATAAAAGGAAGGGAACATTTAAATCGCTGGGTATCTTTTATATTCCCTCTGAGGCCTCAGCATTGAACGGTATCTAACCCTAACCCTTTCATATTCCTGCAGTATTTAGCCTGTATCTGAAATGACTATCAGAGCCATTGTGTCTAGAAAGCTGCCAGACACCTCACCTGAAAGGCAGCACACATCTCAATAGGGGTTGTCTGAATAGAGAGCTCATGTGTTTAATATGGAGCGTCAGAAGTGTCAAAGCCTAACAGGAGTCTAAATCCGTGCTGTGCTTGTGAATAGTCTAAACACCGCCAGGCAGCATGGATCTGCATCAAGCAGGACTATCAAGGTTATTCTGCATCAGCAGGTTCTACACAATGCTATAGATACAACTATTGCACCTTAAAATATTATAAGGGGTCCTTAGATGAAATTCAAGAGATTCAGACTTCAATAGTCTTTATATGTTTGTAGTTTGTTTGTCTCTAGTGTTCTTGTCTTTGTGCTTCTCTGACCGATGACCTATTATGGAGTGGGGAAGGGGAGCGACGAGCCCTGCGGGGGTCACAGGGTCACCAGGTCACAGTCTGCTCAATGCAAGGCCATCTCTCCTCCAGGTGCTCAACACTCAGACAGAAAAGCAATAAACACATTAGCCAGAGTGGCTCTCTCCCTGAGTGCGGTTTACACTAACCCTAGCACTAACCTTAGCCCTAACCCTGCTTTAGAATCCCAGTCATTTGAATTGACAGCCATGGTCGTGGTGCTGTTGTTCCAGTGGAATGGTGCTGCTGTGAGGAGAGATTGTGGCTTTAGTTTCACCTGGATACAAAGCCCATGGGGTTTATCAGCTACATACTCTCATGGCTGTGTTGTTAGTGTGATGTTGATCAATACTAGGTAGCCTAGTGGTTGAGAGCACTGGACCAGTAAACGAAAGGTTGCTGGTTTGAATCCCCGAGCTGTCAAGGTGGAAAAATCTGCCGTTCTACTCTTGAGCAATGCAGTTAACCCCAAACATCAACTGCTCCCCGGGATGTCGATTTAAGGCAGCCCACCCCCTTTCTGATTGGGTTAAATGCGAAAGACACATTTCAGTTGAATGCATTCAGTTGTGCAACTGACTAGGTATCCCCTTTCTCTCTCACTCTCTTCTGCATGTGACTCTGACGGTACAGTCTCTTCTCCAGCTGCTGAGCGCTGCAGTGTCTACTGCTAGAGTTTATTAGGACCATCTGGAGCGGTTTAGAACCTCATTCCTCCCTTCATTTAGCCGGAGGTATGCAAGTAGTGTTTCTGTTCCGGCTCTGGGTAACCCTCTCTGTCTGAGAGCTAACCAATGATACAGAGTGGAGACACATGTAACATCAGAGGAACGGCAGTTTTGTAGAGCGAGGAGGGGGAGTGGGAGTGGGAGGAAGAGGAAGAGCAGGGAGATTAGCCTGGGATGAAGCGAACATCCTGCAGTAATCTCTCCCCTGTATGCATGTGCCTCCACTGCAGGTGCTCTGCTCTCTCTCCCCCTTTCTCTCTCTCTCTCCCACTCTCTCTCACTCGCTCTCTCCCCCTCACTCTCTCTCCCCCTCTCTCGTGCTCTCTCGCTCTCTCTTAGGTGTGCAGTGCCTAGGCAGCTAGTCTGAGTCAGGATTAGGTGGTGCGTGGTGGTAATGAACAGCCCTGCTGAACTTCAGAACATAGCGTGCCTTTAGACGCCTATAGAAGGAGTCCCGGGTAAATATGACAGCACCTCAACAAGCAGCTCCACGTGACAGTGTTGAAGTTTGTGCGTCAGCGAGACCTTTCTGCAGAGAGTCTCTGGGTTGGAGAGGCTTGGCATCTGTTGGTGTGTCTGCTGTTTTTGTCCATCTGGCATTGTGGGTACTTGGTGCCATGACATTGTGGGTACTTGGTGCCATGACATTTTGGGCATTGTGGGTACTTGGTGCCATGACATTTTGGGCATTGTGGGTACTTGGTGCCATGACATTTTGGGCATTGTGGGTACTTGGTGCCATGACATCCTGACTGTAGATGGTCCCTACTCCGTCCTCCTGGGGAAAGGGTCCAGATTAGTCTTCTGGTTCAGCCACAGTGCTCATAAGGGCTCAGATCTGTCTAGACAGGATGTTAGAGCCATGGCACTTTAAATAGTTTTACTGGCCCATCTTTAACTATAGCAGTTCTCAGTTTTACTGGCCCATCTTTAACTATAGCAGTTCTCATAGTTTTACTGGTCCAACTTGTTTCGAACTGACCCTACCTTTAACAACCCTGTCCAGTTAAATGGCTCCTATTTATCTCTGGCTCTATTCCCATGAAAGGAGGAGGATACTATTTCTGAAGGGGTTTATTGAAAGACATGTTTTTATCCTGTTACTGTCTGGGAGGCAGTTGTTAAATACCCCTCGTCCATGTTCTAATTGAGTTGTTGTAGTAATGGTTATACCCTAAGTAAGTTGAAGTGTTGGATCTGCAGTCTGGTAGACATAGTGTTGCTTCTCCCTTATATGAGCTGTAGTGTTGGTTCTGTTGTTGGTTCTGCCCTCAGGGAGACGTAGTGTTGCTTCTCCCTTATATGAGCTGTAGTGTTGGTTCTGTTGTTGGTTCTGCCCTCAGGGAGACGTAGTGTTGCTTCTCCCTTAAATGAGCTGTAGTGTTGGTTCTGTTGTTGGTTCTGCCCTCCAGGAGACGTAGTGTTGGTTCCCCTTTAAGTGAGCTGTAGTGTCAGGGAGCCACTGTAACTAATGCATTCTGCATCTCTAATCTGCACCAGTCTCCATGACGCACAATAGCGCCCACTCCTCACTCTCCTTCTCCTCCCACTCTTCCCTCTCTCCATGCATCCCGAGGCCCTGCCGGCTATAGGGCCGTCAGAGCCAGGCCGTTTAAACAGCTCATGTTTTTACCAGTCTGGCAGTGAAACTGATAGTTCTATCCACAACATAATGACGGGCTGGCGAAACCAGCCCTCTGATGTGACACCTGTCACCGAAAGTCATGTTCAGGTGTGACCTGCAGCAGCCATTGGTCCTTCCAGGGGGAGCGGAAACAGAACCTTTTGTTTTTCTCTTCACTGGCTGATCTAAAGCATGAGAACAGATTGGATATCATACTGATGCACCTGCTCATCAAATACAGAATCCTTCTTGAACAATGGCTTCTCTCAGGACAGATTGTTCCATCACTGAACCCAGTGTGTGTGTGTGTATCGATGTAATCTCTTCACAGCTTCTTGTTCAATGTATTTGGTCAGGGTTGGGGATATATAGGCTGTGTATTGCTTTGTGATTCAAGTGCAATTGGAATGCTGTAGGTTCCGGGGCCTTGATGGAAACAAAATGCATTGTGGGTGTTTCAGGGCGTGATTTGCCTTTATTTATTTATTTATTTATTTATTTATTTATTTATTTATTTTAATATATTGAGTAATCACTGTAGGATATCATGAAGCATTCCCCTACATGTAGCGCGATGAGACAATCAGCCGGGTAGTCACAATCTGTCTGGAGCAAGCGTCTGTGGTCTCAATTGATTAGCGATGCTGTCTGTGTCTGTCAACCCGCCTGGCAGGGCTGAAAATCTCCTAACAAGCATCAGATTGAATGGGAGATTATTTCAAACAGCATGGCGGTATACAGGGAGGCAATATGAGCGTGGCGTTGTCTTTTTCTGTTGACTGTGAGACAGGCGTGTATCTGGCATCAAACATCCCTGAGACAAAGAGATGATGAAATGATGGTGAAATGAAATGGCTGCGTGTGTGAGATAAGAGATGAAGAGGTCTGACCAGGTCCATCTCCAGACAAGCTGCTCTTAGTATTCCATCCTGTCAGCCTGCTCCCCCTGTGGAATCAGACGAAAGGATAGACTGAGATGGAGCTGAAAAATAGATCTAAAAAGCAAAAAAGGCCCTGTGCATCTCAGCGAGGGAGATGGAGAGACAGAGGAAAAAAGAGATCTGGCCTTGAAAGTCTGTTGGCAATTTGACGCCTCCTTTGTACTTGTTATCAGTTGTCAGCTGCTGCAGAGGTCTTGGCTTTAATGGAGAACTTAATTACAATTCAGAGAGTCAACATAAATCAGAAGTCTGTTATTATGAGGTGGACGGCTGCTGGCCGGTGCTGCTGGGGGTTGTTCTGAAGGAGCATTATATTATTGTTTTAACCTCCCTGGACACTACAGTGTTGATATATGAAAGACAATGAAATCATGTCCAAGGCCCAGACTGACTAAATTAGTCACACTAACAACTGAGACCAGAGATGAGTTAAACCGCTGAACAGAAGGGTATACTACAAAACATGATCAATGCGTTAGCCAGCTAACTTTGATAAACAACCAGAAATAAGTGGATTTTCTGGTTCATTAAGAAAGCTAAACATAGATATTTGTTTTTGGTTGTTGAGCCAATTAGACCATGCCCATTTTCAGGCTTATCTTAAAAAAAGAAAAAAGAAAAGCTATTTCAGAATATTCAGGCAAGTTAGCTGGCTAACTCTTTGATCTTACTTTGTAGTATACCGCTCAGTTTAGATCCATCCAGGGCAAATCGGTCAAAGCCTGGGGCCATGATTTAAAGGCCATTGAGCTAAGCCTGGGCTTCCAAACTAAATAAAATGCACAACAGAGGGTAGTGGGTCTGTTTAAGGATGTATGGGAATAATCCTGTTTTCTCCGGTCTCTTCCCAGGCCCAGACTGCAAGCACAGAGGAAGTTTGCCCAGTCGCAGCCCAACTCTCCCAGCACCACCCCGGTCAAGGTGTCTGATACCGCCCTGCCCGCCCCCTCCGCTCACATCAGAGACATCTCCAGACGGAAACCCAAGACTGAGGACTTCCTCACCTTCCTCTGCCTGAGAGGTACAGTAACCATGAAAGGATAAGAGCGTCTGCTAAATGACTAAAATGTCTAACATCCCACCCTTTCATCTGCACACCCCTTCATCCACCCCTACACACACTCAACCCTTCATCCTCCCGCCTCACTTCCTCACTCAGTCGACCACTCACCCCAGCACCATGCATCTCGTCACCAGGCCAATGCCATGGCCCGATGTCAGGGCTCTGCTTCTTTAACCTCAGTCAGGACTATGGCTTCAGTTCAGCAGCCACACATCTCAAGAAAGGTCCAGGCCTCCCTCCCGGCCTACCTTTGACCTAGATCCAGGCCTAGCTGTGCAGCAGGAATAGTTCAGTCTGAGGTCCAGGTTCATTGACCCGGTTTAAAACTCTGACAAGGCAAACACCCTGACAAGGCAAACACCCTGACAAGGCAAACACCAAACCCATTCTGTCCTCACAGGTTACACATTGACCATATCTGCAGGTAACATTTCAACAGTGAATAATGAACATTGTTATCTGCACACAGTCTCAGCTTTGAGCGCCCCCCCCTCCACACACACACACACGCACGCACACACACACATACACACACACATACACACACACACACATACACACACACATACACAAACACACACACAGACATCCTGGTAGAGCCAGATAATCCTGCTCCTACACCTCAGCACATGAGGGCACAGAGAGGCCCGGGCTGCTCTCTGCCGCCCACAACACAAACATGGCCCAGCTAGGGAAATGAGGGCAGAATAACAGGCACAGGGTTCAGCTGAAATCCCACCTCGTTTCTGTAGTGTTATACAGGACTCAAGAAGTTCACTGTCATGGACAGTTTTCCTTTTACGCTTTATCTTAATTATGAATTGAAACCCAAAAAGAGAAATCGAGAGGCAGAGTGGAATATAACCTCAGATTAGGAACAAATAGTTTTTGGGGATATATTTTAATCAACAACCTTGGCCTTGGCTTTTACTGCCGTCTTCAGTCCCAAAGAGTGTTTAACTCTGAACAGTATCTCCTCCCACCCAGCAGAACCGTCCATGACTCCATCACAAACAGAAATAGCCCTTTAGGAAGACTAATGCCTCGATTTAGATTAATTTGGTATTGCCATTAACCTCTGCTGGCTACATGAAGTAGGTTAAAAAGATCTGCAATCAGCTGGGAACTGAGAGGCCCAGAGGAGAAGAAGGCGGCTCGTGTTTAAAAGCCAATGTCGCTTTAATGTAACAGAACGCTGTTCAGAGCACCGTAATTAGAGATCAGTAAAACTGACAGGGTTGGCTGCCTTATTCTCAGGGGAACAGATCGGTTCTCATAATGTCCCAGTAAATGTCTTCTGTTCAGGGTTTGGACAACTCCTGTGTATGGTTTGGATGCTATGCTAACTCCTGACCAGTGTGTTTTTTTCTCACTGTGCCATGCCTGGTTGACCGCTGTACCCCCTGTCTCTGTGGCAGCCTTATTTATAGCCCCGTTACCCGGCCGAGAGGCAGACTGATTCCTCTGCAGAGCTCATGCTGCCTTAATGGCATTTTCATACACAGGGTTTTGCTCTCTCTTCCTGCACTTTATTGGCCCATGTGGAAGAGGCCAATACATTGAGGTGGCATGCAAGAATGTCAGGGCAGCGCAGAGGTCTGCATATGCATGAGTGTGCATGCATGCACGTGCACGGTCGGTGTCCTGGGGACAGATGGATATAGAACAAAAGGAAGCAGCGTTTTATCTTTCAAAGGTGCTTTTGGCCTTTGATTTCATTCAAAGGGCTTTGTACGTCTGATTCCACTTTGGTGGCCCAGGCTAGCTAGGTGTGTAACAGCCTGTGGTGGCCCAAGAACAGGCAGCTGTGTTGGGGTCCAACACTTACACTGTCGTATACATTTATTTATATTTGCCCCATAGAGCGGACAGGGAGGAGTAGGCAAGCAGTCGGCACACGGTCTATTCTTCTAGCGCTGGACCAGACCAATGGCGTTCCTGGTAGAAAATAGAGATCAAACGGTCATTCTGTTCAAACTGCTCGACTCCTCAAATGTTTATCTTATCTGACAAACATGCCACATTCCCAGCAAGCCCCCTGTCTGACAGCTTTAGAATGATGATAAAGCGCTGGTAATTAAAGCAGGCCATTTCCACTGTGATTTCATGGGGAGAAGTTTTCCTCTTTTGTTCTCTACAGCAGCAGCTTGTAATCACCACTGCTTATTCCTCTGGGACTCGGCATCATAATGAGCTGTTCCTGTCTCCTGGTTTTTAAACGGGAACGATATATTTTTAATCCCTCTTGGGAAACGGCTGGCTGCTCTGATGCAATGTGGAGTAATATGCGACGGACACAAAATGGAGCGAATCACAGTTTAGTGTTTATGTGCTACATGCCTTCTCAAATCCCTTTTTATTACGGCTGTTTATATCCGTGGAGAAAGCCATTTGGAGGCTGTCTCTGAGCTTTGTCTGTAGTCTTGGGTAGAGAGGGTCATTGTTGGTAGTGGCTGTGACGCTATCCCCGATTTCTCCTTATCGCAGCTGAGCCTCCCTCTGCACATACACACACACACACACGGCTGGGATAATGCCAGATAAAGTAGTAGATGAATAACCCCCACTAACATGCTCATCCAGTGTTACATAACAGGTACTTCTATATGCGTGTGTGCCATGGTTGGCTGAACATTGAATGGGTCTGGGTCTAGGTCTGAGGCTGCTGCTGCGGCCGTGGTTGTGCTACGAAGGGAAGGCTGATTAAATTTAGCCAGCGACTCCCAGAGCTGACTGGAGCCGAGGGCAGCATGGGTTAATGGATTTGCAGACATTCAGGAATGTAAATTGGAGGAGATATAATCCCCAATCCTCTCGGATTCACTCCGCTGCATCGGCCTGTAAAACAATGTTATTGAAAAAGCCCCAGTCCGCGCTCTTTCATTCCCTCCCCTCCACCTATCTTGTTCCTGATGGTGAAGTATGAGGGGTTGGAGAGAGGGCAGAGCGTCTGACATGGTCTCTCCACACACTGTCTCTGTCTATGATGGGGGATTCAGCCAGGGATTGGCCCTCTGCTTCCGTTGGAACAGCTTGAGAAGAGGAAGCGCATACTCTAAACTCTTTGGGGTCAGATTGGAACTGCTTTTCTGACCAGCTCTAGAGATTCCTGAGGGTCTGTAGCCTATACGTGACGGCCATGAGAAGTGCTCATTTTCGGTAACATGGATGTTAATCAGATGATTATAAATGTGTGTTATTTTTTCTCAGTTAAAGCCCTTGATTGGCCGTTTAAACTCATTGTTTTTTTATTTTAAGTCAACCATTTTGGTTGTAATTACGCCTGTCTAGTAAAATATTCCAATCATAATAGACAGTTTCAGCCTTAATTATGATTTGCCTGTGGTTCTGAGGCACATGAAAAGGCCCATAATTGAGGAAAGGGAGGAGGGAGGGGAACAGGCCAGGAGCAGGGAGGAGGGAGGCCTGGGTTATATTTCTCTGTGTCTGGGAGCTGACAGACAGAGTCTCTGCGCCAGAGAGGCTGTTAAGCCCAGCACCACCCTTCTCGCCTCTGTCTGAGAACCAGCCTCTGAAGATATAGCCTAGCCATAGACCAGACGCCAGTGACCAGAGGAGCCAGCCCAACAGGCTTCTTCTTTCCCTCCCTCTGTCTCTGGAGGCTACAAAAAAATGGGAGCAACAGGCTTATTTTGGGCCCCTGGAAAAGGTTACAGGATAACATTGTCCAGTCTCATTCTCCCCTCTCTTTCTCACTCCACCACAAAAAGATATCTCGCCCACCCATCGGACGAGAGACCTCCCCCTCATGCGCCACTCCACCCCTCCAACCCCTCGTCCCCCTTCAACCCCCTGGGCCTGCTAGCCATTTGGCCCTGTGACCCCAGAGAAGGCAGTAATTGCAGCCATGTTGTTAATGAAGCAGGTCATTTGGAGCTGATTGGGAGTTTGTTGTTTAAAGAGCTAGAGAGCTGGCACAGATGTGCTATGTATCACACTCCCCTTCAGTCAGTCAGTCAATCAATCAATCAAATGTATTTATAAAGCTCTTTTTATATCAGCAGATGTCACAAATTGCTTATACAGAACCTAGCTAGCCCAGTCCTCTACAGGTCTTAGCCAGACTGAACCCAGCACATCAAACCTAGTCCAGACGTGGCTTCTACTCACGTTACACATTGTACTCTTCTCCTAAACCTTATACAATGACCCCTAACCCTAATAACAATGGACTGGCATATCTGCTCTCTCTACATGCAGGGCTAGTCAAAGTGTCATTAAAGTATCGCGTTTGGCCATGCTGCCGTTTTAGTCCTGTTGTGACAAAGCTGTGTTGTATTGTGGGTACTGACTGTGTTGTGTAGGCCTACTAACTGTATTCTGATGTGCATGTGAGTCAGAAGGCTCCGATTTCACTGTAATTCATTACTGCATTGAAAGTAACCCTAACCCCATTGGTTTCAGTATGAAAAATGTATGCACTCACTAACTGTAAGTCGCTCTGGATAAGAGCGTCTGCTAAATGACTAAAATGTAAAAATGTAAAATGTTCCCCTATTTTCTAGTAACCCTAACCCCATTGGCTCCCATGTTGTCTGTCCTACAGCAGGATGCTTAATTCAAAATGAGTAGCCAGTTAATGATGCTTATCTTAAAGCACACTTTGCTGCACCATACTACAACCAGTTCCTATAATGATATTGATTGTATAGATTTGCATCCATTTTAATTTGATTATGAAGTTTTGGTTTGATGTCTGACTAATTCTAGCTTCACCACATCTAATTTCAGGTTACTCCTCGTGGCCAAATGAAGGTTAGTTAAATTTATGCATTTTTAAAGTACTTATGAAATAGACAGTAAATGTTAATAATACAAAAGCATGTATATCCCACTCTGTCATTAGGAATGAGCATTTATATATTAATAATACTCTCTAACATAAGATGAAAATGAAATGTAATACAATGTAATGATTCACAACACAAACTTAATTCAAACATCTTAACTTAGGCCTAATCAAAGCTCATTTGACATCATTACAATGCTTTAAACCAATAAACCACAACATCATTACACTAGATAACAATGGTGACTGAGGTGATGCAAACATACCATCTCTTTCTTTTCCCTCTGGTGTCTTTAATGGCCACAGGAGGTCAGACCCTGCGTAACTCAATATTAGGAAGGTGTTACTAATGGGTGTGCATTACAAGGATCACAGATAAGGACATATACACTGAGTGTACCAAACATTAGAAACACCTTCCTAATATTGAGTTGCACCACCTTTTGCCCTCAGAACAAAGCTTCCCACAGTTGTCAAGTTGGCTGTCCTTTGGGTGGTGGACCATTCTTGATACACATGGGAAACTGTTGAATGTGAAAAACCCAGCAGCGTTGCAGTTCTTGACACAAACCGGTGCACCTGGCACCTACTACCATACCCCGATCAAAGGCACTTACATTTTTTGTCTTGCCCATTCATCCTCTGAATGGCACATATACACAATCCATGTCTCAATGCTTAAAAATAATTTTTAAACCTGTCTCCTCCCCTTCATCTACACTGATTATGAAGTGGATTTAACAAGTGTAAGGGAGCATAGAGTTCACCTGGATTCACCTGGTCAGTCTGTCATGGAAAGAACAGGTGTTCTTAATGTTTTGTATACACTGTGTACATTATCAATACTATTAGTATTCCACACACTATGGACCTTCTATTCCAGTGTAAATCATCCATATCAACATACCTGCACCAATAACACACTTGTATTTATACTATTATCTAGTGTGTGTTCCCAGTGCCCCAGCCCTCTGCCATGTTGTGTTCTTTTTATTTTTAATTTTTTTGTCATTTAACAGACGCTCTTATCCAGAGCGACTTACATGAGCAATTAGGGTTAAGTGCCTTGCTCAAGGGCACATCGACAGATTTTTCACCTAGTCGGCTCGGGGATTAGAACCAGCGACCTTTTGGTTACTGGCACAACGCTCTTAACCGCTAAGCTACCTGCCGCCCTAAAATCCAGGGTTTACATTTTAGTCATTTAGCAGACGCTCTTATCCAGAGCAACTTACAGTTAGTGGATGCAGACGTGTGTGTGTGTATATATATGTATATATATATGTATATATATATATATATATATATATATATATATATATATATATATATATATATATATATATATATATATATATATATATATATATATTTGTTTTTTCTTCTTTAAAAAAAAAAAAATGTCATACTGGCCCCCTGTGGGAAATGAACCCACATCCCTTCCCGGCCAAATCCTCCCCTACCTTGGACGACGCTGGACCAATTGTGCGCCGCCCATGGGTCTCCGGGTCGCGGCCGGCTGCGATAGAGCCTGGACTCGAACCAGAATCTCTAGTGGCACAGCCACTCGGGAGTGGCGCCACTACATCACGTTATGTAACGTGATGTAGCTATGTAGGCAGGCAAGCAGGCAAATACATGCAGATGTATAGCTGGCTAGTGAGAGCACAGTTATACTGGTCCATCCATAGTGCACCGGTCGCACTCCTTTATCATTTATGAGAAACACTGGAACATGCTGCAGACAATGGGAATTGTTCCGCACGTTAACACACAGGGAGAGAGGGAGAGGAGGAGAGGAAGGAAAGGGAGTGACTGAGGAAGAAAGCTTTTATGACATTTTCTGGGGTGCTGTGATTTTACAGTACTGGTGTTTTCCAGCACACAATCTATCAGACGGCTGCAGTAGTTCTCTCCTCACATGATAACTGCTCGGTAGGTTCACGTTGGTTTTATCTCTCTCTCCTCTCTCTCTCTCTCTCTCTCTCTCTCTCTCTCTCCTCTCTCTCTCTCTCTCTCTCTCTCTCTCTCTCTCTCCCTCTCTCTCTCTCTCTCTCTCTCTCTCTCCTCTCTCTCTCTCTCTCTCTCTCTCTCTCTCTCTCTCTCTCTCTCTCTCTCCCCTCCCCCCCCAGGTTCGTCAGCGTTGCCCAGTAACATGGCGTACTTTGGGAGCTCTCAGGATGAAGATGAGCTGGATGATGATGAAGAGGAGTACGAGGACGTGAAGCCAGACATCAGCGTGGCGTCTACTTCCTGTCAGTCCACGCCCAGGAAGGGCAAACCCCCAGGGAAACACGCCGTCAATGGCCACGGTACGACAACTTCGTCTTACCTACAGTGGGGGAAAAAAGTATTTAGTCAGCCACCAATTGTGCAAGTTCTCCCACCTAAAAAGATGAGAGAGGCCTGTAATTTTCATCATAGGTACACGTCAACTATGACAGACAAAATGAGGAAAAAAAATCCAGAAAATCACATTGTAGGATTTTTTAATGAATTTATTTGCAAATTATGGTGGAAAATAAGTATTTGGTCAATAACAAAAGTTTCTCAATACTTTGTTATATACCCTTTGTTGGCAATGACACAGGTCAAACATTTTCTGTAAGTCTTCACAAGGTTTTCACACATCATTGTCATGCTGAAAGACCCAGCCACGTTTCATCTTCAATGCCCTTGCTGATGGAAGGAGGTTTTCACTCAAAATCTCACGATACATGGCCCCATTCATTCTTTCCTTTACATGGATCAGTCGTCCTGGTCCCTTTGCAGAAAAACAGCCCCAAAGCATGATGTTTCCACCCCCATGCTTCACAGTAGGTATGGTGTTCTTTGGATGCAACTCAGCATTCTTTGTCCTCCAAACACGACGAGTTGAGTTTTTACCAAAAAGTTATATTTTGGTTTCATCTGACCATATGACATTCTCCCAATCCTCTTCTGGATCATCCAAATAAACTCTAGCAAACTTCAGACGGGCCTGGACATGTACTGGCTTAAGCAGGGGGACACGTCTGGCACTGCAGGATTTGAGTCCCTGGCGGTGTAGTGTGTTATTGATGGTAGGCTTTGTTACTTTGGTCCCAGCTCTCTGCAGGTCATTCACTAGGTCCCCCCGTGTGGTTCTGGGATTTTTGCTCACCGTTCTTGTGATCATTTTGACCCCACGGGGTGAGATCTTGCGTGGAGCCCCAGATCGAGGGAGATTATTAGTGGTCTTGTATGTCTTCCATTTCCTAATAATTGCTCCCACAGTTGATTTCTTCAAACCAAGCTGCTTACCTATTGCAGATTCAGTCTTCCCAGCCTGGTGCAGGTCTACAATTTTGTTTCTGGTGTCCTTTGACAGCTCTTTGGTCTTGGCCATAGTGGAGTTTGGAGAGTGACTGTTTGAGGTTGTGGACAGGTGTCTTTTATACTGATAACAAGTTCAAACAGGTGCCATTAATACAGGTAACGAGTGGAGGACAGAGGAGCCTCTTAAAGAAGAAGTTACAAGTCTGTGAGAGCCAGAAATCTTGCTTGTTTGTAGGTGACCAAATACTTATTTTCCACCATCATTTGCAAATAAATTCATTAAATATCCTACAATGTGATTTTCTGGAGAAAAAAAATCCCATTTTGTCTGTCATAGTTGACATGTACTTATAATGAAAATTACAGGCCTCTCATCTTTTTAAGTGGGAGAACTTGCACAATTGGTGGCTGACTAAATACTTTTTTCCCCCACTGTACCTAACCTTAACCCCAACAGTAAGAAACTGTTCTCTCTCATAGTGCCAACTCCCTTCATTTCCATAGAGCTCTGTACATACAGCACAGTACCACACCTTAGACAGTTCATACACACTGACCAATCACAACAGATATTTAACACTGACCAATCACGGTTGAGGGCCGAAGTGGAACGGGTGGAATGGTTCCAATGGACCTAATGCGCACAAGAGACCCACATGGTTAGAGCTGTCTGCAGCCGAGCATGGCTGAGTGAGTGAGTGAGTGAGTGAGTGAGTGAGTGAGTGAGTGAGTGAGTGAGTGAGTGAGTGAGTGAGTGAGTGAGTGAGTGAGTGAGTGAGTGAGTGAGTGAGTGAGTCCAATTAACACTAGGAGTGAACAGAGGTAACAAGGTGTTTATGCATTCAGCTCACAGCTAGCCGGGGAGGAGGCCAACAGGGATGGAAAACAAGGAGAACACAGCCCCGCCGCTTACACACACACACTTTACCATAGTAGCGTGGCAATAGCCATATTTACCAAAGTAGCCTGTCCTATGGCAGCGCACTTGCTCTCCCTCAGTACAGTGTTAGGCCTGGACTGTAAGTACCTTTAGAAGCCTGTCTCCCAGTACAGTATTAGACCTGGCCAGTACAGTAAACTATAAGGCCGTGTGTCAGATGTGACACTTTAAAATGCAGCGTGGGCAGGACTCCAGTAGTTTATATTAGCTGCAGGGCACAGAGAGAGAGAGAAAAACCACAGAGCTCTGCTTTCATTACCCTGCACCTCACTAACCCCAGCCATGTTTACATTTCTAAATTAAACACCTTTTATTGAGTTCAGTTCCCCGGTAGCTTTTCAAAACGCCAGCCTTTCAGCAAGGGACTTTGGGGATGGACCATGTCGTTTTATAAACGCCAGCACCTGTTGATATTAAAACGCTGTAAAAATAAAGTGAACCTCATCAAATATAAAGATAACTGTTGAATATGTGTTAATTGAATGGTTTGGACAGTTTAATATCAGTGTTTCTGCTCTAGTCTGAGGTTAGCAGGGCTGTAGTCTGGTGCTTGACCAATATAATGTTCCCCATAAGTCACTGTACAAGACTGGAGAAAATATTTAATTGACATTTATAAATTCTTGTTGAGGTTTTCATATACAGTGCCTTCAGAAAGTATTCACACCCCTTGACTTTTTCCACATTTTGTGTTACAGCCTGAATTAAAATGTGATTAAATAGAGATTTTTTGGGTCACTGGACTACACACAATACCCCATAATGTCAAAGTGGAATTATGTTTTTCGAAATATTTACACATTCATTAGAAATGAAAAGCTTAAATGTCTTGAGTCAATAAGTATTCAACCCCTTTGTTATGGCAAGCCTAAATAAGTTCAGGAGGAAAAATGTGCTTAACAAGTCACAAGTTGCATGGACTCACTTTGTGTGCAATGTGTTTAACATAATTTTTGAATGACTACCTCATCTCTGTACCGCCCTGAGATTGGAAGGTTGGGAGTTAAATCCTTGGCCGAGTCATACCAAAGACTGTAAAAATGGGACCTGATGCATCTCTGCTTGACACTCAGCATTAAGGAGATTGATTGGGGGTAAGGCCCTGCGATAGACTAGTGTCCTGTCCAGGGGGTGTACTTGTATACTGAACAAAAATATAAACGCATGTAAAGTGTTGGTCCCATGTTTCATGAGCTGAAATTTAAGATCCCAGAAATGTTTGAGGCACAAAAAGCTTATTTCGCTCAAATGTTGTACACAAATGTGTTAACATCCCTGTTAGTGAGCATTTTATCATTTGTCAAGATAATCCATCCACCTGACAGGTGTGGCATATCAAGAAGCTGATTAAACAGTGTGATCATTACACAGATGTACCTTGTGCTGGGGACAATAAAAGGCAACTCTAAAATGTGCAGTTTTGTAACACAACACAATGCCACAGATGTCGACAAGTTTTGAGGGAGCGTGCAATTGGCATGCTGACTGCAGGAATGTCCAACAGAGCTGTTGCCAGATTTGAATGTTAATTTCTGTACCATAAGCCGCCTCCAACGTCGTTTTAGAGAATTTGGCAGTACATCCAACCAGCCTCACAACCGCAGGCTACGTGTAACCACACCAGCCCAGGACCTCCACATCCGGCTTCTTCACCGGCGGGATCGTTTGAGGGGGAGGGGGAGGGGTGGTGCTGAGGAGTATTTCTGTCTGTAATAAAGCCCTTTTGTGGGGAAAAACTCCATTCTGATTGGCTGGTTCAGGCTCCCCAGTGGGTGGGCCTGGCTCCCACTGGCCAGGCCCCCACCCATGGCTGCGCCCCTTCCTGGTCGTGAAATCCATAGATTAGGGCCTAATGAATTTATGTCAATTGACTGATTTCCTCATATGAACTGTAACTCAGCAACATCTTTGAAATTGTTGCATAATGCATTTTTATATTTTTGTTCAGTATACATCAAGCTGCTTCATGCTACAGAAACAGGAGATAGGCTCCTGCTCCTATGAGCTGTTTCAGCTCGCACAAGCCAATGCTCATGCAAGGCTACTTACCTCATCTCTGTACCCCACATATACAATTATCTGTAAGGTCCCTCAGTCGAGCAATGAATTTCAAACAGATTATTTTTTCCAATGCCTGCATTGTTGGTTAAGGGCTTGTAAGTAAGCATTTCACCGTAAGGTCTACACCTGTTGTATTCGGCGCATGTGACAAATAAAATTTGATTTGAAATGGGTAAAAATATAAAAAGCAGAAATTGAATATTCCTTTGAGCATGGTGACGTTATTAATTACACTTTGGATGGTGTATCAATACACCCAGTCACTACAAAGATACAGGTGTCCTTCCTAACTCAGTTGCCGTAGAGGAAGGAAACCACTCAGGGATTTCACCATGAGGCCAACGATGACTTTAAAACAGTTGCAGAGTTTAATGGCTGTGATAGGAGAAAACTGAGGATGGAGCAACAACATTGGAGTTACTCCACAATACTAACCTAATTTGACAGAGTGAAAAGAAGGAAGCCTGTACAGAATACAAATATTTAAATACATGCATTTTGTTTGCATCAAGGCACTAAAGTAATAATGCAAAAAATGTAGCAAAGCAATTCACTTTTGTCCTGAATACAACGAAACACATACTTATGTAAATGAGAGATTTATTTATTTCATTTTCAAGAAATTTGCAAAAAATTCTAAAAACATGTTAATTATGTGTGTAAATAGGTAAGAAAAAAACATCTGTTTAATCCATTTTCAATTCGGGCCGTAACACAGAAGCATCCTTCTACACAGACCTGAGATAATCATTTCTCTACTTTTGGTCCGGTCTTCAACCTTCTAAACTGATCTAAGATCATCTTTTCTCTCCTGTTGGTTCAGTGTTGAACGGCCACAGCAAGACGCCCCGGGACAGCCCCAAGCCAAGAGGGAAGGAGTGGGTGCAGGTGAGGGAGCGCAGTGAGAGGGCGGAGGCCCGGAGGGAGCAGGCCCTCAGCCAGCCAGAGGCCACAGCCAGGGGCCACACCTTACCCAGAGGCCTCACTACCAATGGACTGCCCCACAGGAGGGTTGCAGAGGAGCCCCACAAGCAGGTACTGCATCATACTTCATCTATACCTGAACAGTATGCTTGGTTGATTCGGCTAATATGTCACTCTCTATAATGGTCCTAAAGATGGCTGACCAGCATGCCTCAGTAACCACCAGGCGAGTTATTAAAGAGCAGACATTATCATCATTAGACGAGCAGTAATGTGTGACGATGATAAAATATTACATATTATTAATAGAGTAACGTAACAGTAGCATGCTCAGTGTTGTGTGAAATCCCTGAGCTTCTTTCCTCTCCTCTCCTCCCTTTGTCTCTGTGTAATGATTGCGTTTCAGTCTGCTACTATATTTACTACTGAAGCTGGGCTGAGAAAGCTGCCTTCCTGTCCAAGACGTTCAGTGGGTTTAAACAGTGGTGGAAAAAATATATAATTGTCATACCCAATTGTCATACTTGAGTAAAAGTAAAGATACCTTTTTAAAGAAAATGACTCAAGTAAAATTGAAAGTCACCCAGTAAACTACTACTTGAGTAAAAGTATTTGGTTTTAAATATACTCAAGAATCAAAAGTAAATTTAATTGACAAAATATACTTAAGTATCAAAAGTAAAAGTATAAATCATTTCAAAGTCCTTCTATTAAGCAAACCAGACGGCATCATTTGTATTATATATTTACAAACAAAGCATGTGTTTAGTGAGTCCACCAGATAAGAGGCTGTAGGAATGACCAGGGATGTTCTCTTTATAAGTGTGTGAATTAGACCATTTGTATTGTCCTGCTAAGCATTCAAAATGTAATGAGTACTTTTGGGTGTCAGGGAAAATGTATGGAGTAAAAAGTACATAATTTTCTTTAGGAATGTAGTGAAGTAAAAAATATAAATAGTCAAGTACAGATACCCAAAAAAACTACTTAAGTAGTACTTTCAAGTATTTTTACTTAATACTTTACATCACTGGGTTTAAAGGAGCTCTGCTAAGGAGGAGAGGAGGAGGGGATGACTAGAGTAACTTTGGCCCAGTTTAAAATGCACATTGTGCTTCTACATGAGCTAATCAGAGGGGAGCACTGGGGGCTTTGCCTCTCGTCAGAGAGCGCAACATCTAGACCAGCAGCTCGGCTACCCCAGACGGCCGGCAGACCAGGGCCATGCTGTCTCAGGTTGATGCCGGCCCTGTCGGTTTTAAGTGCCGACAACTGACTGATTAAGGAACAATGAATCTCAATGAGCAGGGCAGAGCCAAGACGTACTACGTTGAAGTTATTGGCCTTTGTTCTATCCCTCTGCCTTCTCTCTGCTTTCTCTCTTCCCCCTCTCCACTTTCTCTTTCTCCCTCTCTCTCTTTACCTCTGTTCATGTGTTGTACTGGCAGATTTACCATCCTTGGCAACAGAGCTCCAATCATTTTGAGGTATTCTAGTTTTTTGATATTAACTGTGAGAGTGCAGCAGCAGGCCGATGTCCAATCCCCTGGCCGATAGCAACGCGATCATGATCCCTCGTCTGTGGAAGGGAATCAGCCATAGGTCAAATGATTGTTATCATACAAGAACCCAATGGGCCTGTTGTACAGCATCTAGTTAGAGCAAGCCAGAGTAATGATATTCTGTGAAATCCGAACTGAGGGATCTTATTTGCTCGGGAATATTAAACTGCTGCTCCGGTCTCCTGTTGACCTTTCTGTCTCGGTTTAAAAGTCAGTATGCTGAAGACTATTCATGTAGACAGATCTCTAAGGCCACATCTTTTCAGCGATCACATTGATGTGCTTGTTTTTATGTACTTTTGAGTGCTACATTGTTTTGTGTGTTTTTTTGGTGGATCGGTGTCAAATCAAATGTTATTTGTCACATGCACCGAATACAACAGGTGTAGACCTAACCGTGAAATGCTTACTTACAAGCCCCTAAACAACAATGCAGTTCAAGAAAGAGTTAAGAAAAGATTTACTAAATAAACTATTAAATTAAATGTAAATTAAAAAGTAACACAGTAAAATAATAATAACGAGGCTATATCTATAGGGGGTACCGGTACCGAGTCAATGTGCGGGGGTACAGGTTAGTTGAGGTAATATGTACATGTAGGTAGGGGTAAAGTGATGCATAGATAATAAACAGCGAGTAGCAACAGTGTAAAAACAAAGGGAGGGTGTCAATGTAAATAGTCCGGGTGGCCATTTGATTAATTGTTCAGCAGTCTTATGGCTTGGGGGTAGAAGCTGTTAAGGAGCCTTTTGGTTCTAGACTTGGCGCTCCGTTACTGCTTGCCGTGCGGTAGCAGAGAGAACCGTCTATGACTTGGGTGACTGGAGTCTTTGACCATTTTTTGGGCCTTCCTCTGACACTGCCTAGAATATAGGTCCTGGATGGCAGGAAGCTTGGCCCCAGTGATGTACTGGGCCATACGCACTACCCTCTGTAGCGTCTTACGGTCAGATGCCGAGCAATTGCCATACCAGGCGGTGATGCAATCGGTCAGGATGCTCTCGATGGTGCAGCTATATAACTTTATGAGGATCTGGGGACCCATGCCAAATCTTTTCAGTCTCTTGAGGGGGAAAAGGTGTTGTTGTGCCCTCTTCACGACTGTCTTGGTGTGTTTGGACCATGATAGTTCGTTGGTGATGTGGACACCAAGGAACTTGAAACTCTCGTGTCTGCTTCTCTATGCACTGGAAGAGTTACGGTTCCTCTTCCTGATCCAGTCTCTTCCTATTGGTTGCTGAGCTGTAGATCTCTTCCTATGGGCCGCTGAGCTGCAGATGTTCCGTGTTAATCTTCCTGCCATCCTGCAGATGGGCTATAGCAACACATGATGTCATCCTGGGCCATCCCCCGCCACCACCCTCCTCTCTTCCCACTCACATGTGACCAAAATCCACTTCAAGGAGTTGGCTGTGGTTCCTATAATGATTTTTTCCCCCTTTGTTCCCACCAGTCTTTTGGTGCTTTCTACAGGGGCCTTCTCATGCTCCACAGGGCTGGGATGTAGTCTTCTCTCTCTCTCTCCTCTCTGTCTCAGACCAGATTATTACAGTGCAAGGCCGCTGCTCACGTGCACACCAACCCTTGAGAGAGAGTTGTGAAGCAGAGTAGAGCCAGTGAGCTCTCTAGTGGTGAAACTAAACTAGACATCCACCACCCAGCCCGCTGTGCCTTTGTCAGCATATCTGTTCGGTCACAGTTGGCTGACTGGCTTTCTGTTTCTGTTCTTTTGGTCGTGGAGGCAAAATGGATGAGTTTGACCCTTAAGCAAGGTGTTTAAGTTCTGCAGACAGAAGTCTTGAGAATTTGATGTAGTCTTTGGTTATAACCCTATCCCTCAAGAGTTGAGAATAGGATGTATTTGTTGAATCGTGGCATCGTGCTGCTTTGAGACCCTGTGTTTAGCCACTCTGCTATCCATCACTCTGGCCTGCTGGGGCGACAGGGTTTGCCATCTCTCTCTCACGCTCTCTCTCTCATGCTCTCTTCCTCCTCTCTTCCCGCTCTCCTCTCAATTTCAATTTAAGGCCTCTCTCTCTGTCCTTCTCTGTATTTTTCCACTTGGAGGGGAGCAGGATTGATGAAGGGGGTCACATTTCACTCCCCTTATCTTTTAATAGCCTCTCTTTGTGTTGGCTGCACCTGATAGAAGCAGGGCTGCAGCTGTATTGTATTCCTAACGCAGAGGCGTTCAGGGGGCAGCGGAGGGAAAGGAGAGAGGGAGACAACTCTGCTTCTTCCGCTGGTGGGTCTGGATGGCTTTATTCCCCCAGCTGCTGTTAGCCAATGAGGTCCCCGATGTAACCTAAGCTACCCACAATCAGAGGTCACATGTTCAGCAGGGGTTCTCAGATCTGCAGGGGGAAAAAGCCTTTTATTTGAGGCATTAAAGGCAAATTAAAGAGCTTAAGGAAACCATACCAAATTAAACTGGCTTTATGTGCTGGGATAGAGTTTCAAGTAGTAACCTTTTTTTATGTAGTGTTTTCTACATACAGCAGTTGGCTCTGAAATGAAAGCCTCACTCTCCATATTAGGGCCGGGATGGCTTTTTTCAGCTGTTGTTGAAGCTGACATTGTTCAGTTTTTTTGCCCTGTGAGAAGAGTGTTTGTCTATAACAGCAGATTTGAAAGTACAGCAACCCTGTATAGGCTTCAATGAATAGCAGCAGTATTTTATGTTTGCTACGAGTTTTTACTTCTTCAATGTGAAGCCACAGCTCCAGAGAGAGTGTGTGTGTGTTAGAACACAGAACCACTGCACAGAATGTTTATGAACAAATCTTTCTGATCTCTTGCGCTCTCTCGTTTCTCTCCTCGTCTCTCATCTCGTTCCTCTCTCTCTCATCGCTCGATAAGTCTCTGCGATAGATCTAGTAGAGATCATAGAGATATGCTGCGGGATCTGCTAGCTCTCTGAGATCATCTCTCTCTAGCGATCTCTCTCAGTCTCTCTCCTCTCTCCCTCTCTCTCTCTCTCTCTCATCTCGCTCTCTCTCTCCTGCTCTCTCCTCTCTCTCTCCAGCTCTCTCTCTCCTCTCTCTCTCTCTCTCTCTCTCTCTCTCTCTCTCTCTCTCTCTCTCTCTCTCTCAGGTCTTTAAAGTGAACGGAGTAACACGGGCGTCCCAGCCAGGCGTGCACACGGCCGGTGCCAAAAAAACTAAAGACTTCAGACTGCCGTCCAAAACTGTGAAGGGCCACGTCACATACACCAAAGCAAAACGAGAACTGGTCAAGAAAACCAAACTGAACCACCGCAAACACAGCACTGCTGCTGCCCATAGAGCCCATAGCAACAATCACCACCACCTCCAGCGCCACCAGCGACTCCCCCTCGCCAACTCAGGAAAAGCCCAGAATAGCAAAGCAAAAACACGCAAACAGGTGCTATTATCCAATGGGGTGCACAAGGTGGCCAACGAGGACGGAGTGCGCCTCAACGGCCGGCTAAATGGTCGTCTCTGTGCCAAGCTGGAGGTGGGCAGGCAGGGGCGTGAGGGGCTGAGGAACTCCAAGCGGAGGCTGGAGGTGGCGGCAGCGGCCATCGGCGCGGTGGCTGACTCCCAGGGTAAGCTGGTCGTCCTGGAAACTAACCCCAACCCTAAGAAGACAAAACAGCCCCAGAGCAGCCTTCTGGACGGTAAGACCAAGCACCAGACCAGCCCTCTGGAGACACGCAGTAAGAAAGCCTGTCAGGACAAGACCTTGGTCCCCAACGGACACATCGTCATGGAAACCACCCCTCCCCCGACCCTGCTAGCCCCACCCCCTCCCCCGACTCCTCCCTCTACACCACCAGCCAATCCAGAACCAGAGCGTCAGCGGCCCAAGCGGGCGTCAGCCGGCAAGCTGATGTTCATCAGACAAGCACAGCAGAGGGCGCAGGCTGCCTCTAACCCTAACCACAACCACAACCGCTCAACTACCTCAGAATCCCCTGGCCACACTCCCGGACATATCCCTCACAAACCAGCAGAGCCCCGGCCTGATAGGGAGTGGGAGAGAGAGCGGGATAAAGAGAGGGCAGAGAGGAGCAGGGCGAGCTGGGCGGCGTTAGGTGAGGCGCCAGTGTTCTCTCCCACCCAGCGAGAGTTCCAGGACCCCCTGGTGTACCTGGACTCTGTGCGGGAGGGAGCGGAGCCCTGTGGACTTTGTCGGGTGGTTCCCCCGGCTGACTGGCGCCCAGAGTGCAAACTAAACGATGAGATGCGCTTTGTGACCCAGGTGCAGCGCATCCACAAGCTGGGCCGTCGCTGGGGACCCAACGTACAGAGGCTAGCCTGCATCAAGAAGCACCTCAAATCTCAGGGCATCACAATGGAAGACCCCCCGCTCATCGGTGAGTCTAACTCATAGACTGTCTCTACTTTACCAGCAATAACCCAATCCCCCTGTTCATAGGTTAGTCTCAAACATTCAGACACACTTACATAGGCTGGACAAATGTCGCAAAACAAACCTCTTTAGCAAACATTGGGTCTTGAATGTATTGACAATCCAATAAAACGTTTGTTGCGTTCCACCAACCGTATCTTGTATTTATACTGTAGATTTCAATAACAATATTCAGATGTAGCTATATGTCTGTGAGGCAGTAAAACAATATTCCCAGCAGCTTGTCTGCCTCCTTAGATTTCTCACTCAGCAGCTTGATGTGGTTTTTAAACAGCCTCTCACCTTCAGACTCCCTTGGCCTGTTTCAGAGCCCAGTCAGTGTATCTGACTGAAATATATGTTTGAGTCTGTATGAGAATGCGGCCGATTGTAATGCTATCATTACTGTAGAAGTGTTAAACTCATGGCCATTGACCCTCACCCATATCTCTCTCCCCAGGCGGCTGTGAGGTGGACCTGGCTCGGTTCTTCCAGCTGATTAATGACATGGGCGGCATGCAGCAGGTGATGGACCTGAAGAAGTGGAGTAAACTGGCTGATCTGCTGCGGATCCCCAAGTCAGCCCAGGACCGGCTGGCCAAGCTGCAGGAGTCCTACCTCCAGTACCTGCTGTCTTATGACTCTCTGACCCCCGAGGAGCACCGGCGCCTGGAGAGGGAGGTGCTGCAGGAGAAGGAGGGCCTGGAGCGCCGCAGGGGGCCCCTGGAAGGCCACACAGAGAGGAGCCTGGCCCTGCCGCGCTACGAGCCCAAGAACGGGCTGGCCGGCAGTCTGGTGCAGCGCAGCAACGGTCAGCTGTGCAGCCGGCTGAAGGAGCTGGACAGTCAGCAGCTGAAGGTGGGACGCCGGAGGCTGTTCGCTCAGGAAAAGAAGAATGGGGACAAGACACAGCAGGAGGAAGAGGAGGAGGATGAGGATATGGAGAAAGGCGTTCTCAGTGACCAGCACAAGTGTATTTACAAGGTGAAGCCCGGGCGACAACTTTGCACATCCCTTTTTAAATCAGTGTTTTTGTTCATTCCTCTCATGCCCTGTTCATGCTACAGGAGGAAGGGAAACATGGTATCTAGATCCAGTCCTGCCTGCTCTGTTCTGTTGTTGTAGCTGATGGAATGTAGGTCAGTGCTGCGCTGGTTGAAATGGAGCCTCAGACAGCAGGCCTCTGCCTCTCTACTCCACATCACTCTGCCCTGCCTCTCTCTGTGTTACCCCTGCCCACACACCCACACACAATAGCTTCCTGACCCAGACGTTCCCCTTGGTGCCCTTCTCATGGAAGAGTGTGATGATGTGCATGTAGTTTCTAACCCTAGCCCTCTCCTTCCTCAACCTGCTGTGTGTCTATGATCTCATGACATCTCAAACACCGTTCTGGTCTGGATTCCATTTCAATCTTTTCCCTCCTCCTTTTTGTAACCAAGTCCCCAACACAAGCAGACCCATAAGATGTGAGATCAGTACAGTTACAGTAACCCAGTTCTTACAGAGAGGAGATGTGAGCGGGGTCTTAAATCCAGGGACAGTACAGGCAGATTTTATAGACGCCATCAAGGCCCCTCCAATCTGAGTAGGCATCCCAGGGAAGGTTCATATTAACTAGTCATGCTCAGAAACGTTCGACACAGACATGGAGCTGCAGAGACTTGCATACAGTACACTCAGGTCATGCAGTCTTTCATTTTTCATTGCAGAAGTATGCCCTGGTGTATGGCTATATGTTTCTCTTCAAGGCTCGTCTATAGGACAGTATTTGCTGTTTGATGTTAGCTGTACTATGTGGCTTCTGTTGTGTTGCAGGGGAAATCTGTATCTCTCACCAACTTCTTTAGGATAGCCAGGAACACCATGACCATGTGCTTTAACAAAGAGCCCGGGGCTGCTGAGGTCGAGGTAAGAATGGAACCAGTCTCAATCCCTACTGGCCTTATGTAGGGGTCAGCGCACTACTGTAGCATACTATTGACCTCCGGCTCCATTTATTAGTCACTACTTAAATCTTTTTTTTAGTATGCACATTTATTGATAACTGCTCACTTCTCCTTTTTCTCTTCCTTTACAGCAAGAATACTGGAGGATAGTGGAGCAGAGGCACTGTCATGTGGCAGTGCATTATGGGAAAGTGGACACCAACACACACGGAAGTGGCTTCCCCGTGGGAAAGTCAGAGCCATTTTCTAAGTAAGAAGACCCAATGTCATCACACCCTAAAAATTACCATGGAGTCGACCCTATATGGTCCAGCTTTAAATTACTTTCAGCTTATAAAGACTTCCTAAGCACTACATCAATGTTTTAAGTATGTCATGCTTTATAAAGGGTTAATAAATGTGGCATAACTGTGACATAATGACCAATGTCATTTATGACATAACCCACTATGTCAAATATGATACAGCATGACAGGGTTAAAAATGCTTTGAAGCCTCAATTTAATATGATTTATAAGGCCTTTATTAAGAGGTGCGTATGCCATATAGTGGGTTATGTCACATTTGACATTGGCGGTTATGTCACACAGTTATGCCACATTTATGAACCCTTTATAAAGCATGACATACGGTTATAGATTTGTAACACATTTATGTAGTGTTTATGACGGCTTTATGAAGCTTTTATAAGCTGCACGTCATTTAAAGCGGGACCAACAATATCTCTTGACTGGCCACTGTGGAATGACTGTGTCCTTTCTCTAACCCTTTCAATGACTGTTCACTCTCCCTTTCAGACATGGATGGAACCTCACTGTCCTCCCAAATAACTCTGGATCCATTCTGCGGCATCTTGGAGCTGTGCCCGGTGAGATTTCTACCTTAACCCCTCATCCTCACTCTAACCCCTAACCCTCACCCCTGATCCTCACCCCCTCTCTCACACTAACCTTCACCCCTGAGGCACATGTCTCTCTGCTGGAGACAATGGGAAGATCTCAATTGCATACTCCTCTCGTCTCCTTCTCAAAACCCATTGGATGAGAAAGCCAGAGGTCCCTCCCCTGTGACCTTTTCCTCCAATGGGTTTTGAGAAAGAGATGAGCAGAGAGGACGCGAGGAGTAGGCAATTGAGATCTTCCCATTGTGATGCCTGTTGTGGCGTCTGCGGTTTTAAAACTGACTTCTCTGTCTCTCTCCGTAGGAGTGACCATTCCCTGGCTGAACATTGGCATGGTCTTTTCTACCTCATGCTGGTCTCGAGACCAAAACCGCCTTCCATACATTGATTACTTACACACTGGTGCTGACTGCATTTGGTAAGTATCCCAACATGACCACCTCTGGCTCTCTCTTCCTCCTCACAGGTAGATGTGTACAGTACAAGGACATTACAAAGATATGTGGTTTTTCTAAGGTGAATACGTGGAATACGTGATATAAAACATGACAAAGCCCTGTCATTGATAACACCCATCTCGGATCAGGCTTGTAATTAGCTGATCAAATTCCACCTTCCTTGAACATGCCAGTCTTTTGGAAATATTATGTATTTATGCCAAAGTGTCTCTCATTAAAGCTACATTTACTTACAACAAGAAACGACTGGGTGGCAGCGAAAGCCACAGACATTAGTGTTTTGTATTGACCTGTTATGGAGGCAATGTTTATTCTCTTTGCATTAGCCCAACTTGAATGTGATGGTAATGAAGGGGGTTGAGAAAGGGCATTGGCTGTGGACATCCACCAGCCCAACCCCTCCCTCCTTCCCCATGTGTGCTACCTGCCCATTGGTGGTGACACAGGTGAGTAGCAATGTGCTAGGAGGTTCCTGAGATGAAGGCAAGTCATAATCAACATCATTGACTGTCTGCTCTCTTGAAGTATGAATGTTCCCCTCATCTTTTCATGGTGTGTCTCCATGTCCTAGAGTAGGGGTTCCCAAACATTTTGCAGGTTTAAAGCATATTTCCTGCAATTCTACACATTTTGTCATGGGGTGCAAAGAAAATGTTGCAATTTTAAAGCACATTTCCTTGCAATTATATACATTTTGCCATGTCTAATGTTTATTCTTGTGATATTTGAGTGACAAAAAAATTACAACAATATCTATGGGCTACAAAACCTAAGTAAAAAAACTGACAACGTTGCTGACAGGTGTATAAAATCGAGCACACTGCCATGCAATCTCCATAGACAAACATTGGCAGTAGAATGGCTTTACTGAAGAGCTCAGTGACTTTCAACGGGGCACCGTCATATGATGCCACCTTTACAACAAGTCAGTTAGACTTGTTAGAGCTGCCTCGGTCAACTGTAAGTGCTGTTATTGTGAAGTGGAAACATCTAGGAGCAACAGCGGCTCAGCCGCGAAGTGGTAGGCCACACAAGCTCACAGAATGGGGCCGCCGAGTGCTGAAGGGTGTAGCGCGTAAAAATTGTCTGTCCTCGGTTGCAACACTCTAAATTGCCTCTGGAAACAACGTCAGCACAAGCTTCATGAAATGGGTTCCATGGCCAAGCAGCCGCACACAAGCCTATGATCACCATGCGCAATGCCAAGTGTCTGCTGGAGTGATGTAAAGCTCGCAGCCTTTGGACTCTGGAGCAGTGGAAACGCGTTCTCTGGAGTGATGAATCACACTTCACCATCTGGCAGTCCAACTGATGAATCTGGGTTTGGCAGATGCCAGGAGAACACTACCTGCCCCAATGCATAGTGCCAACTGTAAAGTTTGGTGGATGAGAAATAATGGTTTGGGGCTGTTTTTCATGGTTTGGGAAATCTGAATGCTACAGCATACAATGACATTCTAGACTATTCTGTGCTTCGAACTTTGTTGCAACAGTTTGGGTTAGGCCTTTTCCTGTTTCAGCATGACAATGCACCCGTGCACAAAGCGAGGTCCATACAGAAATGGTTTGTCGATCGGTGTGGAAGAACTTGACTGGCCTGCACAGAGCCCTGACATCAACCCCATCAAACACCTTTGGGATGAATTGGAACGCCGACTGCGAGCCAGGCCTAATCGCCCAACATCAGTACCCGACCTCACTAATTATCTTGTGGCTGAATGGAAGCAAGTCCCCGTAGCAATGTTCCAACATTTAGTGGAAATCCTTCCCAGAAGAGAGGAGGCTGTTATAGCAGCGAAGGGGGGACTAACTCCATATTAATGCCCATGATTTTGGAATGAGATGTTCGAGCAGGTGTCCATATACTTTTGGTCATGTAGTGTATGCAATGACTAACATAAGATGAACTGATGATGAACTAAACAATTTCGAAATTGCACCTTGTGCATTCTACTATTACAACTTTCAAGAGTAAGTTTTAAGCCTGACTGTTCCTATACATGTCCTAGAGTTACAGGAAAGGGCTAGACAGTCTGTCTACATGTCCTAGAGTTACAGGAAAGGGCTAGACAGTCTGTCTACATGTCCTAGAGTTACAGGAAAGGGCTAGACAGTCTGTCTACATGTCCTAGAGTTACAGGAAGTGCTAGTTTGGGATGCCCTAGGACAAGCATAAGTCTGTTACACTATTCCCATAGGACTTAGTTGTCCAGTGAGTCTCAGTTAAAAATAGATCTCGTTCTATTATGCAATCAAGGTCCTCCATTTGACAGATGAAACCACAGACGGCCAGACCGCTCTACCTACAGTGTCTACAGGCTATGAGCCCCACAGGAAAGCCGCCTCTCAGGCTCTCATTCACTTTCTCAACCTTCCCTCTAGCTCTCTCTCTTGCTCTCTCTAACCTCTGGAGGCAGTGCGTAAGCACAGACCTACCTCCTGATTGTTCAAAGCTGAGGGGTTACACTGCACAGTTGATGTCCAGCATACCACATACACACACAGAGTTGCATGAACCTGAGTGGTTCCCTCTCGCCCTGCCAGGTATTCTGTTCCTGCTGAGGAGAAGGTGAAGCTTGACAAGGTCGTACACACACTGCTGCAGGCCAATGGGACCCCCGGGCTGGAGATGCTGGAGAAGAACATCATGATATCTCCAGAGGTGCTTTGTCGGGAGGGTATCAAGGTCCACCGCACCGTCCAGCAGAGTGGTCAGTTCGTGGTCTGCTTCCCCGGGACCTTTGTGTCCAAGGTCTGCTGTGGCTACGGTGTGTCGGAAACTGTTCACTTTGCCACCCCCCAGTGGATGAACCTGGGATACGAGGCTTCTAAGGTAAGGCTGAAGCTGGAGCTGCTTTCTGCTGCCTCCCTGTGGCTGTTTAGAGACATAGCTCATTGTTTACACCAGTATCTCTAGAACAGGGCTGCCCATCCCTGTTCCTGGAAAGCTAATCTGTCCTGTAGGTTTTCGCTCCAACCCTAATTTAGCACACCTGATTCTAATAATTAGCTGGTTGATAAGATTAATCAGGTTAGTTAAAACTGGGGTTGGAGCTGAAACCTCCATGAGGGTATTGTAGCTCTCCAGGAACAGGTTTTTTTTATTTTATTTATTTCACCTTTATTTAACCAGGTAAGCCAGTTGAGAACAGGTTCTCATTTACAACTGCGACCTGGCCAAGATAAAGCAAAGTAGTGCAATAAAAACAACAGTTACATATGGGGTAAAAAAAACAAAGTCAGAAATACAACAGAAAATATATATACAGTGTGTGCAAATGTAGCAAGTTATGGAGGTAAGGCAATAAATAGGCTATAGTGCAGAATAATTACAATAGTATTAACACTGGAATGCTAGATGTGCAAGAGATGATGTGCAAATAGAGATACTGGGGTGCAAAAGAGCAAAATAGATAACAATATAGGGATGAGGTAGTTGGGTGGGCTAATTTCAGATGGGCTGTGTACAGGTGCAGTGATCGGTAAGGTGCTCTGACAACTGATGCTTAAAGTTATTGAGGGAGATAAGAGTCTCCAGCTTCAGAGATTTTTGCAATTCGTTCCAGTCATTGGCAGCAGAGAACTGGAAGGAATGGCGGCCAAAGGAGGTGTTGGCTTTGGGAATGACCAGTGAGATATACCTGCTGGAGCGCAGACTACGGGTGGGTGCTGCTATGGTGACCAATGAGCTTAGATAAGGCGGGGATTTGCCTAGCAGTGATTTATAGATGGCCTGGAGCCAGTGGGTTTGACGACGAACATGTAGTGAGGACCAGCCAACAAGAGCGTACAGGTCACAGTGGTGGGTAGTGTATGGGGCTTTGGAGACAAAACGGATGGCACTGTGATAGACTACATCCAATTTGCTGAGTAGAGTGTTGGAGGCTATTTTGTAAATGACATCGCCGAAGTCAAGGATCGGTAGGATAGTCAGTTTTACGAGGGCATGTTTGGCAGCATGAGTGAAGGAGGCTTTGTTGCGAAATAGGAAGCCGATTCTAGATTTAACTTTGGATTGGAGATTCTTTATGTGAGTCTGGAAGTTGAGTTTACAGTCTAACCAGACACCTAGATATTTGTAGTTGTCCACATACTCTAGGTCAGACCCGTCGAGAGTGGTGATTCTAGTCGGATGGGCGGGTGCTAGCAGCGTTCGATTGAAAAGCATGCATTTAGTTTTACTAGTGTTTAAGAGCAGTTGAAGGCTACTGAAGGATTGTTGTATGGCATTGAAGCTCGTTTGGAGGTTTGTTAACACAGTGTCCAATGAAGGGCCAGATGTATACAAAATGGTGTCGTCTGCGTAGAGGTGGATCTGAGAGTCACCAGCAGCAAGAGCGACATCATTGATATACACGGAGAAAAGTGTCGGCCCAAGAATTGAACCCTGTGGCACCCCCATAGAGACTGCCATAGGTCCAGACAACAGGCCCTCCGATTTGACACACTGAACTCTATCTGAGAAGTAGTTGGTGAACCAGGCGAGGCAGTCATTTGAGAAACCAAGGCTATTTAGTCTGCCAATAAGAATGCGGTGGTTGACAGAGTCGAAAGCCTTGGCCAGGTCGATGAAGACGGCTGCACAGTACTGTCTATTATCAATCGTGGTTATAATATCGTTTAGGACCTTGAGCGTGGCTGAAGTGCACCCGTGACCAGCTCGGAAACCGGATTGCATAGCGGAGAAGGTACGGTGGTATTCGAAATGGTCGATGATCTGTTTGTTAACTTGGCTTTCGAATACTTTCGAGAGGCAGGGCAGGATGGATATAGGTCTGTAGCAGTTTGGATCTAGAGTGTCACCCCCTTTGAAGAGGGGGATGACCGCGGCAGCTTTCCAATCTCTGGGGATCTCAGACGTTATGAAAGAGAGGTTGAACAGACTAGTAATAGGGGTTGCGACAATTTCGGCGGCTAGTTTTAGAAAGAAAGGGTCCAGATTGTCTAGCCCAGCTGATTTGTAGGGGTCCAGATTTTGCAGCGCTTTCAAAACATCAGCTGTCTGAATTTGTGTGAAGGAGAAGCGGGGGGGGGCATGGGCAAGTTGCAGCAGAGGGTGCAGAGTTGGTGGCCGGGTTAGTGGTAGCCAGATGGAAAGCATGGCCAGCTGTAGCAAAATGCTTGTTGAAATTCTCGATTATTGTAGATTTATCGGTGGTGATAGTGTTTCCTAGCCTCAGTGCAGTGGGCAGCTGGGAGGAAGTTGGAGAGCCCTGCTGTATAGTCTATGCAGATTTTTGTTCCTGTTGATTAGTGTAGTGTCATGTGTAATCTGTAATGTAGTTTTAATCTGGCTGGCTTAAAAGGCTCTAGAATATGTTCTGTGTTAACCCAGTGTCTCTCTGCCTTCCCTCTGTAGGACCTGAAATGCCGGCACATAGCCAAACCCTTCTCCATGGAGAAGTTACTCTACCAGATTGCCACGGCCGAATCCAAACGCGAGAACGGACACCTTCTGACTACGATCTCCGCTCTTCTCAAAGACCTCAGGTGAGTAGCCATGGAAACCGGGCACATCATAATATGGATGCTGTTTGCGTCAGATGTTAGGGACGGCATCATCCTCCATCCACTGTTGCCATAGCAGTATGATCAAAGACCCCAAATACACTCCATGCTTTAATGGATTGGCTTAGTGTCTACTTCAAGGCAGAAAGACATTGAAATAGTACTAACTGTTGTTTGCTGTACTGTGCTAAATCACGGAGTTGTGAGTTGTCGTGTTGTGCCGAAGTGTGTTGTAGTGTTCTGAATCACTGAGTTGCTCTGTCTGCTGCAATAGGAACATAGAGATGAGACAACGGCAGGAACTGTACGAGGCGGGGCTTCTGTCCTCTGCCCGCTACGGAACACACAACAACAACCTGGTGCCCGGCGACGGACGCAAGAAACCCAGGAAGTGGCTGGCACTAGAGTCATCAGAGAGACGCTGCCAGACCTGCCAACACCTCTGCTACCTGTCCATGGTGAGAGCTGTGCCACGGGGAATAGTGCTAGAGTTAGGGCTGGGGCTGGGTTACGGAGACTAATGCTAAGATTAGTTGGGGTTAGGACTAGCGCTGGTGCTGGGCAAGGGTGAGGATGAATGTAGTTAACCACTCCATCTAAAGATGCATTTAGTTAACCACTCCATGTATAGATGCATTTAGTTAACCACTCCATGAAAATATGTGTTGTGTTGTTTATCCCAGGTGGTCCAGGAGAATGAGAATGTGGTCTTCTGTCTGGAGTGTGCTCTGAGATACGTGCAGAATCACAAGTCCTGCAGAGGCCTCAAGATGATGTATCGTTATGATGAGGTAAGATGCCATCCCAGCAAACCGGGAACATTCCCAGGACATAAGCTAACATTCCCATTAAGGGCGCTATTCAATCTATCGCTGAAGCGTTACAGATTGCTCGATAGACATGTAAAGCTAATTTTCTGATTGAGCGTTTACTGTGAATGCAGTCTTCACTACCTTGGGAACATTGCCTTTAAATTTAAATTGGGCTTTAACACTGAACTTCTGCGATATGGATTGAATAGAGCCCTAAGCTAGTTAGGGTTTTATCTAACATTAGGATGATAACATCCAAAAAACCTTAAAATAATGTTTTTGATAACAAATATATATATATACCGGTGTGGTGTATATATATATATATTTTTTTTTATATGTTTTAAATAAAATATCCTTGGAATGTTTTCCTAACATTCACTAAAATGTTGTGCACAACATCTGTAACAACCACTGCAGGACATTCCCCTAAGGTTCTTATTATGTTTCCAGGTAATATAATAGCTAAATGTGTTCTTGGAAGGTTCTTGCAATCAAACATTGTATAATCATCAGCACAACTGGACAGTTTTTGTGTTATTAGAACTTTTGGGGCAACCTAATGAATGTTCTGGGAACGTTCACAGAACTGATTTTGGTTTGCTGGGATGGCCCGCTCTTATCTGAGTAGAATTGATCAGAACCTTCAACAGTGGAGTGACGTAACATGCAATGTTTGGATAAATATGAGATTTGTTCATTATAACGCATATGTTCTCGCTCGGATTCCTCCCTTCCCTGACTGTGCCCCCTGTGCCTTCACCTCATTGCAGGAGCAGATCAACAGCTTGGTGAAGCAGGTGTGTGGCAAGGCCCTGGAGAAGACAACTGAGAAATATAATGGTGCGAGCCCCTTCAAACCACCACCCAAACGCGGGCCCCGGAAGAGAGCCACTGTGGAAGTGTCCCTGTCACGCCTCTCCTCCTCCCACCTGTCTCCCGCAGCCGTCTCATGAGGACGTTAACATCCCCCACTGCCCCTCCATCTTAGTTTGGCAAATCACTGTTGCCCTTTTTAAAGAAAGAAAAAATATGTTTTGCTTTTAATGCCCCAAATCTCCCCCACCTATGCCCTTTACTATGACAAACTACTCCCCCCTTAGTATGGCAAACTTGTGAAAGCAAACTGTATTTTTTTGCACTAGCACGGGAAAAAAACTATTTTCAGTTTCTTTTTTTTTTGTTGGGGGGGTGGGGTTAGGTGATGTCGTCCTTAGCATTAAATGAAAAGTTCACAGGTAAATGTTGTGCCCCTTGCACACCCCCCCCCCCTCTACACTTTTTGAGGAGAGGGTCAGATTGGTCTTCCCCACCCACACTCCAGTCACACCCATCACCACCTGTCACTCAACCGTGAACAAAGGGACGAACGGAGAAGATGCTCCTTTTTTCGTTTTATTGAAATGACACAAGTAGAACCCAAAGTTTGCTCTCATCAGTTTTTGAAGATGAGTTGTTTTTATTCTCCTATTTTACCTGCAGCAGCTCCTGTTGTTCAGAGCCTGTTGCTCCCTAACCCACACCAGGTAAAACTTGAAAGGCAGATGTGTTTTGGCTGGCTTGTTTTATTTTGTATTTTAGCTTTGATTTTAGTCTTCTGTGTTTATTTTGTTGTTGTTATTTTCCTTGGTGGCTGTGGAACTAGCAGTGCCATGGCTGTATGTCAGAAACACAGACCTATGTGCCGTGGCTGTATGTCAGAAATACAGACCTAGGTGCCGCTGGTCTCTGTCCCCGTAGTAGGAGGGAGGCCTCCTTTGCTAGCGAGTGAAAACTGTGCCTGATACTAAGCAAGGAGATCCATTGTTTTTGGTGCTGTTGGTTATTATTACTGTATAACAATACAAAAGAAAGGTGGGGTGCTGGCTAACTGCTAGCCTCCTCTCCCACAGGGCGGTAGCCTCTAGACTGTCCTCTCCCACAGGGATGGGGTTCTAGGTTTTCATGTCCCACAGGGTTAGGTTAGGGTTCTAGGCTCTCCTCTCCCACAGGGTTATGGTTCTAGGCTCTCTTCTCCGACAGGGTTAGGGTTCTAGGCTCTCCTCTTCTAGATGTGCAATCATGTTAACATTCCATTCTTCCAGTCCTATCGTCTCAGCTGTACCAGTAAACATTAATTATTTTATTATTATTTTATATTTTGATTGTGTATTTGTTCTGATGTGCGAGTAGAACCACTAGTCAAAGGGTGTAAAATGTGAAATAATGAAATCAACTTCTTTTTTTTGCTTTTGCATTTTCCCTTTTTCAGATATATTATGAATGATTTTAGGAGAAAGTCCAACACAAAAACATAAACTTTTGTACATAATCCTGTAAATGTCTTTAAATACTTGAGCCTTTTCTGGGGTGAAGGAATGATACATCTAAAGGTATTAGAGGAAGCAAGTGAGGAAGTGCTTGATGAAGAAAAAGCCTTACGTTTCAGTTTCTTCATGTGTGTGAGTTTGACGCTTACAGGGTTGCTCTGGTTACGTGTATACATTTAAGTGCTGCTTACATCAGTGAGAAAGATATGGAGTAGCAATGGCCCCCAGTTGTTTTGTAAGTTTTTTTTTTTTTTAGCTTTACTTTTTTAAAGAAAAGGGAAAATATGTTCACAAAAAATGTGTTTTACATTTTCATTACTGAAAATTCAACGATGTAGTAGCTCCTCATGTTGCACTGAGCTTGCCAGTGGTGGCTGACAAGGTGATCTTATTATCCAGTTTGTTGGTTGTTGTCCTTTACAGAAGACTGAACTGTTTTAGGAGTATTTAATGAAAACCAAGTCGGGTGTTTTCAACAGAAAGTGGTTGTCAAGTTTTTATGGCCTTACAATGTATTTTATTCTGATTTTTTTTTTTGGTTGCATTTTCTTTTTCTACAGTATAAACTATTGCTCACGGTCTGGCAAGTTAATTTATTAGCGCCTCGTCTCCAGCTTTCCTTTCACTTGGAAAGATTTCATGTTGGTTATATTGCCAGTTTTTTACTTTTGCAGTTTGTACTAAAGGTTTAATAAAAATGTACAGACAATTCACTGTCTTTTCTTTTGAACCTGTGTGAGTGTCTGCCTGTGTTGTTCTGAAGATGTCATGTTACGAAACTCACTAGCCATTCTACAAATAAGTATACTCTCCATGTCAAGGGGTCCAAGCCTAACTAACTGGTCCATAACCTGATATAAATACAGTTGAAGTCGGAAGTTTACATACACTTGGGTTGGGGTCATTAAAACTCGTTTTTCAACCACTCCATACATTTCTTGTTAACAAACTATAGTTTTGGCAAGTTGGTTAGGACATCTACTTTGTGCATGACACAAGTAATTTTTTCCAACAATTGTTTACAGACAGATTATTTCACTTATAATTCACTATCACAATTCCAGTGGGTCAGAAGTTTACATACACTAAGTTGACTGTGCCTTTAAGCAGCTTGGAAAATTCCAGAAAATGTAATGGCTTTACAAGCTTCTGATAGGCTAATTGACATAATTTGAGTCAATTGGAGGTGTACCTGTGGATTTATTTCAAGGCCTACCTTCAAACTCAGTGCCAATTGCTTGACATCATGGTAAAATCAAAATAAATCAGCCAAGACCTCAGGAAAAAAATTGTAGACCTCCACAAGTGTGGTTCATCCTTGGGAGCATATTCCAAACGCCTGAAGGTACCACGTTCGTCTGTACAAACAATAGTACGCAAGTATGAACACCATGGGACCACGCAGCCTTCATACAGCTCAGGAAGGAGACGCGTTCTGTCTCCTAGAGATTAACGTACTTTGGTGCGGAAAGTGTCAATCAATCCCAGAACAACAGCAAAGGACCTTGTGAAGATGCTGGAGGAAACCGGTACAAAAGTATCTACAATTGTGGTCAAAAGTTTTGAGAATGACATTGGTCGTATTGGTCTCCACAAAGTTTGCTGCCTCAGTGTTGATGATGGTAATTTGCATATACTCCAGAATGTCATGAAGAGTGATCAGATGAATTGCAAAGTCTCTCTTTGCCATGAAAATGAACTTAATCCCCAAAAAACATTTCCACTGCATTTCAGCCCTGCCCCAAAAGGACCAGCTGCCATCATGTCAGTGATTGTCTCATTAACACAGGTGAGAGTGTTGACGAGGACAAGGCTGGAGATCACTCTGTCATGCTGATTGAGTCAGAATAACAGACTGGAAGCTTTAAAAGGAGGGTGGTGCTTGAAATCATTGTTCTTCCTCTGTCAACCATGGTTACCTGCAAGGAAACACGTGCCGTCATCATTGCTTTGCACAAAAAGGGCTTCACAGGAAAGGATATTGCTGCTAGTAAGATTGCACCTAAATCAACCATTTATCGGATGATCAAGAACTTCAAGGAGAGAGGTTCAATTGTTGTGAAGTAGGCGTCAGGGAGCCCAAGAAAGTCCAGCAAGCGCCAGCACCGTCTCCTAAAGTTGACTCAGCTGCAGGATCGGGGCACCACCAGTGCAGAGCTTGCTCAGGAATGGCAGCAGGCAGGTGTGAGTGCATCTGCACGCACAGTGAGGCAAATACTTTTGGAGGATGGCCTGGTGTCAAGAAGGGCAGCAAAGAAGCCACTTCTCTCCAGGAAAAACATCAGGGACAGACTGATATTCTGCAAAAGATACAGGGATTGGACTGCTTAGGACTGGGGTAGAGTCATTTTCTCTGATGAATCCCCTTTCCGATTGTTTGGGCCATCCGGAAAACACCTTGTCCGGAGAAGACAAGGTGAGCGCTACCATCAGTCCTGTGTCATGCCAACAGTAAAGCATCCTGAGACCATTCATGTGTTGAGTTGCTTCTCAGCCAAGGGAGTGGGCTCACTCACAATTTTGCCTAAGAACACAGCCATGAATAAAGAATGGTACCAACACATCCTCCGAGAGCAACTTCTACCAACCATCCAAGAACAGTTTGGTGACGAGCAATGCCTTTTCCAGCATGATGGAGCACCTTGCCATAAGTCAAAAGTGATAACTAAGTGGCTCGGTGAACAAAACATCGACATTTTGGGTCCATGGCCAGTAAACTCCCCAGACCTTAATCCCATTGAGAACTTGTGGTCGATCCTCAAGAGGCAGGTGGACAAACAAAAACCCACAACTTCTGACAAACTCCAAGCATTGATTATGCAAGAATGGGCTGCCATCAGTCAGGATGTGGGCCAGAAATTAATTGACAGCATGCCAGGGCGGATTGCAGAGGTCTTGAAAAAGAAGGGTCAACACTGCAAATATTGACTCTTTGCATAAACTGAATGTCATTGTCAATGAAAGCCTTTGACACTTATGGAATACTTACTCTGAATTATACTTCAGTGTACCATAGTAACTACTGACATAAAGATCTAAGAACACTGAAGCAGCAAACTTTGTGGAGACCAATACCTGTGTCATTCTCAAAACTTTTGACCACGACTGTATATCCACAGTAAAACGAGTCCTATATCGACATAACCTGAAAGGCCGCTCAGCAAGGAGAAGCTACTGCTCCAAAACCGCCATAAAAAGCCAGGCTATGGTTTGCAACTGCACATGGTGCACATACTTTTTGGAGAAATGTCCTCTGGTGTGATGAAACAAAAATAGAACTGTTTGACCATAATGACCATCATTATGTTTGGAGGAAAAAGGGGGTACTTGCAAGCCGAAGATCACCATCCCAATCATGAAGCACGGGGGTGCCAGCATCATGCTGTGGGGGTGCTTTGCTGCAGAAGGGACTGGTGCACTTCACATAATAGATGGCATCATGAGGAAGGAAAATTATGTGGATATATTGAAGCAACATCTCAAGATATCAGTCAGGAAGTTAAAGCTTGGTCGCAAATGAGTCTTCCAAATGAACAATGACCCCAAGCATACTTCCAAAGTTGTGGCAAAATGGCTTAAGGACAACAAAGTCAAGGTATTGGAGTGGCCATCACAAAGCCCTGACCTCAAGCCTATATGAAATTTGTGGGCAGAACTGAAAAAGTGTGTGCGAGCAAGGAGGCCTACAAACCTGACTCAGTTACACCAGCTCTGTCAGGAGGAATGGGCCAAAATTCACCTAACTTATTGTGGGAAGCTTGTGGAAGGCTACCTGAAACGTTTGACCCAAGTTAAACAATTTAAAGGCAATGCTACCAAATACTAATTGAGTGTACAGTGGGGGAAAAAAGTATTTAGTCAGCCACCAATTGTGCAAGTTCTCCCACTTAAAAAGATGAGAGGCCTGTAATTTTCATCATAGGTACACGTCAACTATGACAGACAAAATGAGAAGAAAAAAATCCAGAAAATCACATTGTAGGATTTTTAATGAATTTATTTGCAAATTATGGTGGAAAATAAGTATTTGGTCACCTACAAACAAGCAAGATTTCTGGCTCTCACAGACCTGTAACTTCTTCTTTAAGAGGCTCCTCTGTCCTCCACTCGTTACCTGTATTAATGGCACCTGTTTGAACTTGTTATCAGTATAAAAGACACCTGTCCACAACCTCAAACAGTCACACTCCAAACTCCACTATGGCCAAGACCAAAGAGCTGTCAAAGGACACCAGAAACAAAATTGTAGACCTGCACCAGGCTGGGAAGACTGAATCTGCAATAGGTAAGCAGCTTGGTTTGAAGAAATCAACTGTGGGAGCAATTATTAGGAAATGGAAGACATACAAGACCACTGATAATCTCCCTCGATCTGGGGCTCCACGCAAGATCTCACCCCGTGGGGTCAAAATGATCACAAGAACGGTGAGCAAAAATCCCAGAACCACACGGGGGGACCTAGTGAATGACCTGCAGAGAGCTGGGACCAAAGTAAAAAAGCCTACCATCAGTAACACACTACACTGCCAGGGACTCAAATCCTGCAGTGCCAGACGTGTCCCCCTGCTTAAGACAGTACATGTCCAGGCCCGTCTGAAGTTTGCTAGAGTGCATTTGGATGATCCAGAAGAGGATTGGGAGAATGTCATATGGTCAGATGAAACCAAAATATAACTTTTTGGTAAAAACTCAACTCGTCGTATTTGGAGGACAAAGAATGCTGAGTTGCATCCAAAGAACACCATACCTACTGTGAAGCATGGGGTGGAAACATCATGCTTTGGGGCTGTTTTTCTGCAAAGGGACCAGGACGACTGATCCGTGTAAAGGAAAGAATGAATGGGGCCATGTATCGTGAGATTTTGAGTGAAAACCTCCTTCCATCAGCAAGGGCATTGAAGATGAAACGTGGCTGGGTCTTTCAGCATGACAATGATCCCAAACACACCGCCTGGGCAACGAAGGAGTGGCTTCGTAAGAAGCATTTCAAGGTCCTGGAGTGGCCTAGCCAGTCTCCAGATCTCAACCCCATAGAAAATCTTTGGAGGGAGTTGAAAGTCCGTGTTGCCCAGCGACAGCCCCAAAACATCACTGCTCTAGAGGAGATCTGCATGGAGGAATGGGCCAAAATACCAGCAACAGTGTGTGAAATTCTTGTGAAGACTTACAGAAAACATTTGACCTGTGTCATTGCCAACAAAGGGTATATAACAAAGTATTGAGAAACTTTTGTTATTGACCAAATACTTATTTTCCACCATAATTTGCAAATAAATTCATAAAAAATCCTACAATGTGATTTTCTGGAAAACATTTTCTCATTTTGTCTGTCATAGTTGACGTGTACCTATGATGAAAATTACAGGCCTCTCTCATCTTTTTAAGTGGGAGAACTTGCACAATTGGTGGCTGACTAAATACTTTTTTCCCCCACTGTATATAAACTTCTGACCCACTTGGAATGTGATGAATGAAATAAAAGCTGAAATAAATCATTCTCTCTACTATTATTCTGACATTTCACATTCTTAAAATAAAGTGGTGATCCTAACTGACCTAAGACAGGGAATATTTACTAGGATTAAATGTCAGGAATTGTGAAAAACTGAGTTTAAATGTATTTGGCTAAGGTGTATGTAAACTTCCAACTTCAACTTTATGTGCGTTCAGCATGAAACTAAAGAGTAAGCAGACCGATGTCTGTAATGTACCTGCATACTTACCAGGGTCCAGGGGGAGTTCTGTCCGCACTCTAGTCGGCCAGCCCAACCAGGTCATTGAAGTTGAAATGGTGACAAATAATATAGAAAAAGGGAAAATCTAAAAGACATTCCATAACAAAAAGATATCAAACCAACGCTGTAAGACCCCACCAGACCGAGAGCCTACTTAGTCCACCTCTCACTCTGCAATAACCTGCCAATCTGTGAGCTATTACTCCATTAGCAGGCCTTGCTGGAACTTCAAGCAGCTGTATGAAATATGATTGTATATAATCATGTTATACACACTGTACAAAACATTATGAACACCTGCTCTTTCCATGACAGACTGACCAAGTGAATGCAGGTGAAAGCTATAATCCCTATTGATGTAAATTGTTTAATCCATGGGCCAGCATCCCTATGGAATGCTTTCAACACCTTGTGGAGTCCATGCCCCAAGGAATTTAGGCTTTTTTAGGGGGGGTGTATGAGAAATGACATACTGGGCATACTGGGGGTGAAATGTTTATTACCAAGTCAAGAGAGTTTGGGGGAATACTACTGTAACCACACAATGTCAACATGACAAAAAAGGATGAAAATACAGTAAACATAAATTATGCTTCTCTTCCTCCATGCATCCAGTGCATAGCATCTATTCCTCTCAGACTCTCAGTTTTGGTCCGTTCAGTATCTTAGCTCCTACCCTCTCAGGGATTTGGTCCGTTCAGTGTCTTAGCTCCCATCCTCTCAGGGTTTTGGTCGGTTCCGTGTCTTAGCTCCCATCCTCTCAGGGTGTAGATGCGTTCCGTGTCTTAGCTCCTACCCTGGCCCTTATGTGGCCTGTGAGCTGCTGTCCTCAAAGTGTTTAAGTGTCTTGCTTCTGGGTGGGGTTGGTGGCCTCTCTGCTAGGACGGTGTTGGGGGGAACCTCTGCCTCATATGATTGCACCCCAACAGGACAGTGGCTGCTGCCCTCCCTGCCCCCTTCATCCTCTTCATCATCCTCCCCAGCCTCGGTGTCCTGGCTGTCAGTGCAGGTGGAGGAGAGGGAGGACAGCTTGTTTCTTAGCTCAGCCTGGGTGGGAACCTGCAGGGTGATCTCTGTGGTTAACGACTCCACATCTGGATCTGAGAGAAAAACGGAGGAGGCACGTTTTGTGCAGTGCCCGTGAATCAATCAAAGTATGAAGTTCATGTTTGCTGTGCATGTCTGGGGGGGGTAGATCAGCTTTAATATTGCAGATAGATTGTGGCTTCCGTCAATGTAATTGTCTGCATCATTTCCAATCCCCTATATATATTTTTTGTAAATACATATATAAAATATAGATATATATTTGTTATATATTTTCCTTTATTATTTTCCGCTAACCTTACCAGCACTCCCCTAATTGGAGTAAACTAATGGACAACAACACTTAGGGTTCTACTTCCAGCTTATACATAGTATATACATTTTACGGACACAGTATATTTTACAATAGTTATCGTTTGTTTGTTTTTAGTCCCATCCTTCAGCTACCCTCAACCCCTCCCGTCTATCTCTGAAGACCATCCAGTTTTGATTTCTATTTGCCATATCTTTTTCAACTGTGCTGTTTCACAAAAGTTCTGAACCTATATACATTTTACGAACACAGTACATTTTACATTAGTTATCTTGCTATTTTTAGTCCCACCCTCCAGCTCCACTCAACCCCTCCCATCTATCTCTGAAAACCATCCAGTTTTGACTTCTATTTGCCAAATATTTTCAACTGTGCTGTGATGTTTCACAAAAGTTCTGAACCTTTCTATTCTCATAGTTTCTACAGATTGTAAATTAAAGATAAACATTTTTGCTAAAAGTATTATTATATTATTGATCGATTGACTCTGAATTTTTTAATCACCCAGCAGTGCTATTTGCAGAGTTAGCTCCAGGTAAATGTTGCAATTCTTCAGCCATTCCTGAACCTGCGACCAAAAACAAGCTACAGTTGAAGTCGGAAGTTTACATACACTTAGGTTGGGGTCATTAAAACTCGTTTTTCAACCACTCCACAAATGTCTTGTTAACAAACTATAGTTTTGGCAAGTCGGTTAGGACATCTACTTTGTGCATGACACAAGTAATTTTTACAACAATTGTTTACAGACAGATTATTTCACTTATAATTCACTGTATCACAATTCCAGTGGGTCAGAAGTTTAAATACACTAAGTTGACTGTGCCTTTAAACAGCTTGGAAAATAACAGAAAATGATGTCATGGCTTTAGAAGCTTCTGATAGGCTAATTGACATCATTTGAGTCAATTGGAGGTGTACTTGTGGATGTATTTCAAGGCCTACCTTCAAACTCAGTGCCTCTTTGCTTGACATCATGGTAAAATCAAAAGAAATCAGCCAAGACCTCAGAAAAAAAATTGTAGACCTCCACAAGTCTGGTTCAACCTTGGGAGCAATTTCCAAACGCCTGAAGGTACCACGTTCATCTGTACAAACTATAGTACGCAAGTATAAACACCATGGGACCACGCAGCCGTCATACCGCTCAGGAAGGAGACGCGTTCTGTCTCCTAGAGATGAACGTACTTTGGTGCGAAAAGTGCAAATAAATCCTAGAACAACAGCAAAGGACCTTGTGAAGATTCTGGAGGAAACAGGTACAAAAGTATCTATATCCGCAGTAAAACTAGTCATATATTGACATAACCTGAAAGGCCGCTCAGCAAGGAAGAAGCCACTGCTCCAACACTGCCATAAAAAAGCCAGACTACGTTTTGCAACTGCACATGGGGACAAAGATTGTACTTTTTGGAGAAATGTCCTCTGGCCTGATGAAACAAAAATAGAACTGTTTGGCCATAATGACCATTGTTATGTTTGGAGGAAAAAGGGGGGTCTTGCAAGCCGAAGAACACCATCTCAACCGTGAAGCACTGGGGTGGCAGCATCATGCTGTGGGGGTGCTTTGCTGCAGGAGGGACTGGTGCACTTCACAAAATAGATGGCATCATGAGGAAGGAAAATTATGTGGATATATTGAAGCAACATCTCAAGACATCAGTCAGGAAGTTAAAGCTTGGTCCCAAATGGGTCTTCCAAATGGACAATGACCCCAAGCATACTTCCAAAGTTGTGGAAAAATGGCTTAAGGACAACAATGTCAAGGTATTGGAGTGGCCATCACAATACCCTGACCTCAATCCTATAGACAATTTGTGGGCAGAACTGAAAAAGTGTGTGCGAGCAAGGAGGCCTACAAACCTGACTCAGTTACACCAGCTCTGTCTGGAGGAATGGGCCAAAATTCACCTAACTTATTGTGGGAAGCTTGTGGAAGGCTACCCGAAATGTTTGACCCAAGTTAAACAATTTAAAGGCAATGCTACCAAATACTAATTGAGTGTATGTAAACTTCTGACCCACTGGGAATGTGATGAAAGAAATAAAAGCTGAAATAGATCATTCTCTCTACTATTATTCTGACATTTCACATTCTTAAAATAAAGTGGTAAACCTAACTGACCTAAGACAGGACATTTTTACTAGGATTAAATGTCAGGAATTGTGAAAAACTGGGTTTAAATGTATTTGGCTAAGGTGCATGTAAACTTCCGACTTCAACTGTACATATGGACAGTACCAAAACAAATGATCTAATGATTCTGTCTCTTCGCAGCCAAATCTGCAGAGCTGGGATGGTTGTATCCCCCATATACAGTGGGGAGAACAAGTATTTGATACACTGCCGATTTTGCAGGTTTTCCTACTTACAAAGCATGTAGAGGTCTGTAATTTCTATCATAGGTACACTTCAACTGTGAGAGACGGAATCTAAAACAAAAATCCAGAAAATCACATTGTATGATTTTTAAGTAATTAATTTGCATTTTATTGCATGACATAAGTATTTGATCACCTACCAACCAGTAAGAATTCCGGCTCCCACAGACCTGTTCGTTTTTCTTTAAGCCCTCCTGTTCTCCACTCAGTACCTGTATTAACTGCACCTGTTTGAACTCGTTACCTGTATAAAAGACACCTGTCCACACACTGAATCAAACAGACTCCAACCTCTCCACAATGGCCAAGACCAGAGAGCTGTGTAAGGACATCAGGGATAACATTGTAGACCTGCACAAGGCTGGGATGGGCTACAGGACAATAGGCAAGCAGCTTGGTGAGAAGGCAACAACTGTTGGCGCAATTATTAGAAAATGGAAGAAGTTCAAGATGACGGTCAATCACCCTCGGTCTGGGGCTCCATGCAAGATCTCACCTCGTGGGGCATCAATGATCACGAGGAAGGTGAGGGATCAGCCCAGAACTACACGGCAGGACCTGGTCAATGACCTGAAGAGAGCTGGGACCACAGTCTCAAAGAAAACCATTAGTAACTACGCCATCATAGATTAAAATCCTGCAGCGCACGCAAGGTCCCCCTGCTCAAGCCAGCGCATGTCCAGGCCCGTCTGAAGTTTGCCAATGACCATCTGGATGATCCAGAGGAGGAATGGGAGAAGGTCATGTGGTCTGATGAGACAAAAATAGAGCTTTTTGGTCTAAACTCCACTCGCCGTGTTTGGAGGAAGAAGAAGGATGAGTACAACCCCAAGAACACCATCCCAACCGTGAAGCATGGAGGTGGAAACATCATTCTTTGGGGATGCTTTTCTGCAAAGGGGACAGGACGACTGCACCGTATTGAGGGGAGGATGGATGGGGCCATGTATCGCGAGATCTTGGCCAACAACCTCCTTCCCTCAGTAAGAGCATTGAAGATGGGTCGTGGCTGGGTCTTCCAGCATGACAACGACCCGAAACACACAGCCAGGGCAACTAAGGAGTGGCTCCGTAAGAAGCATCTCAAGGTCCTGGAGTGGCCTAGCCAGTCTCCAGACCTGAACCCAATAGAAAATCTTTGGAGGGAGCTGGAAGTCCGTATTGCCCAGCGACAGCCCCGAAACCTGAAGGATCTGGAGAAGGTCTGTATGGAAGAGTGGGCCAAAATCCCTGCTGCAGTGTGTGCAAACCTGGTCAAGACCTACAGGAAATGTATGATCTCTGTAATTGCAAACAAAGGTTTCTGTACCAAATATTAAGTTCTGCTTTTCTGATGTATCAAATACTTATGTCATGCAATAAAATGCAAATGAATTACTTAAAAATCATACAATGTGATTTTCTGGATTTTTGTTTTAGATTCCGTCTCTCACGGTTGAAGTGTACCTATGATAAAAATTACAGACCTCTATATGCTTTGTAAGTAGGAAAACCTGCAAAATCGGCAGTGTATCAAATACTTGTTCTCCCCACTGTATATATAACATTCTATTGGTTGCAAGAATTTTGTATAATAATTTAAATGGAAAAACTAAGTTTTGAATCTAGCGTTGTTTTGTGTATCAGTTCATAAACCATGTGACATGGAATCGGTACATCGAAAATATTTTCCCATCTATTTTGCAGTCTATATGGCACAGCTGTCAATTGTTTGGTCTTTAAATTAAACTGGTATAATTCTTTATTTATCATAAATTTCTTTAACCAATTTTGGTCTTTAATGCAGGGCTGACAGACAACTCCCCCCTTCCACTTGCCTTTTCCCTTTTTGCGCTAATGCTGCAATTAGTTGGTTGGAATTTTGAGTAGAGCAGACATTTCCATATATTTTTGTTATCTGCATGTGTGACAACTCCACCAGTCCTATTTATATCATTTACAAAGATTATACTGTTTCTCAAATCAATTAGTATATTTGAGTTTAACCATAATATTTGTTGTAATATTTGTTCTGTCTTTTCTGGTGGATTAAACTGAAATTGTAACCAACTTTCTATGGCTTGTTTTAAAATTTTCATTTTTAAATAACCAAATGTGAGAGGTTGTAATCCGAATAAAGGGAAAAAGGCTATTCTTGAACATGGGGTGAGACATTTTTACTAATCTGCTAGATAACCAGTTTGGATTTAAGTGTAACTTTTGTATGACTGAAGCCTTTAGTGAGAAGTCTAATGCTTTAATATTTAATAATTTCTGCTCTCCGAATTCATATTCATTATATAAATAGGCCTGTTTAATTTTGTCTGGCTTGCCGTTCCAAATAAAATGGAATCTTTTTTGCTCATATAATTAAAAAAACAAGTCGCTAGGTGTAGGCAAGGCAATATGCAAATAGGTCAACTGGGATATGACAAAAGAGTTAATCAGGGTGATTTTCTCACAAATAGACAGGTATTTTACTTTCCATGGTAGCAAGATCTTATCTATTTTTGCTAACATTCTATTAAAAATGTATTGTAGTGAGATAATTTCTTTCTTTCGGGATGTAAATACAGAGTATGTCCACTTCACCATCAGACTATTTTATTGGTAAACTGCACAGTAATGTGAAAGTGTTCTTTTTTAGTGATCCAATACTTAATATAGTACACTTTGGTTGTAATCGAGAGAGGTTAGAAATATTATCTCGATTTTCTATGAGCCTGTGGAGGGATCCAGATTGTGGATTTAAAAGAAAACATGAATCATCAGCGTACAATGACAACTTTGTTTTTAAGCCCTGGATTTCTAGGTCCTTGATATTATTGTTTGATCTGATTTTAATAACTAACATTTCGATGGCCATAATAAATAGATATGCCGATAGTGGACAGGTTTATTTTACTCCTCTTGACAGCTTACTACTTTCTGAGAAGTAGCCATTATTTACTATTTCACACCTAGGATTACTATACATAACTTTAACCCATTGTATAAGAGATTCTCCAAAATTTATATATTCCAGGCATTTATATATATATTCCAGTCATACTTTATCAAAAGCCGTTTCAAAGTCAGCTATGAATACTAGGCCTGGTTTCCCAGATTTTTCATAGTGTTCTATTGTTTCCAGTACTTGTCGTATACAGTATTATCTCCAATGTATCGTCTATGTAAAAAAACCTGTCTGATTAGAATGAATAATATCTGACAATACTTTTTTAATTCTATGTACTATGCATTTTGCTCAAATGTATGCATCACAACACTGAAGTGTAAGGAGCCTACACATTTTTTTATGGACTGGATCTTTATATTTACCACTTGGGTCCTGTTTCAGTAATAATGAAATCAGACCTTCATGTTGAGTATCTGATAATCTACCATTTTTATAGGAGTTGTTAAAATATGCTAATAATGGTCCTCTGAGTACATCAAAAAAGGTTTAGTATACCTCAACTGGTATGCCATCCAGCCCTGGAGTTTTCCTGGACTTAAAGGCTTTAATTGCATTAAGAGTTCCTCCTCTGTAATTTGGCATTTACATGAGTCTTTCTGTACAGCTGTTTATTTTACATTATTAATAAAATAAAATCCTTACAATTACGTTCGGTTAGTGGAGATGGAGAAGACTGAAACAAAAACATATGCTTAAGGTACTTTGCTTCCTCTTTCAAAATATTGTTTGGTGAATCATGGGTTACTCTGTTATTTGAAACAAGTTTCACTAAATTATTTTTGGTAGCATTTCTATGTTGAAGATTAAAAAAGAATTTGGTGCATTTTTCCCCATTTTCCATCCAGTTCGCTTTATTTTTATAATATGTTACAGTTGATCTTTCTTGAATAAGTTCCTCCATTTCTTTTTGTTTTTATTCTAACGTATTCTGTGCCTCTATTTTACAGTTTTTATTGCTATATATCTAGAAATTCTGTAAGAGTAATGTATATCCCAATTATTTGATAGTCCAACTGTGCATGTGTGTCTGTGTGTCTGGGTCTGTGTGTCATACCCAGCATGGGCGAGGCAGCGTTGTTGTCCTCTCCCCCAGAGTGGAGGAAGACGTCAAGGCTGTCATGGTCGGAGATGTCCATCAGATCCATCTGCTCCAGCATGTCCACGTTCACCTCCATGGACGAAAAGCTTCCTATTGGCCCTGAGAAGCAAGACACAGGCGTTAGTCACCAATGCATATAAAACGTCATCACCCAGAATGCAACGGCAAGGGGCTGAGTCCAGAAAGAGCCTTTTTATGTTTTAAAACACACTAAGGAAGAAATCATATTGGCAAAACCATCTAACTACTCTTGGCAAAAAAATTGTAATCTTGGAATTAACAACAAAATCTTGCATGCTACCTAATTGACTCTATTATTCTGGGGGTGGAAGTGGCTAAATTTGAATGAGCAGAAACCGCAGATTCAGCGCCATCTCACCACAAAACCCCTAAACCTGTTTCATCAAAAGAACTGAGATTCATCTGAATAAATTTTTTCATCTATCCTGACTGACTTGCCATAAGCCCTGAAATTTCTAGGTTGATGCCTGCAGGGTTCCATCCTGTCTAAATTGATTCCAGGCTGGTGTCTAGGGTTCTATCCTGTCTGAAATGATTCCAGGCTGGTATCTGTATGGCCCTATCCTGTCTGAAATGATTCCAGGCTGGTATCTGTATGGCCCTATCCTGTCTGAAATGATTCCAGGATGGTATCTGTATGGCCCTATCCTGTCTGAAATGATTCCAGGCTGGTATCTGTATGGCCCTATCCTGTCTGAAATGATTCCAGGCTGGTATCTGTATGGCCCTATCCTGTCTGAAATTATTCCAGGTTAGTGCCTGTATGGTTCTATCCTTTTTGAAATTATTCCAGGTTGGTGTTTGTAGGATTCTATCCTGGTTCTATACATGTCCTGGATTCATCACCTTGCAGGAACAGTATCTGTTTTAACACCGGTGTTATGATCACGTGGTGCATACGTCACAAACACACAGTACACTGTGAGGGATGATTGACAGCTGAGACGGCATACCTCAAGGAAAGGAGGAGAGGAGAGCAGGGCAGCAGGGTGGGGCAGAGTAAAGAGAGAGAGGGAACTGTTATTACCCAGCCACACCCACACACACATACAGTTGAAGTCGGAAGTTTACATACACTTAGGTTGGAGTCATTAAAACTCGTTTTTTCAACCACTCCACAAATTTCTTGTTAACAAACTATCGTTTTGGCAAGTCAGTTAGGACATCTACTTTGTGCATGGCACAAGTAATTCTTCCAACAATTGTTTACAGACAGATTATTTCACTTATAATTCGCTGTATCACAATTCCAGTGGGTCAGAAGTTTACATACACTAAGTTGACTGTGCCTTTAAACAGCTTGGAAAATAACAGAAAATGATGTCATGGCTTTAGAAGCTTCTGATAGGCTAACTGACATCATTTGAGTCAATTGGAGGTGTACTTGTGGATGTATTTCAAGGCCTACCTTCAAACTCAGTGCCTCTTTGCTTGACATCATGGGAAAATCAAAAGAAATCAGCCAAGACTTCAGCAAAAAAATTGTAGACCTCCACAAGTCTGGTTCATCCTTAGGAGCAATTTCCAAACGCCTGAAGGTACCACGTTCATCTGTACAAACAATAGTACGCAAGTATAAACACCATGGGACCACACAGCCGTCATACCGCTCAGGAAGGAGACGCATTCTGTCTCCTAGAGATTAACGTACTTTGGTGCGAAAAGTGCAAATCAATCCCAGAACAACAGCAAAGGACCTTGTGAAGATGCTGGAGGAAACAGGTACAAAAGTATCTATATCCACAGTAAAACAAGTCCTATATAGACATAACCTGAAAGGCCGCTCAGCAAGGAAGAAGCCACTGCTCCAAAACCACCATAAAAAAGCCAGACTACGGTTTGCAACTGCACATGGGGACAAAGATCGTACTTTTTGGAGAAATGTCCTCTGGTCTGATGAAACAAAAATAGAACTGTTTGACCTTAAAGACCATCGTTATGTTTGGAGGAAAAAGGGGATGCTTGCAAGCCGAAGAACACCATCCCAACCGTGAAGCACGGGGGTGGCAGCATCATGCTGTGGGGGTGCTTTGCTGCAAGAGGGACTGGTGCACTTCACAAAATAGATGGTATCATGAGGAAGGGAAATTATGTGGATATATTGAAGCAACATCTCAAGACATCAGTCAGGAAGTTAAAGCTTGGTCGCATATGGGACTTCCAAATGGACAATGACCCCAAGCATACTTCCAAAGTTGTGGCAAAATGGCTTAAGGACAACAAAGCCCTGACCTCAATCCTATAGAAAATGTTTGGGCAGAACTGAAAAAGTGTGTGTGAGCAAAGAGGCCTACAACCTGATTCAGTTACACCAGCTCTGTCTGGAGGAATGGGCCAAAATTCACCCAACTTTTTGTGGGAAGCTTGTGGAAGGCTACCCGAAACGTTTGACCCAAGATAAACAATTTAAAGGCAATGCTACCAAATACTAATTGAGTGTATGTAAACTTCTGACCCACTGGGAATGTGATGAATGAAATAAAAGCTGAAATAAATCATTCTCTCTACTATTATTCTGACATTTCACATTCTTAAAATAAAGTGGTGATCCTAACTGACCTAAGACAGGGCATTTTTACTAGGATTAAACGTCAGGAATTGTGAAAAACTGAGTTTAAATGTATTTGGCTAAGGTGTATGTAAACTTCCGACTTCAACTGTACACACAAATGGTGCTTTTCCAATGAGACTTACCCCCACACCAGTGGGTCGCCAGTGTTTTATGTTAATGTGAACTGTTATTGTGTTTCCATCAGCAGTGTGATACAAAGGACTTCTGGTAAGTAGAATCAACAACCTCTGCATCATTCAAATCTGTTGCTTTGTGAGAAGGTGCAGGTCCGCAGGTCCACTGGAGCCATGGCCCAGTGAGACACGGGTGCCGGGCACGCTTAGATAATAAAATAAAATAAAGTCTGAGCCTTTTGGGTAAAACACTGGTGTAAATCCTCATTGGAAATGCGCCAGTACACACACACACCCCATCTGTCACTGTGACCATACTTCTCCATTGAAGATGATAAGGTGTTAGGGTTAAGGTGGGGGCTCTCACCTCTCCTCTCAGTGATCTGCAGGTAGCCGGTGGACAGGTACTGATCCATGTCTTGCTGGAATGCCTCTTCAAATAACTTCTGCCTCTCCTTCAGCTTCACCTGGGCAGGCTCCACCTCCTTTGGCTTCACCTGGGGAGGATCCACCTCCTTTAACTTAACCTGGGCAGGCTCTGCCTCCTTCACCTGGGGTGGCACCTTCTCCGCTACATAGGGCCGAGATATTTAAATTTTTCATTTAAAGGTCCATTGCAGCCGTTTTTAAAAATCTCAATAGTAAATCATTTATGGGTTAAGTACCTTACTGTAATAGCTTCTTAGCAACAAGCAGTTTCTAAAGCAATTTTTTTGAAAACTAGCTGTTATTGGCAGAAAGGTTAGGAACTCTCTTTCTTATTGGTCTAGTCACCAGGCAGGCCAAAACTCCATCCCACCAAAACAGGCTGAAATTTCAGGCAGTCTTTTCAGCTCTTACACTAAAAGGGCATTATCATCATTTTCAAAATTTCACAGTATTATTCCAACCTCATAGTGTGGAAATATATATAAAACACAGGAAAATCACGTTTTTGACTGCACTGGGCATTTAACACTTAAACTCAAATTACAATGAATGGTTACTAGTGTAGATTACAGGTGTATGTACAGCATCTAGTGTTGATCTGTTACATGAAATAATTTGATACAGAATGCTTCGATGTCAGGCCTTTGGGTAGCAACTGACCATCTCTGTCTGTCTGTACGATGACAGAGCAGCAACTGACCATCTCTGTCTGGCTGATGACAGAGCAGTAACTGACCATCTCTGTCTGTCTGGGCGAAGATAGAGCAGCAACTGACCATCTCTGTCTGTCTGTACGATGACAGAGCAGCAACTGACCATCTCTGTCTGGCTGATGACAGAGCAGCAACTGACCATCTCTGTCTGTCTGTATGATGACAGAGAAGCAACTGACCATCTCTGTCTGGCTGATGACAGAGCAGTAACTGACCATCTCTATATGTCTGGGCGAAGACAGAGAAACAACTGACCGTCTCTATCTGTTTGGATGATGACAGAGCCTGGAGGTTTAAACGACACAGTGTCACTTCAGCTGAATGTTTCTCTCAGACAGGGAAAGACCGTTATATAAGACCGATCTAAGACACGAAAGGGAGAGCGAGAAAGGGAGAGAGAGAAAGGGAGAGAGAGACAGAGAAAGGGAGAGCGAGAAAGGGAGAGAGAGAAAGGGAGAGAGAGAGAGAGAGAAAGGGAGAGAGAGACAGAGAAAGGGAGAGAGAGAGACAGAAAGGGAGAGAGAGACAGAGAAAGAAAGAGAGAGGGTACAGTTGACGTCCCCATTATCAGCAGCTGTCCCCAGTCTCTCTCTCCCCCTTTCTCTCTTTAGCTACCCCTCTTTCTCTCCATCACTCTCTTGCCTTTCCACTCTTTCTCGTTGTATGTGTGCTGCTGAGTGTGGTTGGTTCCTTCCACTCTTTTCAGAAGTGTGTGCATGTGTGTGTACAGTATTTGAGTGTCTGTGATGTTTTATGTGTGTGTGTTTGTGCGTGTGCCTGTGTAAGTGCATACGTGTGTGGGTCGTGTTTTGTTTGAGGATGAATAGTGGGGTTCCTAAGGGACTCCAGTGTGATTCATTACTGTGGTTGGTTGGCGCCGACGTTGTTAACCCTGAGAAATAAAGATATTCTGCCCTTGTAGATTGTGTGTCCACTCGACTTGACATAATAAAACTGCACGCATGCTATAAATATGAAATGAGTCATATGTACTGTGCCAAGATGATTGAATCATGTTAGTCACCGTATATGCTGTCAAATAAGATATTTGTATGTTGACTGATAGAAAAATCTGTATTTAAACATATTCCACCCTAACCAATAAACAGAGGCGTGTGTACTACTATTACTGCATAATAACTCTTAATGGTTTGTAATGAGAATGGATGACCAAGGTTCACTGATGAAGCATATAAGCAGTACAATTATATTAGTATTCTGTGAGGACACATTGTTCACAATACAGGACAATGCTGACAGTTTCCCTCCCTTATTCTTCTGAAACGCATCAGCTCAAATGATTGTCTATTATTAGATAAGAAATATAGAATTATTCAGCATGAAGCAAGGCATCCTCCTTTGGTTCATATAAACTAATATATTTAAAAAGCAGATTTTCACTCAAATAAAAAACTACAGGCCTGACAAACCTCACATTCTTGACAGTTGTAGCAGTGTATTTATGCAATGTTAATTTTAGATTGCAGGCGTCTTTCTCTGAAATGTTCAGATTTCCAGCAAGGCAGTAGCCAACATGAAAATAACTTGCAATGTTAATAGTGGAGAGTTGGAATGGGTTAGGGTTAGTGATTGAGGCTAGGGTTAGGGTTGAACCAGGATGTGGACATGAAGCTAGGGTTAGGGTTAGGGTTGTGGTTGAGACTAGGGTTAGGGTTGAACTGGGATGTGGACATGAAGCTAGTGTTAGGGTTGTGGTTGAACCGGGATGTGGACAAGAACCTAGGGTTAGGGTTGTGGTTGGTACTAGGGTTAGGGTTAAACCAGGATATGGATATGAAGCTAGGGTTAGGGTTAGGGATAGCAGCATGCACATCTGTGCTCGTCTGGCACCCAGGATTAATTTAATTCACTTATCGAGTGCCTCATGACAAAGTGAACTGATGGTGAGCAGCTCATGACAAAGTGAACTGATGGTGAGCAGCTCATGACAAAGTGAACTGATGGTGAGCAGCTCATGACAAAGTGAACCAATAAATGCCAGAACGAGAAGACTACTCTGTCTTTGTTTGCTTTGTTGAATAGCTTCATTTGCATCCAGCGTACGTACAGGAGCTATACTGATTATGGCAAAGCAAACACACACACACACACACACACACATTCACAGTGGAGCTTCCACTACAATACTCACTGGAACACAGTGCCCAGACTATCTGCATTTTACTTTGGTTTGTGCAGACAAGAAGAGCGTAGGAGTGGGAACCTGCGGGAAACTGAGTCACTCTACTGCTGTCAGGTCCACTCAACATCCTAGAGAGAGGTGGCAGAGCCAAATTAACAACACTCTGTTAGAGCACTAAACATTCACTGCCATTAAACAATCTAATGTTCATTTTGAACCCCCCCCCCCCCCCCCCACACACACACACACACACACACACAGACACCATAAACAATGCTTAATTCCTTCAATATACAGTAGCTTCTCCTTTCATTTTCTCTCTTTGGCTTTGATAATGTTGCTAGTTCCCTCTGGCTTTCATCATAGAGGGCTATTCAGAGCCACCAGCTAATGTTCCCTCTCCTCTACAGCACTGTTATTGTGAAGCTTTTCAATAGATCACAGAGACCAATGTTCACTGTCCTGTCCTTTCATCATGTCCTGTTCTATACTGCCCTCTCCTATCTCTGTCCTGTCCCATCTGTTCCTGTTCCTGTTCTGTTCTGTTCTATCTCTGTCCTGTCCTAACTCTGTTCTGTCCTATCCTATCTCTTTCCTGTCCTAACTCTGTTCTGTCCTATCCTATCTCTTTCCTGTCCTAACTCTGTCCTGTCCTATCCTGTTGTCCTGTCCTTTCTTAACTCTGTCCTCCTGTCCCATCTCTTTCCTAAACACTGTCAAACCATCCCACGGAAACCATCCAATCTTCATCTGCACTCAAAATGAGTGGCTGTGTTAATAGACCATGCGACATGAATGTCTCAGGACATTGAATAATTCTACAGGGTCATTATACGTTCTATTTCATTCTATGAATGCAATTATTGTCCCAGCATGTTGCACAATAGTTTTCAAAATTGTAATGATTACTGCTGCTGAGAATGTGTTTGATTATATACTGAACAAAAATATAAACGCAACATGTAAAGTGTTGGTCCCATGTTTCATGAGCTGAAATAAAAGATCCCAGAAATGTTCCATACGCACAAAAAGCTTATTTCTCTCAAATGTTATGCACAAATTAGTTTACATCCCTGTTCGTGAGCATTTCTCATTTGCCAAGATAATCCATCCCAGGTGTGGCATATCAAGAAGCTGATTAAACAGCATGATCATTACACAGGTGCACCTTGTGCTGGGGACAATAAAAGGCCACTCTAAAAAGTGCAGTTTTGTCACACAACACAATGCCGCATCTCTCTCTCGCTCTGTTTGTTTATCTCTTCTTCTTCTCTATCAGCCAGACTCAGTGCTGTGTTCAGTTCAGTACAAAATATGAGCTCCAGCAGGAAGACAACACCCTCTTCCCCCATAACACCTGTTAAACCAGGTGGTCTCTGCTAGCAGAACACAGGGCTTTACACCACACACATCAAATCATGTTAATATTAATTCCATACACATTTGAAACAAAATCCAACCCGTTTAGAGATTAATCTACTAGACAACTGTGACCATGAAAACTGGAAAAGAAAGTAAGATAAAAACAAGTCTACCAGGAAGGAGAAGACACATATCCACAAATATTAAAAATATATAATAATCAAGCATGGATCAACATCTGCTAGTCCCCGATACCTTAGCGTGTAGACATCCTGACACAAACAAAAAACTAAACAAATAAATAAACCAAGAAAAGCTGGCGTCGGTACCATAGAAATAGAATTAGAGCACTGTATTATATGCATATATACTGTATGTATATCTATGGTGGGTACCTACAGCTATTCCTCTGGCTGCCGTCCATGTATCCTGGAGAAGAAGACATCACAGCGGTGTTGTAGATCAGAGCCAGAGGAAAGGGAGAGGAGCAGAGGGCAGAATGAGGACTGGGTGAGGCGGCAGAGAGGTGATGTTGCCAACTCTCAATCACAGCACCGTCTGTCTCTCTCTGCCTCTCATCCTAAGAGGCTGCTTAAACCACTAACTCATACGCACACACAAACACACAGTCATGCACACATATATTATTACACACACACACTCTCACACACAGAAACACGGCAGCAACGTTCTCCCCGACACACACTGGCTGTCTGAAAGGATAGAGCTGCTCCCTGCAGGCTGTCTGGCAGTGGAGACAGAGAGGCTTCAGCAAGGCTAGGAGCTGGAGATGGGAATGTACCAATCACACGTCTAGGAGCTGGGAATGTACCAATCACACGGCTAGGAGCTGGGAATGTACCAATCACACGGCTAGGAGCTGGGAATGTACCAATCACACGGCTAGGAGCTGGAAATGTACCAATCACACAGCTAGGAGCTGGGAATGTACCATTAGCCACAGTCATATGAGGGGGAGCTGCACTCAGAACAGGGAGAGGAAGAGAGAGGCAAATAGTGTGCGTGTGTGTGCGTGTGCATGTGTGACAGAGAGAGATGAGGAGTAAAATAACCTCTGGTAGGATGTGTGTTGTCATAGTCACAATAAGGCTGAACATCTGGACAATACTCAGCCTGAGATCAGGCCAATAATCAGCCTCTCTTCTTCTCTCCTTCCTCATAATGCGCAGCAACATTTTTAATGTATTATTTTTCCTTTTAAAATGTGTTATTATTTATATTTTATCATACGCTCTTATCCAGAGCAACTTACAGTTAGTGAGTGCATACATTATTATACTGGCCCCCCGTGGGAATCGAACCCACAACCCTGGCGTTGCAAACGGCATGCTCTACCAACTGAGCTACATCCCTGCCCTCCCCTACCCTGGACGACACTGGGCCAATTGTGCGCCGCCCCATGGGTCTCCCGGTCGCGGCCGGCTACAACAGAGCCTGGATTCGAACCAGGATCTCTAGTGGCACAACTAGACCACTGCGCCACTCGGGAGGTAATAACCCTCTATCCTCATAATAACACTGGCCTCAGTCCTCATGACTCAGAATAGCCTGGCTCAGTCCTCATGACTCAGAATGGCCTGGCTCAGTCTATACAACTAATACAACATCCTGCACCACTATCAATAGCTTTTTACCAATACATACAAGAGGGACCGGAGGGAGTATGGAATGTTATATTATTACTTATGAAGATCTTCAATTAGCTAGGGGGTGATTATGAAAGGGGGATGGATGCACCAACTGGACATAGTTAATGGGATATGAAAACACATATTGGTTCACACGTAAATTACACATTTTCTCAGGACGTACATTACTGTGTATTGGTTGATTGTTTTTCTGTTGAATAATTCTGTAATCGTAGATTCATTATTATATTGAATTCTATTAATGTAATCATTGTCCCAGCATGTTGCACAATCGTTTTCGAAATATGAGTGATTATTGTTGCAGAGAATGTGTTCGATTAAATTCAAAATGACGCAACATAAACATTTCATGAAGAAAATAATGTGTTTAGAAATTAATTACGAATAATCCTTTATTCATGCAGAGAAGTCACATTGAGATCTCATTTTCATATGAGCCCTGGCCAAGAAAGCAGCATAAGTATAGTTAGTTACACATGAGACACAACACAACATAAACATAACAATGAATGGAAGTTAAAACAGTGCAAAGTGCATTAGAGAGCCAGTTTAAAAACATGTGCAATCTGTGGTCAGCAGCCCTCCAATCTGGGATTTAAAATCATCAATCAGAATAAAAGGATCTAGTTGTAAACCCTTCTGCAAAGTGTACCAAGATGGTGGGGCAGTAAAGCTAAAAGCACTCTTACCAAACTCAGTTCTTCTGTTGGGAACATTATATCAAATACAGGTCATTGATCTTAGACGGTCATTTCCATGACTCTGAAGGGTACGTTAAGCGCTTCAATATATTGACAGCGGCCCTAAAATGGCCTTACAGACAAACATGTACCAGTGAGTCTATGGCCTTACAGTTATGGATGGCCATCCTTCTAACTGATAGAAGGTACAGTGATATGTAAGAGGCCTTGTGTTTGTCACAAATGGTGACACATACACACACAATTTCCTTATCACAAACAGGGAAAATACTTTGTGTTTATGACCATAGTAGTTTTTATTTTATTCATAGAACTGGATAGAGAAATGGCCCACAAGTGTGAATCCCAGCATAAGTAACAATTCTCACATACAATAAATACATACAGCACCTTGTCAACATCCCATGGGAGTGATTACTGAATAATTTTTTCACGTTTCTTAAAAAAAAGGTAATTTACAAAACAAAGACAACATACAATAGTGTTCTGTTATGTTGATAGTATTGTCAAAGTGTTTTCCTTGATCTTTTTTTGTCCACATATTTTATACTAATACGTACAAACATCTACAGTTTCTACACACAGTACAATGATAGCACGTAGATTTTTAAGTAACATTTAAAAAAATGGCAGTTTCATCTAAGTGGACATGAGCTTTAATTTACTGAGGGCGCTCTTTTGATGAAAACATGGCGGCCATTTTGAAATACTTAATTATGGAAACCCATCTATTCTTGTGGCTGTTCACTAAGAAAGGGCGAAAGATGTCCCTTTTATTGCTTTGATTTATTTTCTCCTAGTAATACCCAGAACTTTAAACCCCACTGAAAGCAGAGAGAAGTACAACCATTTAACAGGATCACCAAAGACTTACCAACAACAGCTTACTTTAAAAAACACAGATTAAACTTGCACCAAGTCATCCCACTCTGATCAAAAGCGATCATAGAATTGATATTGTACATAAAACCCCAAAGTCTCACCATACAACAGCAATACAAAAGCAGCTCCTGCTTTGGACAAACAGACCAGGCATACGGACAGCCAGAGAGATCAGACACCATAAGCATGCTTGACATCCTGCTTATTGTGAAGGCTACAAGCCTGCCACAGGGACCTTTGATCTTAGAGAAATATGAACAGAGAAAAGTTTAAAAGTTGATGGGTCTAAAACTAGAGTCCAGATTCCTATGCTGGAAACTACAAGCATCTATCTAAAGGGATAATGGCTGGGATTTTGACACTCCCCAAAACCAATTGGTAACACACTTAATTTGAACTTGCTTTGAACAAAAGTAATGTGTTTTTCTCATGATTACCATGGAACCTGTCAGGCAATCAGAGACAAAATGTCAGTTTTCAGGGGAAAACATTTGTTTGGCGGAGGCCCAATCAGCAAAAGAGCGCCCACAAGGCTGACACTATAAAGAACATCACATTGATCTAGATATCTATCGTTCATTTTAGTTCATAGATATGTTATAATGGCCCCTATTGACCTGTGCTCGTTCTTAGGGATGAAAACACCAGAACAATTGAAGTAGAAAAATATTTGGCACTCGCACACACACACGCACACATACACACAAATATGCACACACACATTTGCACACACACACACACATACATAGAGAGCACAAAAGAGATCACAAATTCAATCTACACACATTGTTTTAGACTTATCTTTCGCAAACTCACTCAAACACACTAGGTCTAGCAGAACAAATAGTAGTTATGTGCACACACAAACAACATTAGATGTCACATACAGATATACGCAACACTAAAGAGATCCGATTAGAATAAATAAATCCAGTACCACATCAGCTCTTGTACCAAGCACACAGCAACAGAGAAATCCCACAGGCCACACATTCAACAAGCCCAATCTCCCTGCAGCCAGATATCACACTCACACTACAGTTGAGCAATGGAGAGATCAGCTCTCTCACTGATTGTCACCACACTTGTGACACAAAGATTAAAAGGGATGGCGTGGACATGGTGACAAGTAAGCACATAATAATCAACAAAGACAAAGGAGCTTTGCGGGGAATTTTGGTTTTTTGTGTGTGTGGGGGGGGGGGGGGGGTTAATCATTTGCACATTACTTATCACAGGGAAAATAGTGTTTTATACTACGGTGGAAAAACAAAATACAGTTTGCATTTAATTGAGCCCTTCAAATGAATCTGTGAGTGACTAGTTGCTCTATTCCCATGAGCCGTATGACTGAAGGACAATGTGCTTTGTAACAGTGTATATGGATTAATTTGTGCTTCATTAATATTGCATCGTTTGGCGACTGAACGGGCTGACTTCGGTCCTCCTACGTGTAATGTTCTGTATGCCTTCATAGACAGCAGAGGGCATGTTTGCAGGAAGCATGAGCTGTAATCCTGGACTCATTGATGTATTAATTATTCTAAAGTAACAATATTCTAGATTTTCAAAATTAAAGGATATCTCCACTGTGTTAAATAGGTTGTCATCTTATTTACTCATCTTTGTCTGGCGTTCCAGATGATAATGATGCACTTTATCAATGTAGATCAATGTACATGAATGACTGCCCCAGAGGTCTCATAGAACCAATTACAAGAACCATACAGAAGGATACATATGATGTAACTCTTTCTCCATCTCTCTCATACATACACAACATAACACTATTTAGACATATACAGTATTTTCCTGCTTGACGTAAATCTGATGCAGAAAAGCATATACAGTAACTGTTTTGTGTGCAAATCAATTAAAAACGATCCCTTCAAATTGCCATCAATAAATAAACTAAAATATTTACCAGTTATTGGTCATGTCCCCTGTAGCTCAGTTGGTAGAGCATGGCGCTTGCAACGCCAGGGTTGTGGGTTCGTTTCCCACGGGGGGCCAGTATGAAAATGTATGCACTCACTAACTGTAAGTCGCTCTGGATAAGAGCGACGGCTAAATTACAATATACCTTCAACACACATGTACAGTCTGTTTTCTATATGATAAAATAACTAGTATCAATGCCAAGTTTGAACAAATAATCTACATCATTATTTTGAAGCAGGGATCTTGGTGCATGTCACCTGGCAAGGGAAATATTGTGTGTAATATTCTCTTTCAGAGGAAGCCAATAAGAGATTTAAATGACAATGATCCTGTCCTCTCTTCCTCACAGGATATAAGATGCAAGCAATAGGCTGATCAACCAATGGGCTTCTATAATACTGCTTTCACTCATCAAGTCCATTCAGATTACAAAGGACAAGACGCTTTGAAGTATGATTAACCACTATTATAAATCAGCCAAAGCTGAAAAACATAAATTTAATATTCAAGTATTCATTTGAGCTCTGCTTTTTCAGTAGAAAGCTAAGTTAAAGTGAAAGCTATTTTCAGGAGGAAATCTATTGGAGGGCATCTGTAACCTCAGATTATTTGAATGGCATGAGGGTCAGATATGGATGCTAGGATGAATTGAGGGTGTCTAGATGTTTGATCTCTTTTGTTGGGAAGTATCTATGATCAATTTATCCCCATTAAGCATTGTAGCTATCAAGCAGTATCTTTACATCCTTTGGCAGTGGTTTATAAACTTGTATCTTTGTTGGCAGGAATATATTCCGTCTAATCTGAAGGGTCTCTGAGAAGCAAACCCAATGTGCTATTTTATGCTGTGGTGAAGATGTCAGCTAGTCTGTGCTGGCTAAATGGGTTACATCAGCATTTTAAGTATGATGCTATCCTCATAATTTCTCAGTAATCTGGGACTGTTGTGATACTGTTGATGACAGTCTGTTTTTTGGTGTTTAATGAGCAATGTTGGATTGCTAAGGGCTGAGATTGTATGGTTGGTCGGGCCCTGGTTGCAATGTGGCCACTGCAGCTACACTCTTCTGCCTTCTGGTGGTGAATTGTGCTACTGCAGCACCTGGCCCCGTGTTTCAGGCAGCTTTAGAGCCAGGAAACTGCCGGCAGCGAGTGCGCCTGCAGCGAACAAGATGGGCACAGCCTTGGTGATGCCTACGAAGGACTGGAAGATGCTTATGCCCAGGACAGCAGCCAGCTTGCAAAGGGCATTTAAGAAGCCAAATGCAGTGGTCCTAAAGAAAAGAAAACAGTGGAAATTGGCAGGGTAACTTCTCAGAACTTAACATGAAAACTTAAATATGTTTTCAATAAATCCAATTGCATAAAATACCCCTTTATTCACTATGCAAGAAGGAGCTGTAACACTTTCAAAATGTGAGGTAGCTGAGCTTGCCTTTTATCCGATGGGTATAGTTCTACAGTCAACACATCCAGGGCATTCCAGGAAGCTATGCTGATGCCGCCAAAGAGACATAAGAGGGCGATCATTCCCGACTCGGTACTGCCGAATGACAGGAAGAAACAGCTTACACAAGATATGACACTTGATCCCGCTGTGTAGGAAAAGAGATTGAGGGGAAAAAATCAGACAAATATAAGGGCTCTTTCTGTAGTAGGCTAATCATGAAATACTGTGGTGCAGTAAGGCCTGCATGGTTCATGTATCATCAGATGTATAATCTCAAAATAAGCACATTTTCTTTGAGTGTTGTATAAAGCATTAATAACACATTAATGAAGGCCTGACATACCCAACATCCTCAGACGCCCAATTTTGTCCATCAGCAGGGCTGACACAATGTTGCCGGGTAACACAGCCAATGTGCCCAGGAAACTGACAAAGTAGATCATGTATGCGTTGTTGTCATCAGTGAAGTCCAGCAGACAGCCTTCCTTGTTGTGTAGGAAGGTGCTGTTTACCAGTTTGCTGTTGATGATTCTGTTCTGGAAGAAGTCTTTCAAGAGAAAAGAAAGCAAGAGAGTTGTCAAGAAGGGACCAAGGGTAGGATACTGCCCTGTTCAATGCTAGACATGGACTGAGCTCATAACTATTGTAAGATCTACTCTATATTGTTTATGCTTCTTGTTTTGGGAGAGACTTTACCTGTATTGTAAAAGAGGGTTGAGACAAAGGTGCAGTTTCTGAAGAAGCTTCTGCTAGAGGTGATGTCCTCGAAGTAGCACTCCTCAAAAACTGAGTCCTCAAACACCATGGACTTCATCTTAAGGTTGATGAACCTAGCAGACAATTGAAAAGTAAGAAAGACCTTGTATTTAACGGCCCAGCTTTATTAGAGTTCACTACCAATTAGTGTCCATTGCATAGTTGTGAAATTAAGACCAGCACAATTAACCATTCCTGATTAAATACAGAATGGCATTTTGCAAATTCACAAAGTTCTGTGTAATATAATGAGGACTGACTTGTCGTTGAAGTACTGTCCTTGGCGGTGCACTTGGTTCTCCAAGGTAAAGTTAAAAGTGACATGCTCCACTCGCTCCTTGGTGAAGAACTTGGTGCGTGAGGCATATTCCTGCTTCTGAATGTATTTGATCATGTCAGGGAACCACACTGTCAGCCCATAGTAGCTGGGGGAGAAGCAAAATACAAATGTAGTTTAACCAAACTTTCACTATGTTGAAATCAGTTGAGATAAATATGAACCTCAATAACAACCTCTCTCTCAACGTGACCAAGACAAAGGAGATGATTGTGGACTACAGGAAAAAAAAGAGGACTGAGCACACCCCATTCTCATCGACGGGGCTGTAGTGGAACAGGTTGAGAGCTTCAAGTTCCTTGGTGTCCACATCACCAACGAACTATCACGGTCCAAACACACCAAGACAGTCGTGAAGAGGGCACAACAAAGCCTATTCCCCCTCAGGAGACTGAAAAGATTTGGCATGGGTCCTCAGATCCTCAAAAAATTATACTGCTGCACCATCGAGAGCATCCTGACTGGTTGCATCACCGCCTGGTATGGCAACTGCTTGGTCTCCGACCGCAAGGCACTACAGAGGATATTGCGTACGGCCCAGTACATCACTGGGGCCAAGCTTCCTGCCATCCAGGACCTCTATACCAGGCGGTGTCAGAGGAAGGCCCTCAAAATTGTCAAAGACTCCAGCCACCCTAGTCATAGACTGTTCTCTCTGCTACCGCACGGCAAGCGGTACCGGAGTGCCAAGTCTAGGTCCAAAAGACTTCTCAACAGCTTCTAACCCCAAGCCATAAGACTCCTGAACAGCTAATCATGGCTACCCGGACTATTTGCACTGCCCACCCCCATCTTTTTACGCTGCTGCTACTCTGTTAATTATTTATGCATAGTCACTTTAACTCTACCCACATGTACATATTACTCCAACTACCTCAACTAGCCGGTGCCCCCGCACATTGACTCTGCACCGGTACCCCCCTGTATATATAGCCTCCCTACTGTTATTTTATTTCACTTCTGCTCTTTTTTTTCTCAACACTTTTTTGTTTTATTCTACTTTTTTATTAAAAATAAATGCACTGTTGGTTAAGGGCTGTAAGTAAGCATTTCACTGTAATGTCTGCACCTGTTGTATTCGGCGCATGTGGCCAATACAATTTGATTTGATTTGATTTGAACCTCAATGGCCAGTCTGTTAAGATGGCAGAAGACACCATTTTTTAAATAACCTTTTTAGATTTGATGTGACAAAACATTTCTTGAGCTTTTTGATTGATCAGAAAATAACCAGTTTGTGCACACGCCGCTGATAACAGCTATGGTCATGGCCCTGGTTCTGTTACCTGAACGACATGGTAAACCAGACAGCCATCATCATGAAGGTGGTCCTTCTGTATTCTGGATTGAAGATGGCCAAGAAGTTACTCCGCACCTATAGCAACCCACAGAAAATTACTAAGATATGCACCTAGGTTTTACTGCTGACACGGTTTAAAAACACAAAAACCCACTATAAAACCCACTTGCACTGGCTTTGGCGTTTTGGATAAAAGCGTCTGCTAAGTGGCGCACATAATCTACGCAGTCTCATGCATACAGTAAATTAACATATACTGTATAAAATATAACATATATACACATAAAATAATCATATTCTCATACCTTTATAGGGATCTTAAACGACGCTTACCTGTTGGAATAGGCTAGTCAGCTTCAATTTATAGCGTCGCAAAGTTGATATTTCTCCTCCCATGTCCACCAGCTCATCCATCTGCTTTACAGTCTTGATGGTGGTGACCTGGGAAAAATAAGACCTTCCATTTTCAACTCATTTGTATGCAGTACATGTATACATTAGATGACATCAGAAGAACTCCATAAAAAAAATAACTAACAAAACATAGTATGCCTAGCATACGCATTAGACAAATAAGAGTCTCATCAGACCTTCCAGCCTGGGGACGAGGTTACACAAAAACAAACAGCTAAGACAGGACAATACAACTTCATAAACACTTTTTGCAGAAGAAACCTTCAATTCAAAGACTTTACATCTTTGTCTCAGAAATACTCACAGAAAACACCTTCTCTGGGTGTCCCTTTGCTCTCATGTTGGTGTCGTGAACTTGTTTCAGAATCATCCAGCCTTCGTCGTGTTTGCCGTTCTGTTGGGAAATGATTGCATACTTCATCAAAAACACTTGCAGTTTAAACACATTACGAGTATTGTGACACATTATGTCCATGTGAAGTGTCTAATGGTGTACTGTAATGTGCCTTAATATAATTTCCATGAATTTGTAATAAAACCTTATATTTTGGATTATGCTACTAGAGTAAGACAGTTGTGCTAAGCTCAAGAATCAATGTGTACAGTGAATTCGGAAAGTATTCAGACCCCTTGACTTTTTCCACATTTTGTTATGTTACAGCCTTATTCTACAATGGATTAAATAGTTTTTTCCCCTCATCAATCTACACACAAGACCCCATATTGACAAAGCAAAAACAGGTTTATAGAAATCTTTGCAAAAAACAAACATAAACCCCGGCTCTTACGCTTGTCGGACGTGGCAGGGCTTGAAAACTATTACAGACTACAAAGTGACACAAGCCTACCAGACGAGCTAAACCACTTCTATGCTCACTTCGAGGCAAGCAACACCGAAGCATGCATGAGAGCACCAGCTGTTCCGGATGACTATGTGATCACGCTCTCCATAGCCGATGTGAGTAAGACTTTTAAGCAGGTCAACATTCACAAGGCCGCGGGCCAGACGGATTACCAGGACGTGTACTCCGAGCATGTGCTGACCAACTGGCAAGTGTCTTCACCGACATTTTCAACATGTCCCTGACTGAGTCTGTAATACCAACATGTTTCAAGCAGACCACCATAGTCCCCGTGACCAAGGACACTAAGATAACCTGTCTAAATGACTACCGACCCGTAGCACTGACGTCTGTAGCCATGAAGTGCTTTGAAAGGCTGGTCATGGCTCACATCAACACCATTATCCCTAGACCCACTCCAATTTGCATACCGCCCCAACAGATCCACAGATGATGCAATCTTTATTGCACTCCACACTGCCCTTTCCCACCTGGACAAGAGGAACACCTACGTGAGAATGCTATTCATTGACTACAGCTCAGCGTTCAACACCATAGTGCCCTCAAAGCTCATCACTAAGCTAAGGATCCTGGGACTAAACACCTCCCTCTGCAACTGGATCCTGGACTTCCTAACGGGCTGCCCCCAGGTGGTAAGGGTAGGTAAAAACACATCTGCCACGCTGATGCTCAACACGGGGGGCCCCTCAGGGGTGCGTGCTCAGTCCCCTCCTGTACTCCCTGTTCACCCATGACTGCATGGCCAGGCACGACTCCAACACCATCATTAAGTTTGCCGATGACGCAACAGTGGTAGGCCTGATCACCAACAACGATGAGACAGCCTATAGGGAGGAGGTCAGAGACCTGGCCGTGTGGTGCCAGCATAACAACCTCTCCCTCAACGTGACCAAGACAAAGGAGATGATTGTGGACTACAGGAAAAAAAAGAGGACGCCCCCATTCTCATCGACGGGGCTGTAGTGGAACAGGTTGAGAGCTTCAAGTTCCTTGGTGTCCACATCACCAATGAACTATCATGGTCCAAACACACCAAGACAGTCGTGAAGAGGGCACGACAAAGCCTATTCCCCCTCAGGAGACTGAAAAGATTTGGCATGGGACCTCAGATCCTCAAAAGGTTCTACAGCTGCACCATCCTGACTGGTTGCATCACCGCCTGGTATGGCAACTGCTCGGCCTCCGATCGCAAGGCACTACAGAGGGTAGTGCGTACGGCCCAGTACATCACTGGGGCCAAGCTTCCTGCCATCAACAGCTTCTACCCCCAAGCCATAAGACTCCTGAACAGCTAATCATGGCTACCCGGACTACTTGCACCCCCACCCCATCTTTTTACACTGCTGCTACTCTGTTAATTATTTATGCATAGTCACTTTAACTCTACCCACATGTACATATTACGTCAACTACCTCAACTAGCCGGTGCCCCCACACATTGACTCTGCACCGGTACCCCCCTGTATATAGCCTCCCTACTGCTATTTTATTTTTGCTATTTTTTTCTCAACACTTTTTTGTTGTTGTTATTTAAATGTTTTATTAAGAAATAAATGCATTGTTGGTTAAGGGCTGTAAGTAAGCATTTCACGGTAATGTCTACACCCGTTGTATTCGGCGCTTGTGGCAAATAATATTTGATTTGGAAATATTAAATTTACGTAAGTATTCAGACCGTTTACTCAGTACTTTGTTGAAGCACCTTAGGCCGCATTTACAGCCTCGAGTCTTCTTGGGTATGACGCTACAAGCTTGGCAGATCCTCTCAAGCTCTGTCAGGTTGGATGGGGAGCGTCACTGCACAGCTTTTTTCAGGTCTCTCCAGAGATGTTCGATTGGGTTCAAGTCCAGGCTCTGGTTAGGCCACTCAAGGACATTCAGAGACTTGTCCCGAAGCCACTCCTGCGTTGTCTTGGCTGTGTGCTTAGGGTCGTTGTCCTGTTGGAAGGTGAACCTTCGCCCCAGTCTGAGGTCTTGTTCGCTCTGGAGCAGGTTTTCATTAAGGATCTCTCTGTACTTTGCTCCGTTCATATTTCCCTCGATCCTGACTAGTCTCCCAGTCCCTGCCGCTGAAAAACATCCCCACAGCATGATGCTGCCACCACCATGCTTCACCGTAGGGATGGTGGCAGGTTTCCTCCAGATGTGACTCTTGGCATTCAGGCCAAAGAGTTCAATCTTGGTTTCATCAGACCAGAGAATCTTGTTTCTGAAAGTCCTTTAGGTGCCTTTTGGCAATCTCCAAGCAAGCTGTCATGTGCCTTTTACTGAGAAGTGGTTTCCTTCTGGCCACTCTACCATAAAGGCCTGATTAGTGGAGTGCTGCAGTGATGGTTGTCCTTCTGGGAGGTTCTCCCATCTCCACAGAGGAACTTTGGAGCTCTGTCAGTGTGACCATCGGGTTCTTGGTCACCTCCCTGACCAAGGCCCTTCTCCCCTGATTGCTCAGTTTGGCCGGGCGGCCAGCTCTAGGAAGAGTCTTGGTGGTTCCAAACTTCTTCCATTTAAGAATGATGGAGGCCACTGTGTTCTTGGGGACCTTCAATGCTGCAGACATTTTTTGGTACCCTTCCTCAGATCTGTGCCTCAACAAAATCCTACGGACAATTCCTTCGACCTCATGGCTTGGTTTTTGCTCTGACATGCACTGTCAACTGTGGGACCTTATATAGACAGGTGTGTGCCTTTCCAAATCATGTCCAATCAATTGAGTTTACCACAGGTGGACTCCAATCAAGATGTAGAAACGTCTCAAGGATGATCAATGGAAACAGGATGCACCTGATCTCAATTTCGAGTCTCATAGCAAAGGGTCTGAATAGTTATGTAAATAAGATTTTTTTATTTTTTTTATAAATTTGCGAAAATGTGTATAAACCTGTTATTTCTTTGCCATTATGGGGTATTGTGTGTAGATTGATGAGGATTTTTTTTTATTTAATCCATTTTAGAATAAGGCTGTAACGTAACAAAATGTTGAAAAAGACAAGGGGTCGGAATCCTTTCCAAATGCACTGTAAATCTGAAGAATCTGAAGAATTGAAAATACTAAATTAACAAAATCCCAGATTGTACCTTTAAAGGTATAATCTGCTATATTTACTGCTGTTCAATAGCCAACTCAGGTAATGATATATAAGGCTTCAAATGATTGAGGTTAGATTTGGACTTGGGTAAACTGCTTCTATATGGATTTATGAGAAAGCGACCCCTGCTTACCTCTAAGAAGAAGCGAGGGCTTTCTGGCATGGTGGTGAGAGAAGCAATAGCCGCAACAGAGGGAAATGCACACACCAGGACGAACACACGCCAGCTGTGGAACTGGTACGCTGACCCCATCTGGAAACTCCAGCCTGGGAGGCGAGGAGCAGAGAGAGAGAAATGGGATGAAGCACAAACTGTAACCCTGCGTAACCACTAGATACAACTTTGTGGTAAGACATTTCGAGTGCTTTTGGGGCCATATCCGTGATGATTGAATTCCTGCCATAGGCTACTCACCATAGTGTGGGATGATGGCCCATGCCATGGCTGAGGCATAGATGCCACCAATCATCCAGAACATGCAGAGCCAACTGAGGTGCTCCCCACGTTTCTCCTGGGCCAGAAACTCTGAGTAGTAGGAGAACACAATGGGGATGGAACCACCGATCCTGCAAGGATTTGCACAGAGACACAAACCACTGGAGGTTAAATTAAATCAAACTTGAAGAGAATATTTGGTGGTAGGAGTGCTATATAGCTTCGAGAGGGTGCTATTTGGATGAAAGGTCATTCTTAGCATTAAAGCCAAGAAAATCTAACTCTCCTAATTATAAACAGCGACTTCAGAAAGTACTCATACCCCTTGACTTATTCCACATTTTGTTGTGATACAGCCTGAATCCCCCCCCAAAAAAAATCTCAAACATCTACAGTGAGGGGAAAAAGTATTTGATCCCCTGCTGATATTGTACGTTTGCCCACTGACATAGAAATGATCAGTCTATAATTTTAATGGTAGGTTTATTTGAACAGTGAGAGGCAGAATAACAACAAAATAATCCAGAAAAACGTATGTAAAAAATGTTATGAATTGATTTGCATTTTAATGAGGGAAATAAGAATTTGACCCCTCTGCAAAACATGACTTAGTACTTGGTGGCAAAACCCTTGTTGGCAATCACAGAGGTCAGACGTTTCTTGTAGTTGGCCACCAGGTTTGCACACATCTCAGGAGGGATTTTGTCCCACTCCTCTTTGCAGATCTTCTCAAAGTCATTAAGGTTTCAAGGCTGATGTTTGGCAACTCAAACCTTCAGCTCTCTCCACAGATGTTCTATGGAATTAAGGTCTGGAGACTGGCTAGGCCACTCCAGGACCTTAATGTGCTTCTTCTTGAGCCACTCCTTTGTTGCCTTGGCCGTGTGTTTTGGGTCATTGTCATGCTGGAATACCCATCCACGACCCATTTTCAATGCCCTGGCTGAGGGAAGGTTCTCACCCAAGATTTGACGGTACATGGCCCCGTCCATCGTCCCTTTGATGCAGTGAAGTTGTCCTGTCCCCTTAGCAGAAAAACACCCCCAAAGCATAATGTTTCCACCTCCATGTTTTACGGTGGGGATGGTGTTCTTGGGGTCATAGGCAGCATTCCTCCTCCTCCAAACACGGCGAGTTGAGTTGATGCCAAAGAGCTCAATTTTGGTCTCATCTGACCACAACACTTTCACCCAGTTCTCCACTGAATCATTCAGATGTTCACTGGAAAACTTCAGACGGGCATGTATATGTGCTTTCTTGAGCAGGGGGACCTTGCGGGCGCTGCAGGATTTCAGTCCTTCACGGCGTAGTGTGTTACCAATTGTTTTCTTGGTGACTGTGGTTCCAGCTGCCTTGAGATCATTGACAAGATCCTCCTGTGTAGTTCTGGGCTGATTCCTCACCGTTCTCATGATCATTGCAACTCCACGAGGTGAGATCTTGCATGGAGCCCCAGGCTGAGGGAGATTGACAGTTCTTTTGTGTTTCTTCCATTTGCGAATAATCGCACCAACTGTTGTCACCTTCTCACCAAGCTGCTTGGCAATGGTCTTGTAGCCCATTCCAGCCTTGTGTAGGTCTACAATCTTGTCCCTGACATCCTTGGAGAGCTCTTTGGTCTTGGCCAAGGTGGAGAGTTTGGAATCTGATTGATTGATTGCTTCTGTGGACAGGTGTCTTTTATACAGGTAACAAGCTGAGATTAGGAGCACTCCCTTTAAGAGTGTGCTCCTAATCTCAGCTCGTTACCTGTATAAAAGACACCTGAGAGCCAGACATTTTTCTGATTGAGAGGGGGTCAAATACTTATTTCCCTCATTAAAATGCAAATCAATTTATAACATTCTTGACATACGTTTTTCTTGATTTTTTTGTTGTTATTCTGTCTCTCACTGTTCAAATAAACTTACCATTAAAATTATAGACTGATCATTTCTTTGTCAGTGGGCAAACGTACAAAATCAGCAGGGGATCAAATAATTTTTCCCCTCACTGTATACACAATGCCCCATAATGACAAAGTGAAAACATGTTTTTAGACATGTTTGCAAATTTTGAGAAAATGAAACAGAAATATCTAATTTACATAAGTATTCACACCCCTGAGTCAATACATGTTAGAATCACCTTTGGCAGCGATTATAGCTCATTCTTTCTGGGTAAATCTCTAAGAGTTTGCAAACCTGGATTATATGATATTTGCAAGTTATTCTTTTAAAAATTCTTCAAGCTCTGTCAAGTTGGTTGTTGATCATTGCTAGACATTTTCAAGTCTTGCCATAGATTTTCAAGCCGAAACTGTAACTATGCAACTCAGGAACATTCAATGTAATCTTGGTAAGCAACTCCAGTGTATAGCTGTCCTTGTGTTTTAGGTTATTGTCCTGCTGAAAGGTGAATGTGTCTCCCAGTGTTTGTAGGAAATCAGATTGAAGCAGCTTTTCCTCTAGGATTTTGCCTGTGCTTAGCTCTATTCTGTTTATTTTTATCCAAAAAAACAAGCATACCCATAACATGATGCAGCCACTACCATGCTTCAAAATATGAAGAGTGATACTCAGTGATGTGTTGTGTTGGATTTGCCCCAAACATAACACTTTGTATTCAGGACATAAAGTTCATTTCTTTGCCACATTTTTTGCAGTTTTACTTTAGCGCCATATTGCAAACAGGATGCATGTTTTTAAATATTTTTATTCTGTACAGGCTTCCTTCTTTTCACTCTGTCATTTAGGTTAGTATTGTGGAGTAGCTACAATGTTGTTGATCCATCCTCAGTTTTCTGCTATCACAGCCTTTAAACTCTGTAACTGTTTTAAAGTCACCATCGGTCTCATGGTGAAATTCCTGAGCGGTTTCCTAACTCTTCGGCAACTGAGTTAGGAAGGACACCTGTATCTTTGTAGTGACAGGGTGTATTGATACACCATCCAAAGTGTAATTAATAACTGTACCATGCTCAAAGGGATATTCAATGTCTACTTTTTTTTACCCATCTACCAATAGGTGCCCTTCTTTGCGAGGCATTGAAAAACCTCCCTGGTCTTTGTGGTTGAATCTGTGTTTGGAATTCACTGCTTGACTGAGCGACATTACAGATAATTGTATGTGTGGGGTACAGAGATGAGTTAGTCATTCAAAAATCATGTTAAACACTATTATTGCGTCCATGCAACTTATGTGACTTGTTAAGAAAATGTTTACTCCTGAATTTATTGAGGCATGCAATAACAAAGGGGTTGAATACTTATTGACTCAAGACATTTCAGCTTTTCATTTTCTATTAATTTGTTTTAAAAAATGTCTAAAAACATAATTCCACTTTGACATTATGGGCTATTGTGTGTAGGCCAGTGACACAAAATCTCAATTTAATCCATTTTAAATTCAGGCTGTAACACAACAACATTTGGAAAAAGTCAAGGGGTATGAATACTTTCTGAAGGAACTGTAACTCTATAAAAAAAGCCCTTAAGCCCACCTGCGTCTGTTTGTCACTCTGTCTCTATCTATCATTCACCATCCATCAGTTTTCAGAATCTTACCCAACACCAGAAAGTAGTCGGCAGAAGAGAAAGGTGCTGTAACCCTGAACAAAGGAGGAGAAGAAGGAGAATACGCTGTTGATGGAGAGACAGATAAGAAGGGACTGCCGTCGGCCGATCCGGTCAGCGAGCCCACCCCACACAAATGCCCCGACCATCATTCCCAGATAAACGATCAGACCTGCAGAGGATGGAGAAAGACAATGAGAGAGATACATGTTTCGGTCAGACCTGTGCATAGAGCTGCTTTATTTGTTAAACTTCGGCATAACACGTGGGTCGTTCCACCTCATAAAGCACAAGAAAGAGGATTTCGACACCCACCATCTCAGATTGCTCTTGTCACGGTTTCGGCCGAGGCTGCCTCTCTTCCTTGCTCGGGCAGGCTTCGGCGTTCGTCGTCTCCGGAATACTAGCTGCCACCGTTGCATGTTTCTATGTTCGTTTGCTTTTGTCTGATTGTTGTACACCTGTTATCGTTTAGTGTAATTAGTGTCCTATAAGTTCTCGTTGTGTTTGTCTAGTGTTGTGTGTGATTGTTTTTCACTGTCGTGCGTTTAGCTATTGATTATACAGTTTGCTCGGTTGAGCTGCTCTCCATTTCTGTGTATTGGAGTATTTTGTTGCGCGTATCTTGTGCGCCCGCTTTATTTCGCCTGCGTGCGGAGTTTCTCGCCTCTGGGCATTTGTTTTCGTGCTGTGTTTTGTTTGCAACAACTAAAGTCTTTTGGACTTACTTTGTGCGTCCTGCGCCTGATTCCACCACCACACCCACCTACAGCTACACTGACAGCTCTGAAATCGTTTCTGTTTAGAAACTGATAAGATTAGCATTCCTGCAACGTTATTTTGTTGAAATATAATTTGACCTCTGAGATGTTAAGCTAATTGAATGCACGCAAATTGGCCATTTAATTAATTTATAGGATTCATATAATATTTAATAAATATAGTAACTAACATCCGATTTGGACCAAACTTTTTTCTAACAACGAGTTAGACATGAGGAATCTAAATAAATGGTCAAAAGTTTATATTATATGAATCCTATAAATTAAAATGGCCAATTTGGGTGCAATCAATTAGCTTAATCAAACTACAGAAACGATTTCAGAACAATCTGAGATGGTGGTTGTCATGGCTTGCTGAAATGACATGGAACGACCCATGTGTGTTTTGTTTTTGTATCGTCTCTGATGTGAATTTTAAAAAATCCACCACGTTCTACGGTAAATCCCTCGCATCTTGATACTTTGTTATCAAAACTCACATACATGACTGTCTTGCAATGTAAAAAAAAAAAAAAAACAACAACTTGCATTTGTGCTTGCTGCCAATGGCATTGTGTAAACATGCAGTTAGGTGTGTGTGTGGGCTGACACCGTCACACACTCACAGACACACAAACAGACAGATATACACACACACACACACACAAAGCTCAGGGGTAGTGAAAGGGGGAGGTGTGGGATGGAGGAGGCTATTTATAGATGGTTTTCCCCTTTATGTGAGAATGAACTCTCTGCGTCAGCGGAAGAGGAGGGAACGTGTCAGGAGACAGACATAGATGTGTCGGAGAGACAAGATCAAAGCAAGCTGTAGAGCATAATTTGATTGTCTATCAAAGACATAAGATGTGAATTTACAGCAGAACGACAGGGTTTCATTGAATTTGCATTGGGGCCGATAAAACCCCCCACATTTGACATTTGATCGGAGAAAAACAGTATCCAACATGCTCCAAAAAATTTAAGGGCTCACTTACCTAGCATGTAAATCAATAAAATCAATGAAAAATACACAGTTTAAGGGTCACACTTACCCAACATGCCCTTGCTTTCCTCTGACAGACACATATCCTTCTCAGCACTGGGGAGCACAAAGCCCACCACAAAGATCTCCACACCATCCGCCATGAGGGCCAGCCCCAGCACAAAGTAGAGGGTCCACTGGAACTTCCCATGGCCGCACTCCTGCAGGATGGTCTCGTACTGCTGGGCTAGCTCTTCTTGGTCCTTCCGCCGCTCCCCCTCCAACTGTGCCATGTCCCTGAACTGCTGCCCATCTCCCCCTGCTAGGCCGTCAGCAGCCTTGCCCGAATCAGTGCGAGGAATGCCCTGGTACTCGCCCTCGTAGATCTCGTCGTCTTCGTCGTGGCCCTCTGTGGAGTCGCTGTGGCCACCTTCATCGTCATTGGCTGCCTGGCTGTCGCCCCGGTAGTAGCCACCGTCCTGCCCCCCAGGCACTCCAGGGTAGTCATCGTCGTCGTCTTCCTCAAAGCGGGCATAGGAGCGTTTGCTGTACTCGTCGGTCATCTTGTCCACACCGCGGCCCACTTTCTTGGCCGCCTGGCGCTTGACCTCTTTGGCAATGTCTTTGGCACCCTTTATAAAGGCTGTCTTGTTCTGGTAGCCGTCCTCCATTATTGAAGGGTCGAGGAATCTCAAAGGCAGGGGTTTATCACCTGAAAAGTAGGTTGGAGCTAAGGAATCTCTGGGGAGTGTTTATGTCGTGTAGTGTTCCAGTTTACCCTCAACAGGGTGGTGGAGAGTTGAGCTTGATTGTATCACAGGGCCCGCTCTGTGATGGACAGCTCCTCTACAGAGGGAAAGCGCAAACACATTGTTAGTCACATGGACCATACTTCAGAATCAGGGTTGGAGTCAATATAATTGTAAACAAATACTGTAGTTTCAAAACATGTTTGAAACCATAATTGTGATCTAATGGAGTCCTTGCATCCATAGCTCCATCCCTCAGCTCTTTATCAAAACAAGTGGCGGGGTAGCAATTTGTTGTTGTTTTTTTATCCCAGATTGCCCCTTCAAGTAGCATTCCATCTCTATAATGCTAAATAAATGAGTGAGCACAGTGCCCGTTCCTGTTGCTAGGGGGAGCGTATTTCTAAGCAGTTGCCAAGGAGCATCTTATCTCAATTTGCACTCTCTAAACTGATTAGGAATAGCTTACTGTTCTCCTGTTGACATTTTGTTTCTGGTGTCCATCTGATAACAACTCAACACCAGGGAAACTATAGCAGGGACAAACTGAGAAGGGTAGCAGCTATTCCTAGTGGACTGTGCATTCATGGATAAGTCAAAAACAATATTTTTCCAAACGTATGGAAAGGACATTTGAAATAATAGAAAGTAAGAGTATAAATCCAAGTGTGCATTATTGCAATGCACAAATAATGTTGCTTTTGACTTATACTGCTTTATTTGAAAATTGCCTCTCTCACATGTTAAGATGCAGGCGTGTATAGGGACCACAACACATCACATGATCTAACATTTTTAAGCCATATACTATATGCACTGAGAGCTAGTTTCCTGTTCCCCAAAAACCTGACTACAGCAAAGTCAGATTTTAAATGGTTGCCACCATTAGAGAAGGTGGGAATATTTTGATACAATCAACATCACGATAACAATATTGTTTGGGAGCATTTTATCTACAGTACGTCTGCCTATCAAAGCGGTAAACCTACAATGGTCTCTTTCTGTAAATGTGAAACAAATAAATATAGCATTTATTAGTATAGCATTGGATTTTGTAAGACAATGATGAAGAGATGTGTTGATACAAGAATCTACATTTTTTACAGAATCAAATGGGTGGGTCAAAATGTAACTGAGCTTCAAATTCAAAGTTTCGAACTGACTGCCCAGGGGGATGGGCTGTATGTCCTTGTGATTTGATCTTTCTGCTTTTTACAATTAATTATTATCTCAATCTATGGAAGTGGCCACATTTTCCTTGACAGCAAAATACCAAAAGCCCATTGTACAAGGCTGACACCCAGTAACTATATGTATTTTGTTGAAACAGCTGCCCACTTAATCTTTGACAAGGACTAGAGATAAGCTCTAATGCTCTTCTTTACCTAGAATGCCATATTGGGGTGTTTAAAGCGGTGACTCCTTTAACTGGCAAATGAGGATTATTAATCCTCTCATGTCATGTGTTGGGATTATATGAAGGGAAAACAATAGCACAGGAGTGAGAGGATTAACTTTTTGCATCGAGACTGTGTTCAGAGAATCAGATTGATTTCAAAGCTTTGGGAGGTTCGAGACTGTGATCAGATGGGAGGGGAGAGAAACATAGAGAGTGATAGTGAGGGGAAGGAAGAAAGCAAAGGAAGTGAGACAGGACACAATACAATCCACAGACAGAATGGAAGAGAGAAATTGAGAAAAAAGGAGATAGAAATTGAGAGAGAGAGAGTGAGAGCGAGAGTGAAAGTGAGAGCAAGAGCAAGAGCATTCTTCAGGGGATTCCTTCCTGACAACAGGGTGGCAGACAAAATGATTAAAGGGCCACTGGGTGACCCATTAGACTAAGAGGTGCCTGCCAAAAGCAGCAAGAGTGAGGATGAAACTGGGTACAGCAATGACAACACATTCATCTATTTAGAAAAACACTGTCGTTGTAAATACACACACCAGATATGCTATATTTTAGTCAGTAACGTCCACACGGTTACACATGTGGGGTCAGAGATGGGGACAAGACTCACTTTAATACATATTGGTCCTAAAATGCAAACCCCGCTCTCCTGGCGTCCCAGTACTTTACTCTAGCGATTCCCTCACGCCATAGAACACTCTTAATGGCTGCACTGGGCTCCCGAGTGGTGCAGTGGTCTAAGGCACTGCATCTCAGTGCTTGAGGCATCATTTCAGACCCCCTGGTTTGATTCCAGGCTGTATCACAACCGGCCGTGATTGGGAGTCCCATAGGGCGGCGCACAATTGGCCCAGCGTCGTCTGGGTTTGGCCGGTGTAGGCCGTCATTGTAAATAAGAATGTGTTCTTAACTGACTTGCCTAGTTAAATAAAGGTATAAAATATGTGACAAATTCAAGGGGGTAGCCCCGACCAGGACCTGAACCAGAGGCCCTGTGACTGTCAGTCCAACAGTCCAATGTCCCCTTGACGAGTTCAATGGGTAGCCTGGGTGAGTCTTATTCAGTACATTTAGTTATTGCTTGCTTTTCTAAAGTCTACCAACCTTGCCAGCAGGCATACCAGCTAAGATAGTTAGACAAGCTAGCTACTCTAACTTGATATATAGCCTGCAATGGCTTCTTGGCAGCTAGTTATGAGAGATTGGGAACCTATCTGGGCTCGATAAAGCCAACTTCATAAAATTGGTAAGTGGCTAGTAGTATTACAGCGAAAAAAATTAAAATAAAAAATATTTAATTTTTTTACAAACCTGAGGGGGCACGTGTCACTGGGCATGACGCCTCTGCAAGCTGTGACCATGTTCTCCAAAAAATCTAAATCTGCAGACACTATATCTATGCTAATTGGTGTGTGCAGGCATGTTTATTTTAATGGTTAAGGAAATATGTATTTGTTAAGGGAAATAGTAAACCCGTTGAGCATCAGCAACAAATGGCGCCTGTCTGAGACAAGGTCGTTATAGATAAAGCATGCACGTCTTGCCAAAAGTAGGGCGGCTTTCATTCGACCTCAAGATGATGGTCACACATGTCCGTTTATTATGTCAGAAATGGTCTGCCAATAACATGCATTACGGACGGTTGGCATTCAGTCGACATGGAATCACCCCTTACCATCCCTCTCGCCAACACAATCACGATGAATCGCCTATGTGAAGGACAATGGCAAAATTATAACAAATGTCTCCATTCACGCGCGATACGACTGCGAAATTAGTATAGTATGCTAGCAATATAATTTATTTCGGAGTAGCCAATAATTCAATATTTAATGCAGTACAACAAAAACAGCGCGTCTTTTATAACTGAACTAAAGCAATTAGCTCAATTGTTTAATTATCTAAATTCAATATTCAACATATTTTCGGTCAAATAAAGGATTTAAAACCAAACGCAGTTCCAATCTCTTCATTTGAAGAGATATGAAATTGTCGTGACTGCGTTTTTACGCAGGGTTGAGGGATGACTTGTATATAATGTTAGATAGGATACTGTCACGTTAAATAGGCTATAAGAAATATCCACAATTTCAGTCTGCATCGACGCATAAATACATTTCAATAAAACACGAGATGACTTTCACTTCCTAAATCGTGGCCAGTGTGCAAGATCTTTTGGGAGGCACGCACATCCAGATTCATCTAACAACGGGGTAGGCCAATGTAGGCTAATTATAACTAATTAGCTGAGTTTCATTTTAGTAAAGGTAACAGCATCATCTCACCGTAATTATGGATATGGCTTTCACTATATCCCCAGCTTGAATTTTGTCCACAGGATGACAGTGCGTTGATGCTGCTGCTGCTCAAACGTGGATAGGCTCCCTGTAACCCCAACCGACTGAAGAGGAAGCGTGATGCGAGAACCAAGAAATACCACCTCAGTGGGTACCAAACGTAGCATCGTGGATCCCCTCCCCCCCATCTAACCTTTCTGGTCCTCGGCATAAATAGACCATTCACGCACGGTCTATTTTATTGGCTATATAGTGGTTATCAAGTGAACCATTTCTCTTAACCTGTATTTCAAGCAATTTGCAAGTATTAACATCTATTTTGTTTTCGCATTAGATGTTGCCCACCACACCCTCTCATCATCATCATCACACACACCCCAACACTATTCGAATAATGTGTAGGCCTACATGTGAAAGCAAGCAACCATGACGTGTACACTTAATATTCATAACATGATGGTATGTTTGTTTGAAATCGACTAATGTATCCTATGCTTTAGCTGTATTAGGCCTACATAGCCTAAATGAAAATGATATTTACCACGCATGCAAACATGTATAGCCTATACTAGGAATTCCCTCCCTTTCAGTGATAGCTTACACTTAAGTTACCAATATTTGTTTTACTCTGCTCCAATTCAATGTTCGCATCGAACAGCTTCAATATAATGAGTTGTAAAAACAAATAATCGTTGGAACATGACTCACTGTAGACCTTAAACAGGCATTCATAAGAGGTCTCTCAAACAATGTCTTCCATGTAACTGGACACGTCTTCCTGAGCTGAATTTCAAAGTGCCACCCCCATATTTCTCTATCTCCAACACAACTGCCCGTTTCTACGCCAAACACTGGCCTATCCCACATAATGACATCACAGGACAAGATGCTGAGGAAACCAGTAAGCTTAATTGAATACCCATGGTTTGCCCGCCCAGCTCAGTTAGGCAGAAAATATGTTATTCTTCCGCTATGAAAATTGCTAACTCTTATTTTTAAGGGGGGTTTAATTTACCAATCTAATATAGGGTTTTAAGCCTATTTTGTTTGTAGTCGTTAACCGCTCATTAAAATAACTGCTTAATAATTAAAATGTAAATATCATAGGTCAGAATGAGTACAATAAGTCTCATTCATAATGTAAGTGAACATTATCCACCTAAAAAACAGAGAAACACTATTTTCACACCACTTTGATAAAGCTACGACTGGAATGCACTTTTTCGTAGCAGTTTAGAATTTACGCAGCAGGTTAAGATAATTAACGTAGCAGGTTAGGAGACTGAGGTTAAGGTTAGGAAAAGGGGTTTGGTGGTATCGACCAATTTTAATCTTCAAGAATCAATATTATTCATTTAAATTATCAGAAATTGCTTAAAATATCAGTGGGATTATGCAGCCCTGTACACCCTCCTCCATAACCCACTACATCAGACAAGTGGTATCTGCCATAACCATGGCAACAGACAGAGTGAGTGCTGCATTCAACATGGAAGCAGCACAAACATAGTTTTTTTCTATTTTGGAAGCAAGTGCAGAATTAGTATTTGTAATCTACTCAAAGCTTTCTCTCAAAGCACTGCCTATAGCAACATTGTATTTAGAGGGTTTATGGGTACTTCGGGGGGTTTATAAAAAAGACTTCAGGTTTATATAGGTGAAGAGGTTTTCGTTTCCATTAGGTCTGGAACCTGTCAACTTACTTGTGCTTTGTCTGGTCAAAACATAACCATCCCATTAACCTTGTCATTATGGACATGCCTCACCATCTCTCCTGGCTACCAATGGTGACAAACGACTGGCCTTTTGATCACATTTGGGGTTTCTAACCTATTCAGGAGACCAACTACATTTTGTGTCTTATGTTTGTACTAGGAAAGCACAAGTTGATTGACATGATGCATGTTCTGAATTCAATCTCATCTAAGAGAACTGAAATGACTTTACATCAATTGAAAGACTCAATTTGTTGTATTAAAAACCTTTATTCCGAACCTTTGTTTGGGATCTGTACAGTGAAGATGAAATGAAAAAAAAAATGGAGCAACACCATGTCTCCAAATTGTACTCTGGAATAGAAACAAAAAAAGCTAAATGAAAGCATGGTCATGCGCCTTGCTGTGGTCCTCCGTACTCTATGGGGGCATTGGTCCTCTCATGGGGCCTCGAGGTGGACCGCCGGGGGGCCTTGGTGGCATTGGAGGCCCCCTCTGGAAGCCAAACGGAGGCGGACGAGGGGGACCCCCACCGTAGCCTGGTGGGGGCATGGGAGGAGGGGGTCCTCTCATGCCTGGATGCATGGGGTGACCTGTGTGGGTGGGGAGAGAGAGAGGGGATTCACACAATGATATATCATCTCATACAGCAGCACATTTCAACAAGGATTTCAGGAAACAAAGCTCTTGGATATCCATAAAATTAAATTGTGTCCCTTTAGACAAATGTGTAAAATAAAATCTTTACAATACATTTTTTTAAAGTACCAAATGGATGTAACAATTGCAGACTGTAGCTTTAATGTTTAAGAAAAATAATAGTGATGAAACGAAAAGTGGTGAATTGTTTTGCATGAATCAGAAGTCAACTAACAGGCAATTAATTATCCAACTGATAGGAGATTTCAACTATTGAACTGTATTGAGTTGAATTGACCACTAGCCTTGTGAAGGCACAGCACTTACCCATGGGATGCCCATAGGGCCCTCTCGGTGGCATGCCCATGTGTGGATGAGGGGGCATGCCGGGGGGTGGAGGCGCCCGGTGCTGGTTGGATCCTGGGGGGCCCGGTGGAGGCACCATACCTGGAGGATGGCCATGAGGGTGCATGGGCATCTGGGGCATTCCTGTTGGACATGAACAATATAATTGGTGGTGGTCCTCAGTTGCTTAGTTGGTAGAGCTTGGTGCTTGCAATGCCAGGATAGTGGGTTCGATTACGTAAAATGCATGCACGCATGACTAAGTCGCTTTGGATAAAAGAGTCTGCTAAATGACATTTACACTACATGTCGAAAAGTATATGGACACCTCTACAAATTAGTGGAATCGGCTATTTCAGCCACACCTGTTGCTGAAAGGTGTATAAAATCGAGCACACAGCCATGCAATCGCCATAGACAAACATTGGCAGTAGAATGGCCCGTACTGAAGAGGTCAGTGACTTTCAATGTGGCAACATCATAGGATGCCACCTTTTCAACAAGTCAGTTCGTCAGATGTCTGAAAAGCTAGAGCTGCCCCGGTCAACTGTAAATGCTGTTATTGTGAAGTGGAAACGTCTAGGAGCAACAACGGCTCAGCTGCAAAGTGGTAGGCCATACAAGCTCACAGAACGGGACCGCCGAGTGCTGAAGCGCGTAAAATTAGTCTGTCCCCGGTTGCAACACTCACTACCGAGTTCCAAACTGCCTCTGGAAGCAACGTCAGCACAATAACTGTTCGTCAGGAGCTTCATGAAATGGGTTTCCATGGCCGAGCAGCCACACACAAGCCTAAGATGCGCAATGCCAAGCGTCGGCTGAAGTGATGTAAAGCTCGCCGCCATTGAACTCTGGAGCAGTGGAAACGCGTTCTCTGGAGTGATGCATCACGCTTCACCATCTGGCAGTCCGACGGCCTAATCTGGGTTTGGCGGATGCCAGGAGAACGCTACCTGCCTGAAGACATAGTGCCTAGGGCTGTGGCGATCATGACATTTCGTCAGCCGGTGATTGTCAAGCAAATAACTGTCGGTCTCACGGTAATTGACCGTTAATTAACAAACATATTTAGCATCTCCTGGCTTCCACACATAGCCTACAAGCTACTGATGCAGACCTTAGGAACATCTACATTTAAAAAAAGTATAATAAATCCATGTAATATAGCCTACACCTTTACAATAAATCCATTATTTATTTTAGACAGGTCTAAAGAAACATGATATGAAGAAAATGTAGTCTATTTCAGAAGAACAGAAGAACAGAATAGCATACTCCGAGTTGTCTTTATGCTAGGTAACTCGGGTAGTTGTTGTTGCCATCCTGTACCTGTCCCGCAGGTGTGATGTTCGGATGTACCGATCCTGTGCAGGTGTTGATACACGTGGTCTGCCACTGCGAGGACAATCAGCTGTCCGTCCTGTCTCCCTGTAGCGCTGTCTTAGGCATCTCACAGTACGGACATTGCAATTATTGCCCTGGCCACATCTGCAGTCCTCATGCCTCCTTGCAGCATGCCTAAGGCACGTTCACGCAGATGAGCAGGGACCCTGGGCATCTTTCTTTTGGTGTTTTTCAGTCAGTAGAAAGGCCTCTTTAGTGTCCTACGTTTTCATAACTGTGACCTTAATTGCCTACCGTCTGTAAGCTGTTAGTGTCTTAACGACCGTTCCACAGGTGCATGTTCATTAATTGTTTATGGTTCATTGAACAAGCAATGGAAACAGTGTTAAAACCCTTTACAATGAAGATCTGTGAAGTTATTTGGAATTTTACGAATTATCTTTGAAAGACATGGTCCTGGAAAAGGGAGGTTTCTTTTTTTGCTGAGTTTATATATTGTATTCTATAATATTCTACTGTATCTTAGTCCATGCCCCTCTGTCATTGCTTGTCCATATATGTATATATTCTTAATTCCATTCCTTACTTAGATTTGTGTGTATTGGGTATACAGTGGCTTGCGAAAGTATTCACCCCCCTTGGCATTTTTCCAATTTTGTTGCCTTACAACCTGGAATTAAAATGGATTTTTTTTTTTGGGGGGGGGGGGGGGGGGGGGGGGGGGGGGGGTTGTATCATCACAACATGCCTACCACTTTGAAGACGCAAAATATTTTTTTTGTGAAACAAACAAGAAATAAGACAAAAAAAACAATACTTTGTAGAGCCACCTTTTGCAGCAATCACAGCTGCAAGTCTCTATAAGCTTGGCACATCTAGCCACTGGGATTTTTGCACATTCTTCAAGGCAAAACTGCACCAGCTCCCTCAAGTTGGATGGGTTTCGCTGGTGTACAGCAATCTTTAAGTAATACCACAGATCCTCAATTGGATTGAGGTCTGGGCTTTGACTAGGCCATTCCAAGACATTTAAATGTTTCCCCTTAAACCACTCAAGTGTTGCTTTAGCAGTATGCTTAGGGTCATTGTCCTACTGGAAGGTGAACCTCCGTCCCAGTCTCAAATCTCTGGAAGACTGAAACAGGTTTCCCTCAAGAAGTTCCCTGTATTTAGCGCCATCCATCATTCCTTCAATTCTGACCAGTTTCCCAGTCCCTGCCGATGAAAAACATCCCCACAGCATGATGCTGCCACCATGCTTCACTGTGGGGATGGTGTTCTCGGGGTGATGAGAGGTGTTGGGTTTGCGCCAGACATAGCATTTCCTTGATGGCCAAAAAGCTCAATTTTAGTCTCATCTGACCAGAGTACCTTCTGCCATATGTTTGGGGAGTCTCCCACATGCCTTTTGGCAAACACCAAAGGTGTTTATTTTTTTCTTTAAGCAATGGCTATTTTCTGGCCCCTCTTCCGTAAAGCCCAGCTCTGTGGAGTGTACGGCTTAAAGTGGTCCTATGGACAGATACTCCAATGTCCGCTGTGGAGCTTTGCAGCTCCTTCAGGGTTATCTTTGGTCTCTTTGTTGCCTCTCTGATTAATGCCCTCCTTGTCGGGTCCGTGAGTTTTGGTGGTCGGCCCTCTCTTGGCAGGTTTGTTGTGGTGCCATATTCTTTCCATTTTTTAATAATGGATTTAATGGTGCTCCGTGGGATGTTCAAAGTTTCTGATATTTTTTTATAACCCAACCCTGATCTGTACTTCTCCACAACTTTGTCCCTGACCTGTTTGAAGAGCTCCTTGGTCTTCATGGTGCCGCTTGCTTGGTGGTGCCCCTTGCTTAGTGGTGTTGCAGACTCTGGGGCCTTTCAGAAAAGGTGTATATATACTGAGATCATGTGACAGATCATGTGACACTTAGATTGCACACAGGTGGATTATTTAACTAATTATGTGACTTCTGAAGGTAATTGGTTGCACCAGATCTTATTTAGGGGCTTCATAGCAAACGGGGTGAATACATATGCACGCACCACTTTTCCGTAATTTATTTTGTAGATTTTTTTGAAACAAGTTGTTTTTTTCATTTCACTTCACCAATTTGGACTATTTTTTGTATGTCCATTACATGAAATCCAAATAAAAAACAATTTAAATTACAGGTTGTAATATAACAAAATAGGAAAAACGCCAAGGGGGATGAATACATTTGCAAGGCACTGTATGTTGTTAAATTGTTAGATATTACTTGTTAGATATTACTGCACTGTCAGAGCTAGAAGCACAAGCATTTCGCTACACCCGCAATAACATCTGCTAAACACGTGTATGTGACAAATAAAATTTGATTTGATTAGATTTTCCACTACATTTGCATTGATGTCAGAGTGATTAGAGGGACAATAGAGTGCTGAGTACCAGGCAGTGAGCAAGTTTGGTAGGCTACTAATGACCATCAGCAGCATCAGAGCTTGGAGAAGCCCAATTACCGTGACTAAACGGTCACATGGAATTTGACTGCCTTCATAACTCGTGACCGATGGTATGGCGGTAATACGGTCACCGCAACAGCCCTAATATTGCCAACTGTAAAGTTTGGTCGAGGAAGAATAATGGTTTGGGGCTGTTTTTCATGGTTCGGCCTAGGCCCCTTAGTTTCAGGGAAGAGAAATCTTAACGCTACAGCATACAATGGACATTCTAGACGATTCTGTGCTTGCAACTTTGTGGCAACAGTTTGGGGAAGGCCCTTTCCTGTTTCAACATGACATTGCCCCCGTGCACAAAGCGAGGTCCATACAGAAATGGTTTGTCGAGATCGGTGTGGAAAAACTTGACTGGCCTGCACAGAGCCCTGACCTCAACCCCATCAAACACCTTCGGGATGAATTGGAACGCCGTCTGCGAGCCAGGCCTAATCGCCCAACATCAGTTCCCGACCTCACTAACGCTCTTGCGGCTAAATGGAAGCAAGTCCCTGCAGCAATGTTCCAACATTAGTGGAAAGACTTCCCAGAAGAGTGGAGGCTGTTATAGCAGCAAAGCGGGGACCAACTCCATATCACTGCCCATGATTTTGGAATGAGATGTTCGACAAGCAGGTGCCCATATACTTTTGGCCATGTAGTATATTAATGCACCTCATCGCACACAACAGGCTCTCTTCCTTTTACCAGAGGTAGCAGTAACTTAAAATTCCACACACTACAATTTAAAATTCCAATATTTAACAATCTGGGCAAGCTTTTCCTGACAGTTGTACTCATTCTAATTATATGGTCAGGGTGAGTGACTTACCCGGGTGCATGCCCTGGTGGAAGGGTGGCGGGCCAGGTGGGGGGCCTGAGCCCCCTCCCTGGGGTCCTGGTGTACCTGGGGCTGGGGGCATGGTCATGCCGGGGGGCATGCCAGGAGGCATGGATCCGGGGGGTGGCACAGGAGGGAAGGCACCAGGAGGGGGCATGCCTGGAAATTAAGATCAGAGAGAAATTGCACATTTTCGTCAAGTTGAATTAAAATGTTCTTGATGTAGATGTTTTAATGTTGTGTTGATGTTATAGTCAAGGTATTGTGAAGCCAACATCACATTTTCACATTGAGGATAATCACGTTTTTGTCATTCTTACTCTTACAAATCTACGGAGCACAATCTATGGCTAAGCTATACAAGGCAATAGGATTACTATCTAAGTACCCCCACGAAATACATGAAGGATTTAGGAAGCTGAAATCAAATTCTTCAACCCTGGTGCACCCACTTGCACGCACACACACACTTACCAGGCATGGGCATCCCAGCTCCCAGGGTGGTGAGGACAGGCGTCGAGGCAGAGGGGGGAGGCGGTGCATCTGCGAACAGCTGATGCGGCCGGTCGGCCTGCGAAAGCGGGTTCTGAGCAGCTAGGAGGCGTTCAGCGGCCGAGCCATGCCGCTCGCCCTTGGAGTCCTTCTTGAAGGCATATGACACCGTAATTGGTCGGTTGCACAGGTACTGGCCGTTCATGGCCTCGATGGCCGCGTCAGAGGCGTCAAAACTGGCAAAGTTGATGAAGGCGTATCCCTTGGAGTTGCCAGTGTCCGGGTCGCGCATGATCTTGGGCGTCTGGAGTATGACCCCAAAGGCGCTGAACGTGTCGTAGAGGAGTTTCTCGTCGATCTCCGGATCCAGGTTACCAATGAAGATGTTGGCGCCCACATCCAGGTTCTTGTTGTGCGCTGACGCCTTGTTGACACGGATGGGCTTGCCGTATAGTTTAATCATGTTCATAATCTTGATGGCATAGTCCGCATCCTCTTCACTGAGGAACTCAACAAAGCCATAGCCTTACGGAGGGGAGGGGGGAGACAGAGGGAACATTCAATAAGACTTTAACGGTTATATTTCTGATCAGCACTTTTTACAGGCTATTTGTCTCTAAAGGACTCTCCAAAAATGACACGACATCAACAAGTGATGGGTTTGCTTTCATAGCATAGACCTAATCTACAATGATCTGTCTTCTTTGCATAGGCTAGTTTTACACAGTTCTTATTTTCAAACATGAGTGTGCCACCTCACCATATGAAATAAATCCTAGGACTGCAGTAAAGTGTAGCATTTCTGGTTGGTCTTACTGACAGTACGTGTCAGTTTTGTTACCAATGCGTTGTTTATGAGTATGTGTGTTACTTACCTTGGTGTTGTCCCGTGACTCTGTCTTTGGGCATGTGTGTGTTGACCACAGGCCCAGCCTGTAGAAAGAGCTCCCACAGCAGTGGCTCTGCCACTTTCTCATCCAGACCACCCACATACACAGTGGCATCTAAAGTGACAGATAGAGCAACACCACATGAAGTGGATGGGTATAAGCCCAAACATTAGACCTTGTTATGGTCCTGCTTTTAGCAACACCTTTCCCATGTTGGAAGCTATATCCTATATCCATAATCGGTTCCTATTACTTGGGCATTGCTTACATTACCGAACAGTGCACAAGAAAGCATTAAATCTAGTTTCCACGCAAAGGATGGTGTTACATCCCGTCTGTGGTCCAAGAGCACAAACCCTGCAAAACGAGCGCAGTTTTGCCAAAGACAGGGACTATAATTAGTGTGCAGCCTAGCGGTTAAGAGCATTGGGCCAGTAACCGAACGGTTGCCGGTTCGAATCCCCGAGCCGACTAGATGGAAAATCTGTTGATGTGCCCTTGAACAAGTAATTTAATCTTAATTGGTCCAGGAGCACCGTACTACTATGTCTGACTCTGTAAATCAACACATTTCACTGCACCTATCCAGTGTATGTGTCAATATATATATAAATCGCTCTGAATAAGAGCGTCTGCTAAATTACTTAAATGTAAAAAATGGTGTGCGCCCAAAGCGCGAAGTTAACCTAGGAACATGTTCAGCTAGCTAACGTTACCCTCTTTGAGCCAGTGCCATTTAACGTTAGATATATGGCCCTGCATTGAGCTGGTTACCCATTCATAGTCCGGCGGATTCATCAGAGACAAATCGGTCGAGTCCGTCATATGGCTAGCTGCTAGATTTATAGCTAAAATGTTCAGGGCATTGGTTCAGATGTGATGGAAACTACTCGTATGGATACATTTGATGAATTTCAATGTAAGATACAAAGACTTATCTACCTTGGTTTCGCTCCGAAATCGGTCCCGCCGCCATGTTAAATCCGGCGTGAGGGCAGCGTTATGCGGAAGTTGTTCATCTGATGGGCAAGAAACCTATCCGGCAAAACCAAATAACGCAATTAGATCAAGTCGCCCTCTAGTGGTGGGCTGTCTGTACCGGTGAGCTCTCATTCAAGATGCAGCTGCCCCCCACACACGTATTATAAAGAATACACTCTTTGCTAATATTACATTTCATTATTTTCTGTATTTTTTTTTGCCAATATCGTGCTGAATCGTGCAGTCTTTATAGGGGCCATCTACAGTTAGTACATCCATTTTTGGATGTATAAATTAATGATATATACCCATTGATTCTTGAAGAATATAACTTATGAATGAATGCCTCATGAGCTTAGTCGTACCACATCAGAACCCAAAATATAAGCTTGTTTTACTCCAATGTCTTCAAACAATGTAAATGTAAACAAACACTGTAAAGCCTCAAAACATGGTTAAAACTATAATATTGATATAATGTATGGTCAGTCCTTGCATCCATAGCTCTGTCTATTAATTTGAGAGTGGTTACATTTCTCCAGGCCCATCCCTCAACTTTTTCACAAACAAAGGTGTGGGGAGGGGGTCTGCTTTGTTATTGTTTCAACTGTGGATTGGCCCTGTAGAGCAGGGATCTTACATTTTAGTCATTTAGCAGACGCTCTTATCCAGAGCGACTTACAGTTAGTGAGTGCATACATTTTTCATACTGGCCCCCCGTGGGAATCAAACCCACAACCCTGGCGTTGCAAGCGCCATGCTCTACCAACTGAGCTACACGGGGCCTTCAACTAAATTCAGCCGTGGGCCGATTTCTTCTTGAGTAGATGATCGGTGGGCTGGAACATAATTACAAATAATTAGTAGACTGCAAATTGACTGCAAGAAGCCCAAACAGATATAACATTTGACTAAAACATAATCATTTCAAACCTTGCTTACATTTGTATATGATCACGTGTCTCTCTATTCTGCGTGGGAATACTTGGGAACAGATTTCCTAAATTAAAATCACTTGGAGCTGATTTCCTAGTGTTTTTCCATTATTTTATTTACAACAATTAATGATTTAGTTTATTTTTTTGCTCAGAAAACATTGGGGAGGGGGAGGTGCCGCGGCCCGCTAGTTGGGGAACCTTACTGTAGAGCTACCTACAGTCTGGCAATCTGGTAATTATGCCTATATTGTTGATAACTCTTGAGCTTACAACTGTTTTACCCTATCATATCATAACTCAAAATAAGGTTTCAATTATATTACTCTATTATATTAAAATTATGTGCCTAAACAGATGCCATGTGGATCAGGCTGTCCTTGCATCTATAGCACTGTGTATGAATTTGAGAGGGGTTACATTTATATGGAAATCTTGGCTTTAACATAACATTGGACAAATGCCAAATGGTCTGGCTAAAAACAGTCAAATACATTGTAACATTTTCATAGGCCTATACCTTTGTCTCTGCCTGTTTGACAATGTATTATAATGGTATCTCTTATTATGTCTGACTTTCGGGTTCAGGCTATGCACTCCTGTGTAATTATCAATGGCTGTCTAACAGTGACTGTATCTTAATGGAAACACCTGCAAAACAGGCTCCTCGAGTTTACATCTCACTTGAGCGTGACTTCTTGGATAAGATAAAGTGGCCACATATCTGGCTGTGCCGGTTTCAGAACAAGTTTGTTCACTTAACTGACTACTTAAATAGTTGTTTCAAGTCAATGTTACAGGAATCACTAACAACTTGAGTTAAATGTATATGGGATATAGGCTCCTCTGGCTATAGGCTCCTTGGTTTAGTGAGAAAAATTGACAACAAACAGGACAATTAATTTGCCTCTACTTTGGCTTGCCAGAGGTATCATGAAAGGTCTCACATGGACTTAATGCGTGGACTCCTTGCTGCCATGGGCTTTGATTGTTCCCGACGTGCAAAATCTACTGCTCAGAGGTGAGTGGTTGCCACTTTGTGTAACTTAGGCTATATAATGCTCAGACAAAGAGAGTTATAGTAAAAAGTTGTAACATTTACATGTTCAGTTTAAAAGCTATAGCCTCTTATTCCCCTACATATTCATTTGGACAGTGAAGCTACCACTTTTAATTAGGCTTTATACTCCAGCATTTTGGATTTGAGATCACATATTTCATGAGGGACAATACAGAATGTCACCTTTTATTTTAGGGTATTTTCATACATATCTGTTTTACCTCCTCTGTTATTGGTAATGGTGAGAGGTTAGCATGTCTTGGAGGTATGATCTTTGTGCCTGTAACTTTCTCTCTCATCATTATTTGTGATTCATACATGATTATCCGTAATCATGGTAGCATCCACATTAATGTAGAAGTGTTCAGAAACGTATTTACTTATTTACAAAAAAGTGACTCCAAAATGACACAATACATTATTATCCATTCATTTCTATTGGGCACAACATAATCCAAAACACAACCAAAACAAACTGCAAATGCTTCTAAGTTTGTCGAGTCACAAGCTTGACATAGTCATTGCATGCTAGGAATATGGGACTAAATACAAAACTTTTGAATACTTTAATACAGTGAATTTGTCTAAATACTTATGACACCTTCAAATGTGGGGACTAGATACATAAAGTGCTTTAATTTCTAAATGGTTAAACAGATAAATACCCTCCAATAAAAGATGACATTCTGTACTGTCACCACATATGAAACATTTGATCTCAAATCCAAAATGCTGGAGTATAGAGCCAAATTAAAAGTTTTACCTTCGCTGCCCAAATAAATACATAGGGGAGTGTATACTGTATATTATAAGACTGAAATTAATGGTAGCTAGGTCTTTTTAAGAGGTAATTAACATTTGTTTCCTTCTTCCTCCTGAAACAGCTCACAAGCGGAGGTGACAGTGGTACATGTTGCCAGGAAGGAGAGCAGCCCTCAGACCTGTAGTCTTTCCCTGGACCTCGACACACCGCACTGCCAAAGCTGCATCTCCTACGAGGCTCGGCTGCAGCGCCTGGTCTGCGGACACTTCTACTGTGACCAGTGCAGAGGCTGCATCATTAACCAGGCTTTCAAGGACATCGAGGGCCTCTCGGACTACCCCTGTCCTATGTGCAACTCTATCCGTCAGCTGGGAGGCACAGTGCCTGAGCCACGGCTCTGCAGTAATAGCCCCCCCACTGTGTCTGTGGGCTTCAACGATCCCTCCTCCCCCACATCCTCACCTTAGCTCTACTAATGCAGGTCATCAGGGAAGAGGACTCTGGGAATTGAAGTAAGAAAGTAGAAAGCCACTTTGTAGTCTGTTTAGTGGAAAAACAGACTTAATCAGAGATTCTGTTTTTTTTTCTTTCAGATTTCTTTTAGGAGAACTGACTTTTTCATGAGGAAGTGTGCTCCAGCAAACTACATTTGTATTTTCTTTATTTCTTTCATAATGGATGACAGTGAGGGTTGTTTTTGGCTGCTTTATTGCATTTTATGTATATAAATCTAAATACAAACCTACATTGAGTAAAAAAGTAACAATTTAAAACTGGTCATATAAAATACATAAGGATTGTATAAAACAAACAAAGTTTATATAGATCACATTTTGTACAAATGGATTTATGTATCATGCACATCTTGATAAGCGAGAAGGCAGGGTAATAACATGACTGAACAGTCTATAAAAAGATTGCAACCTGTGTTAAAAGGAATAACACCCAAACATTAGTCCCAAGTTATATTAAGTGTCGCTAAAACATGTATTTACATGGTAATTACACAGACAGGTTTAGTGTAATTACAGTGTAGGTACACATTTGAACAATTTGGTTACAAATTACATTTATAAAACTGAAATTGGACAACATACTCTTACAACAATGTGAACAACATACCTGCCAATGTAATTAATAACCATGTAAGATTGGTTGTTTTAGCTACACTTTATATAAAAGTGGGACCCTAAACATTAAACAACTTAATTCCGGAAGTACACAAAGCAAATTTTTTTTTTTTTTTTCAACAATGTATGTGATTAATGGTGAGCAGACAACTGCCATAAAAACCATCGGTAACACACCGTACATTTAAAAGAAAAATACAAAAAATATATATGATTCACACAAATAAGCATGATGGGAGAATACATCTACCAGACACTTCATGAAATATGATTTTCAATAGCTAACACAAATACAGTCAGGTATCTACTTGCAGCCAAGTGTCAGCCTTCTCCTGGCAGAGGCAACCAGGGTTTTGGCTAAAATGTCCTGCTAATCTGACCAGGACAGGTCAGATTACATGAAAATAGAACTCTTTGGCCGCACACAAGAGTTGTGGGTTTGGCATTGAAAAACAGAAGCATTAGCAGAAAAGTACCTCATACTACGGTAAAATATGGTGGTGCATTTTTTTGACCATGCAATATAGCTTAGTATTTGTATTATTTATTTTATACAGTCTTTTTTGCTCATCTTTATTAACGGGTGCCAATAATTATGTACCTGACTATGTACACTACCGTTCAAAAGTTTGGGGTCACTTAGAAATGTCCTTGTTTTCGAAAAGAAAAGCAATTTTTATGTCCATTAAAATAACATCAAATTGATCAGAAATACAGTGTAGACATTGTTAATGTTGTAAATGGCTATTGTAGCTGGAAACGGCTGATTTTAATGGAATATCTACATAGGCGTATAGAGGCCCATTATCAGCATCCAATGGCACGTTGTGTTTGCTAATCCAAGTTTAACATTTTAAAAAGGCTAATTGATCATTAGAAAACACTTTTTCAATTATGTTAGCACAGCTGAAAACTGTTGTGCTGATTAAAGAAGCAATACAACTGGCATTCTTGAGACTAGTTGAGTATCTGGAGCATCAGCAATTGTGGGTTCGATTACAGGCTCAAAATGGCCAGAAACAAATAACTTTCTTCTGAAACTCATCAGTCTATTCTTGTTCTGAGAAATGAAGGCTATTCTATGCGAGAAATTGCCAAGAAACTGAAGATCTCGTACAACGCTGTGTACTACTCCCTTCACAGAACAGTGCAAACTGGCTCTAACCAGAATAGAAAGAGGAGTGGGAGGCCCCGGTGCACAACTGAGCAAGAGGACAAATACATTAGAGTGTCTAGTTTGAGAAACAGATGCCTCACAGGTCCTCAATTGGCAGCTTCATTAAATAGTACCCGCAAAACACCAGTCTCAACGTCAACAGTGAAGAGGCGACTACGGGATGCTGACCTTCTAGGCAGAGTTGCAAAGAAAAAGCCATATCTCAGACTGCCCATCTTAATCTTTTATTTTTATTGGCCAGTCTGAGATATGGCTTTTTCTTTGCAACTGATAAATGGGCCTCTGTACACCTATGTAGATATTCCATTAAAAATCTGCCGTTTCCAGCTACAATAGCCATTTACAACATTAACAATGTCTACACTGTATTTCTGATCAATTTTATGTTATTTCAATGGACCAAAAAATTGCTTTTTTTTCGAAAACAAGGACATTTCTAAGTGACCCCGAACTTTTGAACGGTAGTGTATGTTTTAACAAAAGGTTCATTTCTTGATTTAATTAGGACAAGCATACAATGGATTGCACTTCAAGTTATATAGCTTTTGTTTGTAGAAACATGTGGCAGGTCTATAGAAATTGAGAACCACGAGAAATGCCTAACCCTGGCTTGGTAGGAAAACTAAAAACACTAACCGATACTGTCAATGAAAGAAGAAGCAATGTAAATGCTATCCAAGACTGTAATTATGTCCATCTTAGGCATTCTGTCACATGGACATCTCGTCAACTTATTTTGCGCTGCTGTTGCTATTGTGATATGATCACATTCAGGAAAGTTAGGGCAAGTTAGCTAAACCTTTTTCTCTGCTTATAAAAATTAAAATAAAAAATACCATAGAAAATTGCATGAAGCTACAGTAGGATACAATGTTAAACCCAAGAGGAGATTATATTCGCATTCATTCTTTACTGTAGCTGTCAGTGTGATATGCCCATTGTGATATGACATAGGCATTTACTGGTATTCAATGTGTACATTAGTGGATTCTCTGTGTGTTCTGACCCCTGAATAAATGTGTTTTCTAAATGGGCCTATTTCAAGAGAATTTCAGAGTAGCAGATCGCATGACTAGATAACATTTCATACCGGTATGGTAAAGCCCCTGTAAAATTAAAAATAATTCAAGAAGAATCCACTGATATTTCATAATGGCTAAAAGGGCTAGTTCTCCGGACCCAGATTAAGCCTAGTCCTGGACTAAAAACACTTTCCATGGAGCACTTATGATGGAGATTCTACATTGATAATGTTTTTTTGTCCTTTCAATTTTTCTATGGGAAGCGTATACAGTGAGGGAAAAAAGTATTTGATCCCCTGCTGATTTTGTATGTTTGCCCACTGACAAAGAAATAATCAGTCTATAATTTTAATGGTAGGTTTATTTGAACAGTAAGAGACAGAACAAATAAAAAAAATCCAGAAAAACGCATGTCAAAAATGTTATAAATTGATTTGCATTTTAATGAGGGAAATAAGTATTTGACCCCCTCTCAATCAGAAAGATTTCTGGCTCACAGGTGTCTTTTATACAAGTAACGAGCTGAGATTAGGAGCACACTCTTAAAGGGAGTGCTCCTAATCTCAGCTTGTTACCTGTATAAAAGACACCTGTCCACAGAAGCAATCAATCAATCAGATTCCAAACTCTCCACCATGGCCAAGACCAAAGAGCTCTCCAAGGATGTCAGGGACAAGATTGTAGACCTACACAAGGCTGGAATGGGCTACAAGACCATCGCCAAGCAGCTTGGTGAGAAGGTGACTCCAGTTGGTGCGATTATTCGCAAATGGAAGAAACACAAAAGTACTGTCAATCTCCCTCTGCCTGGGGCTCCATGCAAGATCTCACCTTGTGGAGTTGCAATGATCTTGAGAACGGTGAGGAATCAGCCCAGAACTACACGGGAGGATCTTGTCAATGATCTCAAGGCAGCTGGGACCATAGTCACCAAGAAAACAATTGCTAACACATTACGCCGCTGAAATCCTGCAGCGCCCGCAAGGTCCCCCTGCTCAAGAAAGCACATATACATGCCCGTCTGAAGTTTTCCAATGAACATCTGAATGATTCAGAGGAGAACTGGGTGAAAGTGTTGTGGTCAGATGAGACCAAAATTGAGCTCTTTGGCATCAACTCAACTCGCCGTGTTTGGAGGAGGAGGAATGCTGCCTATGACACCAAGAACACCATCCCCAACGTCAAACATGGAGGTGTAAACATTATGCTTTGGGGGTGTTTTTCTGCTAAGGGGACAGGTCAACTTCACCTCATCAAAGGGACGATGGACGGGGCCATGTACCGTCAAATCTTGGGTGAGAACCTCCTTCCCTCAGCCAGGGCATTGAAAATGGGTCGTGGATGGGTATTCCAGCATGACAATGACCCAAAACACACGGCCAAGGCAACAAAGGAGTGGCTCAAGAAGAAGCACATTAAGGTCCTGGAGTGGCCTAGCCAGTCTCCAGACCTTAATCCCATAGAAAATCTGTGGAGGAAGCTGAAGGTTTGAGTTGCCAAACGTCAGCCTCGAAACCTTAATGACTTCGAGAAGATCTGCAAAGAGGAGTGGGACAAAATCCCTCCTGAGATGTGTGCAAACCTGGTGGCCAACTACAAGAAACGTCTGACCTCTGATTGCCAACAAGGGTTTTGCCACCAAGTACTAAGTCATGTTTTGCAGAGGGGTCAAATACTTATTTCCCTCATTAAAATGCAAATCAATTTATAACATTTCTGACATGTGTTTTTTTTCTGAATTTTGTTGTTGTTATTCTGTCTCTCACTGTTCAAATAAACCTACCATTAAATTTATAGACTGATCATTTCTTTGTCAGTGGACAAACGTACAAAATCAGCAGGGGATCAAATACTTTTTTCCCTCACCGCAGCTGCCAAAACGCTTTAATAATTTTTTTTACCTTGAGAGTAACTTGTGGTTAGGGGGAAACTGCAATCCATATATTTCTACAAACACTTATGTTTGTGCACTGTGTATGCTATGTTTTTGTGTTGCACACAATACTCACATTTACACAGTTGTTAGCACCAATGCACTGGTCAATCCGGATATCAGTATCGGCTAAATTACTTGTGTAAGTGTTAGTCAAATAATAAGAGTTAAAATGGCTTAGTGACAGTAAATGATCTTGACTTAGAAAGATAACGCTGAAAGTTTAGTCATTAAGCTGCAAGGCCAGAGAAAAACACTGTTGGATAACTGACATTCGTGTAAACTATCCATTCTAGCAAGCAAAGCTAGGCAACTAGTTCTGTTACAAGTGACATCAGTTTGAGTAAGTGGAGCGGTTCTTTCTTCGCAAATAAGGCTGACTATCACTAATGATAGACTCTACAGATGTAGGATCTTAATTTGACCTAATCCTGCAGCAACTGATTTGAACATTTAGTCCATAATGTTGCTTGAGCGGTGGTTAGGCTATTATCTGGTCAAAATTAGGCTACATGAAAAGTGCAATACTGTTAATATAACCGTGTGTTAGTGTGGGTTTTCAGTAAATTTATGTCAATCACGAAAGCTCATCTGCATTTCCTGCGGAAATTCTCACCAACAAAAGAGTGATCAAATTAGGATCCTACATCTGTATATACAGTGGGGGAAAAAAGTATTTAGTCAGCCACCAATTGTGCAAGTTCTCCCACTTAAAAAGATGAGAGGCCTGTAATTTTCATCATAGGTACAAAATGAGAAAAAAAAATCCAGAAAATCACATTGTAGGATTTTTAATGAATTTATTTGCAAATGATGGTGGAAAATAAGTATTTGGTCAATAACAAAAGTTTCTCAATACTTTGTTATATACCCTTTGTTGGCAATGACACAGGTCAAACGTTTTCTGTAAGTCTTCACAAGGTTTTCACACACTGTTGCTGGTATTTTGGCCCATTCCTCAATGCAGATCTCCTCTAGAGCAGTGATGTTTTGGGGCTGTCGCTGGGCAACACAGACTTTCAACTCCCTCCAAAGATTTTCTATGGGGTTGATATCTGGAGACTGGCTAGGCCACTCCAGGACCTTGAAATGCTTCTTACGAAGCCACTCCTTCGTTGCCCGGGCGGTGTGTTTGGGATCATTGTCATGCTGAAAGACCCAGCCACGTTTCATCTTCAATGCCCTTGCTGATGGAAGGAGGTTTTCACTCAAAATCTCACGAGACATGGCCCCATTCATTCTTTCCTTTACACGGATCAGTCGTCCTGGTCCCTTTGCAGAAAAACAGCCCCAAAGCATGATGTTTCCACCCCCATGCTTCACAGTAGGTATGGTGTTATTTAGATGCAACTCAGCATTCTTTGTCCTCCAAACACGAAGAGTTGAGTTTTTACCAAAAAGTTATATTTTGGTTTCATCTGACCATATGACATTCTCCCAATCCTCTTCTGGATCATCCAAATGCACTCTAGCAAACTTCAGACAGGCCTGGACATGTACTGGCTTAAGCAGGGGGACACGTCTGGCACTGCAGGATTTGAGTCCCTGGCGGCGTAGTGTGTTACTGATGGTAGGCTTTGTTACTTTGGTCCCAGCTCTCTGCAGGTCATTCACTAGGTCCCCCCGTGTGGTTCTGGGATTTTTGCTCACCGTTCTTGTGATCATTTTGACCCCACGGGGTGAGATCTTGCGTGGAGCCCCAGATCGAGGGAGATTATCAGTGGTCTTGTATGTCTTCCATTTCCTAATAATTGCTCCCACAGTTGATTTCTTCAAACCAAGCTGCTTACCTATTGCAGATTCAGTCTTCCCAGCCTGGTGCAGGTCTACAATTTTGTTTCTGGTGTCCTTTGACAGCTCTTTGGTCTTGGCCATAGTGGAGTTTGGAGTGTGACTGTTTGAGGTTGTGGACAGGTGTATTTTATACTGATAACAAGTTCAAACAGGTGCCATTAATACAGGTAACGAGTGGAGGACAGAGGAGCCTCTTAAAGAAGAAGTTACAGGTCTGTGAGAGCCAGAAATCTTGCTTGTTTGTAGGTGACCAAATACTTATTTTCCACCATAATTTGCAAATAAATTCATTAAAAATCCTACAATGTGATTTTCTGGATTTTTTCCCCTCAATTTGTCTGTCATAGTTGACGTGTACCTATGATGAAAATTACAGGCCTCTCTCATCTTTTTAAGTGGGAGAACTTGCACAATTGGTGGCTGACTAAATACTTTTTTCCCCCACTGTAAGTTCTGTAATGTAAGAGCTATACATAATGTTCAAATAACTTTCATAGTCCTTAATGTAGTAATAGATCACGTTTAAGCGACAGACATTGGTCTATTTTGGTGTGTAAGATCTTTCTGTGGCAATATCCTTGTGATTATGTCCTGTACAATCATTAACAAAGGCAGGTCCTGGGCTTTAACTCCACCCATGTCGTAACGTTGTCTACCAGCATAGAAAGGGAATGAGAGGAATGAGAACAGTTCATTATTACATGTGAATTTCACAAACCCAATTACATGGCAGCACAAAATGACCTCAATGACTTATTGTGTAACAGAATTATTCAATCCTGGTCCTAAAGATTTAGTTTTGAACCAGCACTAACATATCTGACTCAACTACTCAACTTTTTGTCAAGATCTTCATAAGCTGAATCAGGCGTATTAGCACTCACTGTTTTATAATTGAAAGCTCCTAAATGGCTGCCTTGCTAGCCTCTATACAATCAATGGTATTGGCCACTTTTCCTCATTCCTCTCTAAGGCCAGATTCCAAACTGACAACCAACTTCTTTCCATCTGCCCTTGACTCTCAACTCGCAGATCTGATCGGACTGAATAGGTAAAAGACATATGGTGGACGCTATGCCGAGTTACTATTACGTTTCCCACACCTATGCAGACTTTTGAGAACCACGAGGGGGAAGTCAACGTGGGCAGATGGAAGTGAATCAAGTTATGGGGTTGGAATCCAGCGTATACCTAGCAGGTTGAAGGCAGTGTGGCAGTGTTGGCTGCACCCAGTTGGCCAACAGCCAGCATCAGGATGTCCTTCTTTTCCTTGTGAAAGCGAAGCTCCCGGCCGGCCAGCCTGGCCTCCTCAAGTTCCCGATCTGTTGCCGCCACTTCCTGGGCGATGGTGCCAGCCACGCCTTGCTCCCGGTTCACCCAATCAGCAGCCATTTGGGTGCGCATGTCATCATCCAGCGCCCGATGGGAGTAGTGAGCCAGCACTTCCTGTTAGGGGAAAGCAAAAACAAAAAGTTGTTAGGCCGGAATGGACCTTATTGACGCCACGGCCATGATTGTTAGAAATTCAGGCTAGCTGGGTAGGAAGCGGAAGTGCCCCATTAAATCATTATATTTTTCAACAGTACTGGTATCCTAGCAGTGCAGGTTTGATTGAGATCCAGATTATGTTGAATGATCCTGAAATGCTTGGATTTGAAATGACCTGGAACCACAACTGCGTGAGCTGCGTGGCCAGCAATAACATAATTTCAAATGAGGAATGTGAGACGTCTGGGTGAGCTAATTACTCCAGTGGCTCAGCTCCTTAACCATTGAGATGAAAGGCATAAGGCCAGACCAAAGAGAATACTTAATCAGTCAAGAGACACACAGGGTGAAAGCACTCCGTAACCCTAGAAAACACAATACAACTGAGTCGTCTCTATCCCAATCGTGGAGTTGCTGGCTGCTCTTCCTCCTCTTCTCTCCTCTTTGACTTCTGATCTGAATGGCGTAGATTGGCAAAAGCCAGGGTTGAGGCACAATTTCATTATTCAGGTGAATTTATATTAATTTCATGAATTGGAAGTTGCCTGAATTGACCCCCATACTGCAAAAACAATGTCAGAAAGCTCCCATTTTTAAATTAGCATACATGAAGGGTGGGGGATTAAATCTTTAAGGTGTGTGCATAGAGCCTGAGTATTTTAATGTTTGAGATCAGATGAAGTCAAAGAAAAATGATTTAAACTCTGGTAAACATTTTTTACAAACTTTAATCAAACTTTGATCAAGGCTCATAGTTGACGCCTTAAAAGTAGTTTCTGTATGTAAGATGCATGAGATAATGAGGACTGAACACAAACATTTAGGTCACCCGACTCTGCCTGGAACGGAATCACTTCATAGGTATTCATTCAGCCCACACAATGTGGTTTAGATAGGTTCCTTCAGCATGACATTCCATCCTACCTCAAGCCAGAGTGTAACTCAGCCAATGTTACTCATTATCTCCAGTGAGTTTCAGCCCCATTCTGTACTTATGTTGAACTGAGATGCGGTGTTGGCTGTACCATTTGAATTATAATTAAATACTATCACTGTCAGTCTGTAAGGATGAGTGATATGTTTTATTTTCCAAACTTGCTTGATTTAATGGAAACTGTCAGGCAAATGTTTTTCTCAAATAACTCTTGAGTTTGATCAGTTACAGTGAGGGAAAAAAGTATCTGATCCCCTGCTGATTTTGTACGTTTGCCCACTGACAAAGACATGATCAGTCTATAATTTTAATGGTAGGTTTATTTGAACAGTGAGAGACAGAATAACAAAACAAAAAAACAGAAAAACGCATGTAATAAATGTTATAAATTGATTTGCATTTTAATGAGGGAAATAAGTATTTGACCCCTCTGCAAAACATGACTTAGTACTTGGTGGCAAAACCCTTGTTGGCAATCACAGAGGTCAGACGTTTCTTGTAGTTGGCCACCAGGTTTGCACACATCTCAGGAGGGATTTTTGTCCCACTCCTCTTTGCAGATCTTCTCCAAGTCATTAAGGGTTCGAGGCTGACGTTTGGCAACTCAAACCTTCAGCTCCCTCCACAGATTTTCTATGGGATTAAGGTCTGGAGACTGGCTAGGCCATTCCAGGACCTTAATGTGCTTCTTCTTGAGCCACTCCTTTGTTGCCTTGGACGTGTATTTTGGGTCATTGTCATGCTGGAATACCGATTCACAACCCATTTTCAATGCCCTGGCTGAGGGAAGGAGGTTCTCACCCAAGATTTGACGGTACATGGCCCCCTCCACAGTCCCTTTGATGCGGTGAAGTTGTCCTGTCCCCTTAGCAGAAAAACACCCCCAAAGCATAATGTTTCCACCTCCATGTTTGACGGTGGGGATGGTGTTCTTGGGGTCATAGGCAGCATTCCTCCTCCTCCAAACACGGCGAGTTGAGTTGATGCCAAAGAGCTCCATTTTGGTCTCATCTGACCACAACACTTTCACCCAGTTCTCCTCTGAATCATTCAGATGTTCATTGGCAAACTTCAGACAGGCCTGTATATGTGCTTTCTTGAGCAGGGGGACCTTGCGGGCGCTGCAGGATTTCAGTCCTTCACGGCGTAGTGTGTTACCAATTCTTTTCTTGGTGACTATGGTCCCAGCTGCCTTGAGATCATTGACAAGATCCTCCCGTGTAGTTCTGGGCTGATTCCTCACCGTTCTCAAGATCATTGCAACTCCACGAGGTGAGATCTTGCATGGAGCCCCAGGCCGAGGGAGATTGACAGTTATTTTTTGTTTCTTCCATTTGTGAATAATCACACCAACTGTTGTCACCTTCTCACCAAGCTGCTTGGCATGGTCTTGTAGCCCATTCCAGCCGTGTGTAGGTCTACAATCTTGTCCCTGACATCCTTGGAGAGCTCTTTGGTCTTGGCCATGGTGGAATCTGATTGATTGATTGCTTCTGTGGACAGGCGTCTTTTATACAGGTAACGAGTTCAAACAGGTGCAGTTAATACAGGTAATGAGCGGAGAACAGGAGGGCTTCTTAAAGAAAAACTAACAGGTCTGTGAGAGCCGGAATTCTTACTGGTTGGTAGGTGATCAAATACTTATGTCATGCAATAAAATGCTAATTAATTACTTAAAAATCATACAATGTGATTTTCTGGATTTTTGTTTTAGATTCTGTCTCTCACAGTTGAAGTGTACCTATGATAAAAATTACAGACCTCTACATTCTTTGTAAGTAGGAAAACCTGCAAAATCGGCAGTGTATCAAATACTTGTTCTCCCCACTGTACATTTACATAATTTAGCAGACGCTCTTATCCAGAGCGACTTACAGTAGTGAGTGCGTACATTTTCATACTTTTTCAAACTGGTCCCCTGTGGGAATCGAACCGACAACTCTGCCGTTGCAAGTGCCAGGCTCTACCAACTGAGCCACACGTGACCCAGGCGTGTCCAAATATTTTTCTCTTAAGTGCCAGAAATGGAAACATATTCAAATTTGCTCACATACTTACTTACTTTTTACACATAACAGTCATAAGTCATTGCTTTCACACAAAATGAACCAAAAACATTTGAACAAAACAGCAAACCAATTGTTTGAAATACATACCAAAAAATATTAATTGATACCAAATCATGTCTTATTTAATACCTGGACAAATACCAAATGAAACAGGCCTATGAAATAAAGTGATACCAATAATCAGTACTCTTATCCAAATGAGATCTTACTTGACGGGAGCATTGTCTCTCTCTCATGGCCTTCAGGCTTCCATTCCAGTGCAGCAGCTGAAAGACTGTCATCAATTCCTGAAATAAAAAAAACAGTTCAGCGTCGACAAGCAGCATTGTCGTGTGTGCCTGCACCGCATGGAAAGCACTGTTTGGCAGTAAGCACAATTTCAAGTTTGATTGCTATCGCAAGGCAGTGAGTTTTTAATGTCAAAGTCACAAGATTGAATGATTTGAGGCCAGTAGGGGGAGCAAAGAGGGAGAAGGTCAATAAGTAGCATTCATTTGTTTGCATGTGTAAAGCCCTAAATCATAAACAGTGGTTTGGAAAATACCAATCCATGCATTAGATTCAGTGGATTTGGATGACAAACAATGAAAGACTGGAGGCCAGCAATTCTGTCCAGATTTGTTTGCCAGACCAACATGCTCTTAGGAAATTCCAGGAACCACAGAGTCCAATAGATGGTTTTGCTTCTATTCTCTTCTGCACGCATGAAGGTCCTCACACTCATTCATGAAGTGGGTCTCATTATCTAGTCCTTGACATCCACAGTGGATTGCTGATAAGTGCACTTTGGATAAGTCAAAACTCTGTTTAAGTGTGTCAAGTCCCAATTCAATTGATGTACATGTACATTATTTCAATTGCTCCCGATACTGGCATGCTCTGCTTTAGTTCATGCTGTCATGAGTCTCAAACTGTTGCATTTATCAAGTTTGACTGCATACTTCTTTTCACTCAACCTGGGAAACCAGAGTGGTATGTCATGAAGCAGAGGTGATGAAACCAGCCAACTTTGATAAACACTCAGAAATTACTCTTGGTTTTCTTTATCATAAATTAAGCTATAGTTTAGGGTTGATCAGTAAATGTTTATATTTTTCCATGAACTGGAATTACAAAGCTAATTGACAATATAGTTATCTGTCTGCTTTGTGTAATTACCAGTAGTTTTGGCACCATTAGTCAAGTCTATGTTAACATGTATGCATCTCCCTCTTTTATAACTCTGTAGAAACCATAATATCATTTAATATTCTCCAACCAATCCCCATGTGTTCTGTGTGTGCAAAGAAAACCCAGTATTTGGATTCCTCATTTCCATCTCCTCCAGTGGCGTGTATTCATGGATGCCAAGGGAATCCAGGCTTCCCCAAAAAGTTACAAGAAACATAAATATTTCTCCGTCCCTCTGTGTTTTGAAATGTTCCTTCAATTCGCAAAAGGCAGAAAGTATCTCACCGGAGAAAGCATTCAATTGAGCAAAACAGTGTCCCTCTGTCTCTGTATGAGTAGCCCGTCTATCTGATGCAGTCTGGTCAAAAAGAGTATGATATTGTTGCCGCCTGTAGCATTGAATGCAAGGGAAGCCAGCAAGCAATTGGCCTCCCTTAATAAAAAAAGTATACAATGATAGCCAGTCAGAGTTGAGCTAAACTGAATGAGCTCAACTGTGAATGGTCCTGGCGCACCAAAAAAATAAGTGTCAAGGGAAGCCAGTTTGGATTTGGCTTCACACCACATCACATCAAAAGCCAAATATAATTGACAGACAAAACTTGAATTGTTGCATCTCTTTGTTTTGTTGTCCTCTGGTGGCTAGCTAGCTAGCAAAACATTTACTAAATTAGCCATGGAGGGAGATAGGGATTTGGACAATACTCCGTACTGGCCAATGATTATAACGGCGATTCTGATCCAACCATAAATTCATACATTGTGCCCCTGGCCTGAGAGGATGGAAGCTCAATACAGTGGGGAGAACAAGTATTTGATACACTGCCGATTTTGCAGGTTTCCTACTTACAAAGCATGTAGAGGTCTGTAATTTTTATCATAGGTACACTTCAACTGTGAGAGACAGAATCTAAAACAAAAATCCAGAAAATCACATTGTATGATTTTTAAGTAATAATTTGCATTTTATTGCATGACATAAGTATCACTTACCAACCAGTAAGAATTCCGGCTCTCACAGACCTGTTAGTTTTTCTTTAAGAAGCCCTCCTGTTCTCCACTCATTACCTGTATTAACTGCACCTGTTTGAACTCGTTACCTGTATAAAAGACACCTGTCCACACACTCAATCAAACAGACTCCAACCTCTCCACAATGGCCAAGACCAGAGAGCTGTGTAAGGACATCAGGGATAAAATTGTAGACCAGCACAAGGCTGGGATGGGCTACAGGACAATAGGCAAGCAGCTTGGTGAGAAGGCAACAACTGTTGGCGCAATTATTAGAAAATGGAAGAAGTTCAAGATGACGGTCAATCACCCTCGGTCTGGGGCTCCATGCAAGATCTCACCTCGTGGGGCATCAATGATCATGAGGAAGGTGAGGTATCAGCCCAGAACTACACGGCAGGACCTGGTCAATGACCTGAAGAGAGCTGGGACCACAGTCTCAAAGAAAACCATTAGTAACACACTACGCCATCATGGATTAAAATCCTGCAGCGCACGCAAGGTCCCCCTGCTCAAGCCAGCGCATGTCCAGGCCCGTCTGAAGTTTGCCAATGACCATCTGGATGATCCAGAGGAGGAATGGGAGAAGGTAATGTGGTCTGATGAGACAAAAATAGAGCTTTTTGGTCTAAACTCCACTCGCCGTGTTTGGAGGAAGAAGAAGGATGAGTACAACCCCAAGAACACCATCCCAACCGTGAAGCATGGAGGTGGAAACATCATTCTTTGGGGATGCTTTTCTGCAAAGGGGACAGGACGACTGCACCGTATTGAGGGGAGGATGGATGGGGCCATGTATCGCGAGATCTTGGCCAACAACCTCCTTCCCTCAGTAAGAGCATTGAAGATGGGTCGTGGCTGGGTCTTCCAGCATGACAACGACCCGAAACACACAGCCAGGGCAACTAAGGAGTGGCTCCGTAAGAAGCATCTCAAGGTCCTGGAGTGGCCTAGCCAGTCTCCAGACCTGAACCCAATAGAAAATCTTTGGAGGGAGCTGGAAGTCCGTATTGCCCAGCGACAGCCCCGAAACCTGAAGGATCTGAAGAAGGTCTGTATGGAGGAGTGGGCCAAAAGGAAACGTATGATCTCTGTAATTGCAAACAAAGGTTTCTGTACCAAATATTAAGTTCTGCTTTTCTGATGTATCAAATACTAATGTCATGCAATAAAATGCAAATGAATTACTTAAAAATCATACAATGTGATTTTCTGGATTTTTGTTTTAGATTCCGTCTCTCACGGTTGAAGTGTACCTATGATAAAAATTACAGACCTCTACATGCTTTGTAAGTAGGAAAACCTGCAAAATTGGCAGTGTATCAAATACTTGTTCTCCCCACTGTATGTAGCTAGATGTAGTAGGCTAATGTTAACTAACTAGCTCATCGTTGCCCATGAAAGGAAGTTAGGCTAGCGAGCAAGCATTTTAGCCAGGTAGCCTAGGACAACAAAAACTAAAAGGGTGTACTGTATGACAGAGTCATAGACCATTTCGGCAACATGAAAGAGGAGGATGGCATTGGCGTTTCTCTACAAGTAGGGTGAGTCAACATGTTTTTCTACTTATGCACACGCACACACAGAAATCAGTATCATGGACAGCCACATGATATTTAGCTTATGTTGATTGGACTAAATCGTTTTTGGTATCTTTTAGTTGTCACTGTGTTAGACTAAGCATAGGTGATTTGATGATGTTGAAATGTTGAAGATGAAATGGTGCTGGAATAGTGGATGCAGCTCGTTTTCTTTGCGACTTGCGGTAACTCTCCGGTGTTCTAAATCAATAGTTGTTTAGTAGTCCGAAAATGTCGGAAACATTAACTTGACCATGCTGTTGGTCATGTAACTGTTTGTTACATGCAATAAGCTTTGTGGACTCAAGCGGACAGATGTTGCCCTTGTCAGGCGTGCGGTAGGTGTAATAGTGGAATGAAACGCAGGACTCAGAACGATATTCCCAAAGGCTTGTATTAGGCCAAACCAAGGCAACAGGAAACTTGGCCCGGAGGCAACAATTACGCACGAAGGCGAAAAGAAACTGCGCACAAACAGGTGCGACAAAATAGTAACCGCGCACAAACAGGTGAGACAAAATAGTACCACGCACAAACAGGTGCGGAAAATACTCCAGTATAATAGAGAGAAGCTCAACCGAGCAATACACACAACTGACGGAAAATCAATTACACACAACACTAGACAAACACAACGAGAAACTTATAGGACACTAATTACGCCAAAACAGAAACAGGTGTGAAAAACAAACAGACCAAAGCAAACGAACAAGAAACAAACAGCGGTGGCAGCTAGAATTCCGGAGACGACGAACGCCGAAACCTGCCCGAACAAGGGAGAGAGGCAGCCTCGGCCGAAACCGTGACAGTACCCCCCCCCTTGACGCGCGGCTCCAGACGTGCGCCGACTCCGGCCTCGGGGACGACCAGGAGGACGCGGCGCAGGGCGCGTCGGATGCCCCCGATGGAATTCCGTCAGGAGCGACGGGTCCAAAACGTCTCTCCTCGGCACCCAACACCACTCCTCCGGGCCGTACCCCTCCCACTCCACTAGATACTGGAGACCCCCCATCCGACGTCTCGAATCCAAGATGGATCTCACGGAGTACGCCGGTGCCCCCTCGATGTCCAACGGGGGCGGAGGAGTCTCCAAGATCTCATCTTCTTGGAGTGGGCCCGCTACCACCGGCCTGAGAAGGGACACATGGAACGAGGGGTTAATGCACTTATACTCCACAGGTAACATTAACCTATAACATACCTCGTTCAACCTTCTCAGGACTTTAAATGGCCCTACAAACCGCCGACCCAGTTTCCGACAGGGCAGGCGGAGGGGCAGGTTTCTGGTAGAGAGCCAGACTCGATCACCAGGTGCGTACACCGGTGCCTCACTGCGGTGGAGATCAGCGCTCGCCTTCTGACGTCGGAGGGCCCGCTGCAGGTGGACGTGTGCAGCGTTCCAAGTCTCCTCCGAGCGCCGCGCCCACTCATCCACCGCAGGAGCCTCGATCTGGCTCTGCTGCCAGGGTGCCAGAACCGGCTGGTAACCTAACACACATTGAAATGGAGTTAGGTTAGTGGAGGAATGGCGTAGGGAATTCTGGGCCATCTCGGCCCAGGGAACGTACCTTGACCACTCCTCCGGCCGGTCCCGGCAGTATGTTCTGAGAAACCTGCCCACATCCTGGTTTACGCGTTCCACCTGCCCATTACTCTCCGGGTGGTAACCCGAGGTGAGGCTCACCGAGACCCCCAACCGCTCCATAAACGCTCTCCAGACTCTGGAGGTGAATTGGGGACCCCGATCAGCCACAATGTCCTCGGGTACCCCGTAGTGCCGGAACACATGGGTAAACAGTGCCTCGGCAGTTTGTAGGGCAGTAGGAAGACCCGGCATGGGGAGAGAAAACGACAGGCCTTAGAGAACCGGTCCACAACGACCAGGATGGTAGTATTCCCTTGGGAGAGGGGAAGGTCTGTTATAAAGTCCACTGAGAGGTGGGACCATGGTCGTTGTGGAACGGGCAGGGGTAGCAACTTACCCCTAGGTAGATGTCTAGGCGCCTTACACTGAGCGCACACCGAGCAGGAGGAAACATAAACCCTCACATCCCTTGCCAACGTGGGCCACCAGTACTTGGCACTAAGACAGTGCACTGTCCGGCCGATACCCGGATGTCCAGAGGAGGGTGACGTGTGAGCCCAATAGATCAATCGATCCCGAACCTCGAGCGGAACGTACTTCCGACCCTCCGGACACTGTGGTGGACTAGGGTCGGTGCGTAACGCCCGCTCGAGTTCAGAATCGACCTCCCACACTACCGGTGCCACCAGACACGACTCAGGCAGTATGGGAGTGGGCTCCACGGACCTCTCCTCCGTGTCATACCGCCGAGACAGCGCATCTGCCTTGCCATTCTGTGACCCAGGGATGTACGTGATCTTAAAAGTAAACCTGGTCAAGAACATACTCCATCTTGCCTGGCGAGGGTTCAGCCTCCTCGCCGCCCGGATGTCCTCCAGGTTACGGTGGTCCGTCAAAATGAGGAAAGGGTGTTGAGCCCCCTCAAGCCAGTGCCTCCACACCTTTAGGGCCTGTACCACGGCTAACAGCTCCCTGTCCCCTACGTCATAGTTCCGCTCCGCCGGACTGAGCTTCTTGGAATAAAAAGCACAGGGGCGGAGTTTAGGTGGCGCGCCAGACCGTTGTGAAAGCACGGCTCCTAAGCCGGCCTCCGACGCGTCCACCTCTACCTGGAACGGCAAAGAGGGATCCGGATGCGCCAGCACCGGGGCCGAGGTAAACAGGTCCTTCAGCCTCCCAAACGCCCTGTCCGCCTCGGCCGACCACTGCAGATGCACCGGACCCCCCTTCAACAGAGACGTGATGGGAGCTGCCACCTGTCCAAAACCCCGGATAAACCTCCTGTAGTAATTTGCAAACCCCAAAAACTGCTGCACCTCCTTCACAGTAGTTGGTGTTTGCCAATTACGCACGGCCGACACCCGGTCGACCTCCATCTTCACCCCTGACGCAGACAACTGATAACCCAAAAAGGAGACCGACTCCTGGAAAAACAGACACTTCTCTGCCTTCGCATACAGGTCGTGCTCCACCAGCCTCCGCAACACTCTTCGCACCAGGGCCACATGCTCGACACGGGTAGGCGAGTACACGAGAATGTCATCAATGTACACCACCACTCCCTGCCCCTGCATGTCCCTGAAGATCTCATCCACGAAGGATTGGAAAACTGACGGAGCGTTCATCAACCCGTATGGCATGACCAGATACTCGTAATGGCCCGAGGTGGTACTAAAGGCTGTTTTCCATTCATCACCCTCCCTGATGCGCACCAAGTTGTACGCGCTCCTGAGATCTAATTTCATGAAGAAACGCGCCCCATGCAACGACTCAGTCATGGTCGCAATCAGCGGGAGTGGATAACTATACTTCACCGTAATCTGATTGAGACCACGGTAATCGATGCACGGACGCAAACCACCATCCTTTTTCTTCACGAAAAAGAAACTCGAGGACGCAGGGGAAGTGGAAGGCCGTATGTATCCTTGTCTCAGAGATTCGTCTATGTAAATCTCCATAGCTTTCTTCTCCTCCTGAGACAGAGGATACACATGGCTCCGTGGGAGCGCAGCTCCTGCCTGGAGGTCTATCGCACAATCCCCCTGCCTATGGGGTGGCAACCGCGTCGCCCTCGCCTTACTAAACGCAATAGCCAAATCCCCATATTCAGGTGGAACGGGCAATGCGGGCACCTGGTTTGGACTCTCCACCGAGGTAGCCCCTACGGAAACGCCCAAACATCTACCCCCACACTGAGCAGACCACTCCATCAGAGCCCTCTCCTGCCACGAAATCGCTGGGTTATGGGTACTCAACCAGGGCATGCCCAGCACCACCGGATACGCAGGAGAATCAATCAGGAACAGCTGAATCATCTCCTGATGATCCCCCTGCGCACACATCCTAAGTGGCGCTGTGACCTCCCTGATCAAGCCCGTACCCAACGGACGACTATCTAGGGCATGAACGGGGAAAGGAACATCAACAGGAGTAAGGGGAATCCCTAACGCTAAACAAAACTTTTTATCAATAAAATTCCCAGCCGCGCCTGAATCTACCAGCGCCTTATGCTGGGAATGAGGTGCTACCTGTGGAAAACTGACAGGTATACAAAAATGGGCAACAGTGAGCTCTGGGTGAGTGGGGCGCCTACTCACCTGGAGGGAATCCCCAGTGCGGGACCTGTCGTCATCTCCCCTAGGAGGCCATCCCCAGCACCTAGCCGCGGTGTGTCCTCCCCGACCACAGTTGGTGCAGTGGATGGACCCCCTAGCCTGCCGACTCCTCCTTTCTCTAGCGCCAGCGCCCCCGAGCTCCATAGGACACGGCTCGGAGGCGCTGGAGGGTGAAATGGACGGACCCTCCGCAGGACGTCCGCGGGTAGCCAGCAGGTGATCCAGCCTGATGGACATATCGACCAGCTGGTCGAAAGTGAGGCTGGTGTCCCTACAAGCAAGCTCCCGACGGACGTCCTCTCGCAGGCTACATCTGTATAAATCGATGAGGGCCCGATCATTCCACCCTGCATCTGCCGCTAGAGTACGGAATTCAAGAGCGAATTCCTGGGCACTCCTCCTCCCCTGCCGGAGGAAGACCAGACGCTCCCCCGCCGCTTTCCCCTCCGGGGGATGGTCAAACACCGCCCTGAAGCGGCGGGAGAACTCGTCGTATGTAATCGTCGTGGCGTCGATCTTCCTCCACTCCGCGTTGGCCCACTCCAACGCTTTACCGGCCAGGCAGGAGATCAGGGCGGACACGCTCTCATGCCCCGAAGGGGCCGGGTGCACGGTGGCCAGGTATAACTCCACCTGGAGTAGAAATCCCTGACACCCAGCCGCGGTCCCGTCGTAGGCCCTCGGGAGAGATAGTCGGACTCCTCGAGGTTCCGGCGCTGGAATGAGTGGGCTGGCCGATGGTGCTGGCAGGGAGGGAGGTGGTGGAGGCGTACCCCAGCCTCGGATGGTGGAAATCACCTCCTGCAGGGCGGTCCCCATCTGCTGGATCTGCTCTCGTTGGTCCCGAACCTGGGCCTCCAGTCTCGTCTGAGCTGCTTCGGCTCCTGCTGATTCCATTGATGGTGTGTAATTCTGTCAGGCGTGCGGTAGGTGTAATAGTGGAATCAAACGCAGGACTCAGAACGATATTCCCAAAGGCTTGTATTAGGCCAAACCAAGGCAACAGGAAACTTGGCCCGGAGGCAACAATTACGCACGAAGGAGAAAAGAAACTGCGCACAAACAGGTGCGACAAAATAGTAACCGCGCACAAACAGGTGCGACAAAATAGTACCACGCACAAACAGGTGCGGAAAATACTCCAGTATAATAGAGAGAAGCTCAACCGAGCAATACACACAACTGACGGAAAATCAATTACACACAACACTAGACAAACACAACGAGAAACTTATAGGACACTAATTACGCCAAAACAGAAACAGGTGTGAAAAACAAACAGACCAAAGCAAACGAACAAGAAACAAACAGCGGTGGCAGCTAGAATTCCGGAGACGACGAACGCCGAAACCTGCCCGAACAAGGGAGAGAGGCAGCCTCGGCCGAAACCGTGACAGCCCTCTGGTTTTGTGATGAAACATAGGTGAGGTTAAATTTATTCTGCCACTGTGTCTTCTTATTGTCTTGGCTTTAGGCCTATACAGTGAAGGGGAAAAGTATTTGATCCCCTGCTGATTTTGTATGTTTGCCCACTGACAAAGAAATGATCAGTCTATAATTTTAATGGTAGGTTTACTTGAACAGTGAGAGAGAAAAACAACAACAAAATCCAGAAAAAAGCATGTCAAAAATGTTATGAATTGATTTGCATTTTAATGAGGGAAATAAGTATTTGACCCCTCTGCAAAACATGACTTAGTACTTGGTGGCAAAACCATTGTTGGCAATCACAGAGGTCAGACGTTTCTTGTAGTTGGCCACCAGGTTTGCACGCATCTCAGGAGGGATTTTGTCCCACTCCTCTTTGCAGATCTTCTCCAAGTGATTAAGGTTTCGAGCCTGACGTTTGGCAACTCGAACCTTCAGCTCCCTCCACAGATTTTCTATGGGATTATGGTCTGGAGACTGGCTAGGCCACTCCAGGATTTTAATGTGCTTCTTCTTGAGCCACTCCTTTGTTGCCTTGGCCGTGTGTTTTGGGTCATTGTCATGCTGGAATACCCATCCACGATCCGAGGGAGATTGACAGTTATTTTATGTTTCTTCCATTTGCGAATAATCGCACCAACTGGAGTCACCTTCTCACCAAGCTGCTTGGCGATGGTCTTGTAGCCCATTCCAGCCTTGTGTAGGTCTACAATCTTGTCCCTGACATCCTTGGAGAGCTCTTTGGTCTTGGCCATTGTGGAGAGTTTGCAATCTGATTGATTGCTTCTGTGGACAGGTGTCTTTTATACAGGTAACAAACTGAGATTAGGAGCACACTCTTAAAGGGAGTGCTCCTAATCTCAGCTCGTTACCTGTATAAAAGACACCTGGGAGCCAGAAATCTTTCTGATTGAGAGGGGGTCAAATACTTATTTCCCTCATTAAAATGCTAATCAATTTATAACATTTTTGACATGCGTTTTTCAGGATTTTTTTGTTGTTATTCTGTCTCTCACTGTTCAAATAAACCTACCATTAAAATTATAGACTGATCATTTCTTTGTCAGTGGGCAAACGTACAAAATCAGCAGGGGATCAAATACTTTTTTCCCTCACTGTATATCACAGTGCCAAGGCATATAAACTAACAGTTTATAGAGCAAACAACGCAATTATTAACACAGGTTGTAATATGCCTTTTTTTCATGGCTTGGATTCCACTGTGATTTTACCCATGCACCGCTACTGATCTCCTCATTTCCTGCATCCTGACCGATGTACCATAGAGGCAGCAACAGTCCTAAACTAGCCTCACATACAGTCCAACATTTTCCTTTTCTTACATTTCATTATTGTAACATCCACTGTATCATTACAAGTAATCCAACTTTGCGTTACTCCATCCTATTTACCTGAAACTCCAACATTGACTTTCCTTTGTTGGACTCCAGCATGAAGCGAAACGCCCCAATTCCTGTGCTGGGGTTGTCTGCCTCTTCTCTGTTTCCCTGTAAAATACAAGTAGAGTCCAATCATCCAGTCTTTTTCTCCTTAAGAGCCCAATCAGATTAAGATCTTACCCTCATAAGGCTGTGACCTTTTAATAGGAGCTACAGTATGGATTATATTAAAGACCAGTGTGCACTGCTTCTGTTAATGTCAGTCATTTTATCTAAAAAATACATTCAATGGCACTCACATTAAAGGAGGCCAGTGCCTCACATACACTCTTCTCAATGAAGTCATCTGTGATGCGGCGGGAAGGATGTTCGTTGAAAACCGAGTTCATCAGTGCGATCTTGGCAGCACTACGTCTTGCCTCAGCCTTGGTTGGACAAAACTGCCGAAAGTAAAGCATAAAACATATTTAGTACTTTTCTGAATGGCTCCAAGTCCCCCCCAGAATATATATAGCCTATGGCACAAACTGTAACGTTATGACCGTGTGATACATGCAATATCATAAGATGGTAAAGTCAAATTATTGTATGGGTCTTCTGGAAGTCATATAGAAGTACATTTTTATAATGACCTTTTTTTTTTTAAACATGAAGCATTTGAAATGTATCTTAATCTTTTTTCATGTATGTTTTTCATGTATGTCTAAGTAATATCAATGTTTCCGCTTCATTGCTATTATTTCAAAGAAAGAAAGAAAGAAAGAGTTAGGAAGGATAGAGGCAAGAGAGGCCCTGTGCAAATGGGATGAGGGGGAGAATGTGGGGAGGGGGTGTCACGGCTCCTTCTAAACTCAATGTTTGGCTCTAATAACAACCAGATGAACCACCAGATGAGTTTCCAACCACAGTACGCATTGCAGTCAGCCAATTCGAGGAGAGGAAGAAATGGCAAAACATTTCATCCTCCCATGGAATATTCTGCTAGGCACAATGCTCAAGTTCCAGTATGATTTAGAATTTAAAATAACATTAGAAAAAAAGAAGAATGTACATTACAGCAGTCATTACTATTTCTATTATTATTATTTAACAAAGATAGGGATACGGCTTGTACTGTATGTAATTATGTATAAATTAATGGATGAGATCAACAGCCAAATGTGGTTTTCTACATCCTTAATTCAATTTTTTTATGCTAAACCTGAATACAAGTAAGGTCCTACTCCTACACCTTGCTAACATGTATTTGATGGACCCAACAGCCTGGAGTTATCGACTTGGCGGTGTATTTCACCTCAGCAGTGGTTCAGATCCAGGGATTATTATTTGAGATTAGCCAATGGTTAGCTATTGAATTTAATCTTGGTTTGTAATCTCTTGTAATGCTGACGAGAGACAACTGCTTTAATATGGGATTCCCAGTACATTTACATTTTAGTCATTTAGCAGACGCTCTTATCCAGAGCGACTTACAGGAGCAATTAGGGTTAAGTGCCTTGCTTAAGGGCACATCGACAGATTTTTCACCTAGTCGGCTCGGGGATTAGAACCAGCGACCTTTCGGTTACTGGCACAACGCTCTTACCCACTAAGCTACCTGCCGCCCCGTACACATTGCTGTGGAAAACTCGATTCTGCCACCACAACATACTATACAAAACTACACAATTTTCACAAGAGCAGGCTGAAGCTAGAGTTTTATCACTCAATTTCTTTATTCTTCAACTAACAGTTACCTTTTTTATTTTTTGGTCTGTATATTACAATTCAGCTTTTAGCTGTGAATGTGTACAAACCTTGATATACACTGAGTGTACAAAACATTATGAACACCTGCTCTTACCGTGACATAGACTGACCAGGTGAATCCAGGTAAAAGCTATGATCCCTTATTGATGTCACTTGTTAAATCCACTTCAATCAGTGTAGATGAAGGGGAGGAGACAGGTTAAAGAAGGAGTTTTAAGCCTTGAGAAAATTGAGACATGGATTGTGTATGTGTGCCATTCAGATGGTGAATGGGCAAGACAAAATATTTAAGTGCCTTTGAACGGGGTATGGTAGTAGGTGCCAGCGCACCGGTTTGAGTGTGTCAAGAACTGCAACGTTGCTGTTTTTTTTACACTCAACAGTTTCCTGTGTGTATCAAGAATGGTCCACCACCCAAAGGACATCCAGTCAACTTGACACAACTGTGGGAAGCATTGGAGTCAACATGGGCCAGCATCCCTGTGGAATGCTTTCGACACCTTGTAGAGTCCATGCCCCGATTAATTGAGGCTGTTCTGAGGGCGGAAGGGGGTGCAACTCAATATTAGGACTCCTAATGTGTGTGTTCCTAATGTTTTGTACACTCAGCGTATATAACAACATATATACACACTTCAACTGTTCTGGTCAAGTTATAAACTATGTAAAACATGCCTCTATGCCTTTTCACTTGTAGAGTTACTTAGGAAAGATTTATCAAGACCGCTTTGGGCTGGATGTAGTCTCGTGTTGCCATACCAAGGACACATTTTGCAGAGAGTTGTTCCATATGCTAGTTTGCCACATTTCAGAAAATGGAAGAAGGCTGGAGGAAAAACTGAATTGTGTTTTGCCAGAAGTGTGCTCTATACACAAAATTGACATACATCAACATATTTTTATGGAGTTTTAATCTGCGATTTCCCAGCCATCCTCACCCACTGTTGCACCTACGACACTAATTAGAGCACTATTGGAGCTCTGCCCAATTAAGGCATGTAATTGGTTTGACGTGTTGCGAGCATACAGTCATTGGTTGCGAGGTGTCACTGATTTACACCGGGTTCCCACCCCTATTTAGCTATTTTTCTGCCATGAACTTCCCCAGGCTTCCCGTTTTAGGGAAGCATGGTTCACGACGAGGCTAGGCTGGATGTGTCAATGTGTAGTTCATACATGCATAATCTATGAGCAGAATTACTGTCTTACCACATGTGGGCCAGCCCCCTAACAATTTGAGTTCAACCAATGAGCTTCAGCCCCTCGCCAATTGAGTGACAGCTAGCAAGTGGCACATCATGCACACACAGCAGAGCGAGAGAGAGAGCAATGACGTGGTGCACATATCTGCACATATGTGACGTAATACGCCATTTTTGGAGAACACTTTTGACTCGTGAGCGCTACCTTTAACTACTGGCTAAAAAGTATACAAAAGTACTGGAGAATCTCTTTAACACATTCTTGAAGTATTCAGATAAACAAAGGAAGAGTGTGAGGAGAAAGTCCCAGAAACATCCGGGTCATGTTCATAAGGCACCAAACAGAAGAAAATGGACTGAAACTGGGAGGGACTACCTGGACGCTAATTTTCGTGATTCATAGGAATCACATACACATACTAAAAATGTAACGACCGGGAGACCCATGGGGCGGCGCACAATTGGCCCAGCGTCGTCCAGGGTAGGGGAGGGAATGGCCGGCAGGGATGTAGCTCAGTTGGTAGAGCATGGCGTTTGCAACGCCAGGGTTGTGGGTTCGATTCCCACGGGGGGGCGGTATGAAAAATAAAAAAAATAAAAAATAAAAAATAAAAATAATGTATGCACTCACTAACTGTAAGTCGCTCTGGATAAGAGCGTCTGCTAAATGACTAAAAATTTAAAAATGTAATAAACATTTCTGCTAAGTGTCATATGCTTCCAGCAGAATATGGGTGCACAGTCAGCAGTTTGTAAACAAAGACTGCATAAACATTGTTTTCAATTGAACAACGTTTTGCTACGGTGTGCCCCCATAAACATGACCCAGGCCTAATTAGTCGCTTGATCTCCCTTGACATTTCAGAAAAGGCTCTCAATGATTGACATTTAATCTGAAAATCCAGGGCCAATGTACTCAAGGTGATCAGGTCAGATTGGCAGAATTGATTTGGGTGGAAGCATTTGTGCATGAGTAGAGTTGTACGGTCAGATAAATCCCTAATGTTATGGCCATAAAGGGAAGTTAATTCATGCAACTACACCAACACAATTTCAAACCATTATACTGTAGTGTAGTGGTAATAATAAATACACTTTTCTAGCACCTTCGCTAACTCAGAGATACTATACAGGGGGCCTTCCACCTGAGGCGCAACCCAACGTTTTAGTGCCCACAACTGTATTGAGACAGCCTACAGTCACAGGTTAGCTCACCTGGAAACTCCCAAAGCAGCTTCCCCCTGGGAGACTGACGTAGCAAACATAGGGTGGGTTGTTTGATGGGACCATCTCGTACACCACCAGCGCCCCATTCCTGAGGTCTGCCCCTCTTGACTGCTTCATCTGCCAGAACTCTTGCAAGGCTTCCACCACGTTCACTGGAGGAGACATAAAATGACACAATTTAACATTCCACTGCATGGAGTCTTAAAGGTGGACTCAGCGATATGATGTGGATGCAGAAAGTAAACGGCATAGTGGGTTAACTTCCGCAACAACTAATAGCGTTGAAACACGAGGCTCAACTCCTCCGCTGTTTTGGTCCCGTGGCTACTATGCTGTAACAGCGTGAAGCGAACACGTGCACATGCACAGATACTGTGTGTGACTGTGTGAGAGCAAAGTCTTGCATCTTGCTCATCTCAATATCTCAAGTTATAATTGCTGAGTTTCCCTTTGAATATGGTCTATTGGACTCATTTGGTATTCAGGTTTGGATTTAAGAAAGAATAAAAGTGACACAGTGGGTTATTGTATAGGAGTGAGGATTAAAACTTGAACACTGCTTTGCACATATATGGCAATAGCCAAAAACATCCTGTTTATTTTACAAGTAAACAACAACAAGGAACAACCCAATATATCTATATTCTTCGTAGCTGTCTGTTTACCACTACAAACCGATGCTGGCACTAAGACCGCACTCAATGAACAGAGACGCATACAAAGCTCTTCTTCGCCCTCCATTTGGCAAATCTGACCATAATTCTATCCTGCTGATTCCTGCTTACAAGCAAAAATTAAAGCAGGAAGCACCAGTGACTCGGTCAATAAAAAAGTGGTCAGATGAAGCAGATGCTAAGCTATAGGACTGTTTTGCTAGCACAGACTGGAATATGTTCCGGGATTCTTCCGATGGCATTGAGGAGTACACCACATCAGTCACTGGCTTCATCAATAAGTGCATCGATGACGTCGTCCCCACAGTGACTGTACGTACATACCCCAACCAGAAGCCATGGATTACAGGCAACATCCGCACTGAGCTAAAGGGTAGAGCTGCCGCTTTCAAGGAGTGGGACTCTAACCTGGAAGCTTATAAGAAATCCCGCTATGCCCTCCGACGAACCATCAAACAGGCAAAGCGTCAATACAGGACTAAGATCGAATCATACTACACCGGCTCTGACGCTTGTCGGATGTGGCAGGGCTTGCAAACTATTACAGACTACAAAGGGAAGCACAGCTGCGAGCTGCCCAGTGACACGAGCCTACCAGACAAGCTAAATTACTTCTATGCTCGCTTCGAGGCAGGTAACACTGAAACATGCATGAGAGCATCAGCTGTTCCGGACGACTGTGTGATCACGCTCTCCGTAGCCGCTGTGAGTAAGACCTTTAAACAGGTCAACATTCACAAGGCCGCAGGGCCAGACGGATTACCAGGACGTGTACTCCGAGCATGCGCTGACCAACTGGCAAGTGTCTTCACTGACATATTTAAACTCTACCTGTCTGAGTCTGTAATACCAACATGTTTCAAGCAGAGCACCATAGTCCCTGTGCCCAAGAACACTAAGGTAACCTGCCTAAATGACTACCGACCCGTGGATGGATCCTGGACTTCCTGACGAACCGCCCCCAGGTGGTAAGGGTAGGTAACAACACATCCGCCACGCTGATCCTCAACACAGGGGCCCCTCAGGGGTGCGTGCTCAGTTCCCTCCTGTACTCCCTGTTCACTCATGATTGCATGACCAGGCAGGACTCCAACACCATCATTAAGTTTGCCGATGACACAACAGTGGTAGGTCTGATCACCGACAACGATGAGATAGCCTATAGGGAGGAGTTCAGAGACCTGGCTGTGTTGTGCCAGGACAACAACCTCTCCCTCAATGTGATCAAGACAAAGGAGATGATTGTGGACTACAGGAAAAAGAAGAGGACCGAGCACGCTCCCATTCTCATCGACAGGGCTGTAGTGGAGCAGGTTGAGAGCTTTAAGTTCCTTGGTGTCCACATCACCAACAAACTAACATGGTCCAAGCACACCAAGACAGTCGTGAAGAGGGCACGACAAAACCTATTCCCCCTAAGGAGACTAAAAAGATTTGGCATGGGTCCTCAGATCCTCAAAAGGTTCTACAGCTGCACCATCGAGAGCATCCTGACTGGTTGCATCACTGTCTGGTATGGCAACTGCTCGGCCTCCGACCGCAAGGCACCACAGAGGGTAGTGTGTACGGCCCAGTACATCACTGGGGCCAAGCTTCCTGCTATCCAGGACCTCTATACCAGGCGGTGTCAGAGGAAGGCCCTAAACATTGTCAAAGACTCCGACCACCCTAGTCATAGACAGTTCTCTCTGCTACCGCACGGCAAGCGGTACCGGAGCGCCAAGTCTAGGTCCAAGAGGCTTCTAAACAGCTTCTGCCCCCAAGCTATAAGACTCCTGAACATCTAATCAAATGGCTAACCCCCCCTTTTTTTACACTTCTGCTACTCTCTGTTTATTATCTATGCATAGTCACTTTAATAACTCTACCTACATGTACATATTACCTCAATTACCTCAACTAACCGGTGCCCCCACACATTGACTTGGTACCGGTACCCCCTGTATATAGCCTCCCTATTGTTATTTTTACTGCTGCTCTTTAATTATTTTTTACTTTAATTTTGTATTATTTTATATTGTATTTAAAAAAAAAAAAAATTGGTATTCTTTCTTAAAACTGCATTGTTGGTTAAGGGCTTGTAAGTTAGCATTTCACTGTAAGGTCTACACCTGTTGTATTCGGCGCATGTGACAAATAAAATCTGATTTGATTTGATTTTAAGCTGTCCGAATTGCGTTGACTTTCAAGGCCGTTATAAAAGTCCACATAGACTCAAAATGATTAAGGAGTACATAACATCAGAATACTTCTGTAAATGAAAATTGAATAGACCTACCCACATTTAATTGACTGGGTTTTTGGATGATAGTATGACATGTAGGCTAGGCCTACTCTAAAGCATTGGGGGTGACTTGAAGTGCCAGACTTGGAGTGCCCAAGTGCTATGTAAATTGTGCACGCAACTGTATCCTGAAGTCAACTGTATCCTGTAGTCATTAGGCTAGATATGACAAAATATAGGCTATCATAAACTCGGTATGTTCATGTAGCCTACTGTTATCAACTGGATGGGCAGTTTTGGTGACACAATCTGTATGTTGCACATGCAATACTACGCTATTTAATCCAATTTGTAATCTTAATCACAGTTACAGTGGGATACATTTGAACCACGGCCAGGGAAAGTCGGAGGACCAAAATTCTGCAACTAATTATTTCCAGCTTACCTCTGCCATAGCCCTGCGTATGCTTCGCAAAGCTCCGAACAACAGCCTCCACCGCCTCCTTCAAGACCGCCGGGTTCCCTGGATTACATAGACCGAATCCAGCCACCCCTGTTCCGAGCCCCGCACTCCCAATAGTGCCGTGAAGACTGTGGAGTTGAAGCGGCGGGGGTGGCCCGGAGGAAGCACATAGGGAGGCCGGGGGAGGCAGCAGAGGTGCGGTTGGAACTGTAACCCCGGGCCGGAGAGAGGAGCGTAGGGTCCCAGTCGATGCAGCTCCAAATCCTATCCCTGGTTGAAGTCGCTGAGGGCGGATAGATTCCATTGTTGAAGCGTAAACGTCAACAGTAGGGGGAATACCAATAGAGGAAATTCGTGATGAAAATACTGGTTTCCTCGCTGATATTGTAATGATAGATAACAAAAAACGAAACAAAAAAGATAGTGATAAATAAAAAACGCTGTTTACCTCACGGAGAAAAATGTATTCTGCCAATCCCGTTAGTCTTTGTGAGGATTAGGCTGCTTGGCTGTCAATCTTGGAGTAGGGGCGGAGAAAGCAGAGACGTGGAAAAGGGGAGCTGTGAATGGGCCATTTTCTTGAACCAGCGACGCAAGAGGGACAAATATTAGGAAACAATGAGGCCTCCAAAACTGTAAAGGAATTCTGTTGACCTGCGTAACAATCCATACTCTACAAGAGATTATTAGGGTAATGTAATTTACATTTTAATACTTTGGAAAAATAGTAGCTACTGAAATAATTATTCAAAACTTTTTGGGGTAAAGATATTTGGTAAATGAACGTGACAACACAGTGGTAGATACCTTTAAATTCTACTACTCTTTAACCAACACACAATCTATCTACCTATCTATCTATCTATCTATCTATCTATCTATCTATCTGTCTATCTGTCTGTCTGTCTGTCTGTCTGTCTGTCTGTCTGTCTGTCTGTCTGTCTGTCTGTCTGTCTGTCTGTCTGTCTGTCTGTCTGTCTGTCTGTCTATCTATCTATCTATCTATCTATCTATCTATCTATCTATCTATCTATCTATCTATCTATCTATCTATCTATCTATCTATCTATCTATCTATCTATCTATCTATCTATCTATCTATCTATCTATCTATCTATCCATCCATCCATCCATCCATCCATCCATCCATCTTTCTAACTAGTCATCTAACTTCACTATCGCTGGTCTAGATCAACTGGACATCTAACTATAACACAGACCCTAAACCAACACAACATCTAACTTCACACTGTGGATTTAGATCTACACCAACTAACCACTCCCTAAATTAAAGATCCAGACCAGCTAGACAGACCAATTGCTAACTAGACTACAGATGTAGGATCTTAGTTTGATCATTATTTTGTTGCTGAAATGTTTCCTACAAAGCAGTGAATGCAAACTTGTAGTGTATTTGTGTTTTAAAAAGGCTTCTAAAGTTTCTAATTTCCACTTTGAAATGTCAGACTTGATTTGCCCTAACGAAACATTTATAAACTCCTTAAAGTCGCGCTATGCAGAAATCGCTCCGACATTTCATGGTTGCTAAAACTCTAATAGTTTGCCTAATTTCAGTTTATGTGACAAAATGAGCTAGTATAGTGTAGATAATCATTGTACCATCTAAACCACTGTGAAATATATTTTCCATAACCAAAAATATTGTTGTTTTAGTTGTTTGAAGCTGGTGTACAAAACTGAAAGTAAAAGAAGCAAAAACAAAACTTAAGAACAGGAAGCATAGAAATAGCGCACATAGAACATATCTACCATTTCTTAGACTTGCTTTCAATGAGAATGATAGATCTATAACTCACATTTCTATGTGAATTTGGTCGGTTCGCCCAAAAAAGTACATATTGCCACTTTAATTTTTATTTATTTATTATAATCCACATAATAATTCACATTTCCTGTTGCTGCAGGATTATTTTCCTGCTGTAGCAAACTGGCTCAAATTAAGATCCTACATCTGTATAGACCTAGACCAACTAGATTGTAGATCTAAACCAATTATACCAACTAGACATCTAACTAGACTATAGATCTAAGACGACTAAAAGCTAAAGCAAGCACACATTTTGTTCAGGGACCTTCACATTTTCCAGTTCTATCTGTAGGCTACCAAACTGTAATTTAAAGCCGGAAGGGAACAAGCATTTCCTTCCAAGCAGTTGAAATATCAGCGCTTGGAGAACATAATGATCTAATAAGGCCCAGTATATAGCCCAATAGGTTAATCTGGCCCTGCCAGAACCCAGAATTTTAATTCAGTGTTTTAATTATTTAATTTTCTGTCACAAGATACTACACACCTGACCTTAAAATGACTCTCTTCCGCCAACAGCAGCACTTACCCCATATGCTGTCCCACAACCAATCGAGAACAGAAGTGAGTAGAAGTGAGTTAAAAGTGAACAAGGAATCCCTGACTCCGTTTTTCAGGTTCTCTGTCAGCAACGTAGTCTCAGGGCAATACGTATTATTCGGTATGTATATCTGTGAGACTTTTTATAGTATGATATACATTACTTTAGGTTACATTATGAATGGAATAACGGTCGTACAATATCATACGAATTGGATGATGTACCATATCATAGATCTTGGAGGATGTATATTATTATACATCTTTCTCTGAGACCAGGTTTCTTGTTACACTCTAACAACAAAGGAGAATTACGGAAATAATTTTCATTGGCGGTTAGGGAACTAACAGCAAAGGTTAGGATCATTTATGTAAAAGGTTAGGAGAACTAAAATGACAAAGGTTAGGAGAATGTACGTAGCAGGTTAGGTGAAATGGGTTAAGTTCAGAATAAGGGTTAGCAGAAGGGTTAGGTAAAATGCTACAGTTGTCCCAGACACGACTCGAACGCGCAACTTTTGGATTGCTAGATGGTTGCGGATTACGCACACCCATCTTCCCTGACCAACATCCCTACTTTAGTTTCTGTCTAAAATAACTAGACCATTAGTTGGCGTCATACATCTAGGAGGTGCCCAGAAATACGTAAAGTATGTTTCGCATGGCTCTGAGGCCAGGCTGCTGTCAGGCAGCCCTGCAATGCACCAGTAGAGGGCACTGTGCAGCTACAAACTGTTCCCCCTGAATGTTCCTCCCATGCTGCTATTAGCAGATGCTAACCAAAGCCCGACTCAACTGCCCGCTGCCACATCCTCTCAGTCAGGGACTTTTCAAGGTAATTTGAACCTGTACTTGTGGCTGTTATGTCACTCCAAACTGGTGTCACTTTACATAAGCCTGCAATGTACACTCAATAAGGTCACATGACACAGTTGACTCCCATCATGACATTCACTATAGTGTGCCTTGAGATATGTGACACAAAGCTTTATGAATGTCATTATAGCCTCCTAAGTAGCATGTTAAAGTAGAACTGTAATAGCACATTACATTATTGTGTAGCCTGTGTTGACATAAGAGCACATTACAACACATTTGCCTGTCATCTATAATGCCCATTATAAGTGCATTTATAAGTGTATTTATAATGTCTTATGGCATTGTTCTAAATGTTTATGACTTCCTATGATGGATGTTATAATGTCTTATGTAGCAATTATAAAGGCTTGTACGCTTGAATGCATACATAAGGGCGGCTACAGTAAAGTGTTAACATATAGCCTACTCGAAAAATTTATTTCCCAGAATGCATTATACTCATCATTGCTCCCTATATAGATTGGCCCTACTCTCCTCACCTGATGTATTACCTAGTATGATAACGCACTGGGGTTGCATTGACCTGGTGAATGGGTTTACAGTATACTCTGTGATGTGTTTCAGCTCAGACTCAAGATTCAATGTTTGTAGTTTATTTTGGTTTATTTTACTAACATATCCATTAATCCATCAGGGCTAATATATCTGGATTCATAGCCCACTCAAACATACAATACAATACAGTACAATATACGATTCAATACAATACACAAACATAAGAGGAAACATGTGAATAAATATATTGGCCATATAACACACCCCCTCGGGCCTTATTGCTTAACCATAGTATATAGTATACTGAAAAATTATAAATGCGAACAAAAAATACATTGAAAGTGAAATATCTTAAAGGGGCAATCTGTGACTGGTACATCCATTTTTGGACATTATGATATATTGTCATTGATTATTGAGAAATATATACAGTGCCTTACAAAAGTATTCAGACCCCTTGGATTTCTTCAAATTTTATTGTGTTACAAAGTGGGATTAAAATGGATTTAATTGTAATTTTTTGTCAACAATATACACAAAATACTCTGTAACGTCAAAGTGGAAGAACATTTTTTTTTTTTAAGATACAAACAAAATTTCATAACTAAAATATAGTAATTGCATAAGTATTCAGCCCCTTTGTTTAGACAAGCTTAAATGAGTTCAGAAGTAAAATTTGGCTTAACAAATCACATAAAAAGTTACTCTGTGTGAAATACTGTAATAGGGGTTGACATTATTTTTTTATGACTAACCCTTCCTCTGTCCCACATACATACAACATATGTAAGGTCCCTCAGTCAAGTATTGAATTTCAAGCACAGATTCAACTACAAAGACAGGGAGCTTTTCGAACGCCTCATAAAAAAGGGCAGTGATTGGGTAACAATAACAAATCAGACGTTATGCTGTGCATAATGTATTAAACCACCCAGACACCTCAAAGAGAAAGTCCTCCTTCTGAACTGAGCTACAGGACAGGAAAGAAACTGCTCATGGATGTTACGATGAGGCCATTGGTGATTTTAAATCAGCTAGAGTTCAATGGCTGTGATGGGACAGAACTGAGGATGGATCAACAACATTGGAGTGACTCCACAATAATGACCTAAATTACAGAGTGAAAAGAAGAATAAAAATATACATGCATCTTGTATGCAACAACTCTCTAAAGTAATAGTGCAAAAAAAAAACATGGCAAAGGAATACACTTTTTGGCCTAAATACGAAGCCCTATGTTTGGGGCAAATCCAGCACAACACATAACTGAGTAACTGCCTCCTTATTTTCAAGCTTGGTGGTGGCTGCATCATGGTATGGGTATGCTTGACATTGGCAAATACTGGGGAGTTTTTCAGGATAAAAAGAAACAGGATAGGGCTAAGCACAGGCTGAATCCTAGAGCAAAACCTGCTTCAGTCTGCTTTACACTGTAATGAATACTCAGGGAGAAAAAGGTGTAGATTCACGCGCAGAGCGCGGCAGGTGTTTATTTAGCCTTCGCAAAAGGCAGGAATCGTGGTCACAGGCAGGCAATGGTCATCCACAGGTAGGCAAACAGG